AGCTAAAACACACACACACGAACGCACACCATCGCACACACGCACACTGAGTCTGAGCAGCAGAGGTGTAATAAAAGGTGTTAATGTATTCAGGCTGTTAGTGATGTTAAATGGAGCCTGACGACTGGCTGACATCAGCTCGACTCCCTGCAGCCATGAGAGAGCGAGAGAGAGAGAGAGAGAGAGAGAGCGAGAGAGAGAGGGATGGCGTCGAAGTGCAGCTTTGTTTCCACATCAAATCAGTTTTATTAAAAAAGCAATATTAACGCTGATTCTTTTCACAAACCAGAAGTCTGTGTGTCGATAAAAATCTAATTTAAACTGTAAATTTCTAAAACCCTGAACTGACTTTCCAAACATCTCCATTTACTCCAAAACTGAGAGTCTAACACGAAGAAGCTGCAGACAGAGACACAGACAGACAGACAGACACACAGACAGACAGACACAGAGAGGGTTTTATTGTTGTGTTATAAATAACTAAGATCCGACATAAATAATGAAATCTTTGGGCTTTTCCCTTAATTGTTTTTTTCTCTAAATGCTTTTAAACGAACGCACCGTCGGCGTAAACGCACCGTGAGAGTCGAGTTTTTAATTCATGAGGCCTCGGAGCGTTTAGCGGACGGCGTCGGAGCTCATGACGGGGGGTATTTTGGCGTTTTTAAACGGTCGAGCTAAAGGAGAACACGTTTCTGCAGCTGAACGGACCGCGGGGTTAATTCAAAGTTCGAAGCTTTCATTTCGCCGCTGTCACGCACTGAAGTTCGAAACCTCGGTGTCCTCAAACTCACCTTGTGAAGAAGTCAAACTCTCCTAAGTGCACCTTCAAACATTTCTTTTATAACGTCTTAAATTATTGGTTATTCTCTGAACTGAAGTCAGCTGACTCTGTAGACTCTCAGAAAGCGGTCTACAGGCCCCCCGTTTGGGACTCTGAGAGGGGAATCAGTCTGGAGGTGCATGAAGAGGGAAATCAGGACGTTTGTATTATTTATATCAAAGAAACGACACAGTTAATTCAGTGTTAGTGTTGACCGTATCATTCAGCTGCTGCTGCTAACGGGGCGGCTGATTCGCTGTCCTGTGTTTGAAAGTGGGCTAATGGTGCAGAGGGGGGGAGAAGTAGGCCAGGATCTAAAGTCAATAAATAAAAGAGGATCATGTAAGAGAAGAGGAGCCTCCGAGAGCGCAGCCTAAATTCTGCCCCGTATTTTTAGTCCATCTGAGGCCTGGAAACGGACACGTCGACGCGGTGAATTCAGGGGGAAAATATCTGAGGGAGACGAACGAGTCCATAACACCGGTCAATGTGAAGTCCTGAGAAAACAGACGTGGATAGAAATGTCCCACAGCGGGTCCAAAAGAAAGCTCCTGATTTATCCTCCTTATCTGTGACGTCGACGGGACACGACTTTGTTCACCTTTTTTTTGTTTTTTAAAGGTTATGATGATGTTAGAAATAATCTCATAATCTAAAGATACTAAACTACCTCAGAATAAGTGATTTATTTGTGTTTAATCTCAGGATAACACTGAGTCTAGTTTTAATCAGTTATCCTTTTAGTCCAGTTTTAGTCCAAATTTAGTCGAAAGGTTCTCAGATGATAGTTTTTTGAAGGAAGAATCTCTCGCTGTGTTTAATCACCTTCAACATATGTCTTAGAGAAAAAACCTGAATGCTTAAATCTTTTTTTCTAAAGTGCAAAAGGTCACGGTTTTAAAATCATAAATCCTCTCGTCACTACACGGAGGAACATCAACTGAACTCGGCGAATCTTTGATGAACGACTCTGATCGAGATCCGAGTTTGGAAGGAGGAGGTCGGCGTGTTTCTGCGCAGCTCACACTTACAGGCGGCTCAGGTCGGATCGAATTAACGTAAAGATTTCTGACCGACATCCTCCAATGACGATGGAGAAGAGGAACGATGGTGGTGACAAACTCGCAAATGATTGGTGGTTTAGAGTCGCTAACGACAACTGACAATGGTTAATGACAACTGAAACCGTTAACAACTGACAACCGCTAACAACAACTGACAATGGTTAATAACAACTGACCATTGCTAATTACAGCTGACATCTGCTAAGAGCAACTGACGATGGTTAACGGCAACTAAAAACGGCAAAAAAACTGACAACCGCTAACAACAGCTGTTATCGGCTAACAGTCGGTGTCCATCTTGGTTTTTTCGACTTGTTAACTGGAACGCCGTCAACTTGAGTGTAACGTCATTTCCGGCTCCAACATCCGACCTCTGAGGTAACTTGAACGCAGCATACGTACAAAGGCTAACACGCCTCCTCCCTGCAGGTGTACCGGACTCCTCCGCCAGCTTCACCCCAGATGTGGATCATCTGAGGAGCGTGACGAGGGTCTAAACGTCGCTCTTTGTTTCAGCACGATTGTTCGCCGCTTAACCATCAAAACACACGCCCTGACTGACTCCACCCACTAATATTTCAGCTGTAGCCTTCTCATGACCCGCTGACCCTCCTGTTCTCACTCCCATGTTCTCGCTTTGGTTTGTAACTCTCAGTTTCGTGGAATCGCTCCGTCATCCTCTTTATCGTTCGTCTCTCAGATGTTAAAGTCAGACTCGGTCTTCTTTACGATAACGCAGAGATAGAAATACTCTTGTTGGTGTTTTTTCACCTCCATCATCATATCTATTCTGCAGCAGCGGCGGTATCACAGCACTGCGTCTCCTCCTCCTCCTCCTCCTCTGCTGCTGTGAAGAAACGCCGTTACCTTTGTCAGTTTGGATAACAGTGTTTTGTTTACCTCCCCCTCCGTCCTTTCGTCTGTGACCTGAGGGGAGCTTCATTTCACTTCGGCTTGTTTCAAACATCTCTCCGTCTTTCATCTCTCTGTCAACCGTGTTTGTTTCCTAAATCATTTCCTCGCAGACCGCCCGCCCTTTACGCTTCGGTCTCTTTTTATACTGTTCGTAATATGATATCACCTTCAGGAAACTATTGTTCTTCTTTATCAACGTATCCCTGCACTACATTTGAAGACGAGCTCTCTCCCTCCTCCATAAAGATGTCAGACGGCGGTTATTTCCTCTTTCACTTCAGCTCCAGTTTCTGTTTCTCTCTCGGCTCTCTTGGTGCTCATACTTGAGTTGATCTTTTTTAACTCCGCTCTTGATGTGGTTCTTAAACTGCTCCCCGTTCGCTTCACTTCACACTCTCAGGACTCACATTTGATCCGACACGTCCGGCTCCTTCTATCATTTATGCTGTTTCTACCGTCGCTGAAGAGCAGCCTGTGCGGATTTAACTTCCTGTGATGTTTGGACCTGAATTAACGCCCGAGCTTCAACCTTCAGCACCGAATCATCCACCGTCACCCAAACATGCACTCTGAAAATGTTCCACCAAGACGGCTGACCGAACAACAGAATTTTACTGTAAAATCTGAGTTTCTTTTTCCACTTCTTTTCACTCACATGAAACCAGCGCGAGGAACCGTAGAATCCACCTGTCGCCATGGAGACAGGCGGGGTTGATTCTGTCTGAACTCTTTATGTTAAGGTCCTTGTAATCAGCGTTCATTAACAGTTAATGAGACAGACTTCAGACTGAAGCACTTTGTTGACCCAATATTATATTTTACTTAACGACGACAAAATACCGTCGTAATTAGCAGAACCCGGACTCGACAGGTCAGAGGGTTTTAGAGGTCGTCTTAAGTCCTGTGAGGAGTTTTTCTGAGTTTATGAAACAGACTGGAATCGTACTGATGCTTTTGTTTGAACACAAAGGCAAACAGGAATGAGATTTACAAGTTTTGCATTAAAAGTTTTAAAGCCTGAAACTAGGGACATAACGATCACCGGTAAAATGATAACGGCGGTAAACTGATGGTTCACCGTTTTAAATCTTAGTTACCGTTAAAACCGTGTTTGATCGCCGCACTCTGGAAAAGCTCACAGTGATACTGCTCAGTGTTGAGAAGAGCAGCCGCACGCAGCAGACCTTCAGACACAGTATACAACTTATAAACATGGCGGAGGACAGTTTTACGGACAGTTCTGTCGACCGTGTTGAAGAGATTTTTCCGCTGTCAAAGAAAACCAAGTCTGAAGTCTGGGCGTGTTTCGGCTTCTACAAAGGGTCGGAAGGTTAGGAAGCTTCTGTGCATCCCAGCAACCAGCATGTCATCTGAGAGGATATTCAGTGTCAGCAGGTACATTGTTTCACCTCGCAGATCACAAACCAGGAAAATAAATCTGCAGACATTTTTACATATTAATCTGAAGTCGTGAACAAAGTCAGCAGCAGAACCTCATGGTGGAGAAAACGGACGATCGGTTCATCTGATTTATTTACATAATTTTACGTTATTTTAAACTCCTGAACTTCACATTTGTTTACATGTGGTTGTTTTGTTTCATATAGTCGTGTTGTTTTGTTATTTATTTGTAAGAGTCGATCTTTTTGAAGATTCTTACAATTTGCACAATAATGAATGTCATTTTATTTAAATGTTATTTGTTATTATGTTCATGTTTATTCCACTGACACATTACTCTGTACTTTGTTATTCCTGGTGTTGATGTCCTCTGACTCTTTGATCGTTCCTCTGTTATCTAAGGTTCAGGGAAAGTTCGTTCTGCCTGTTATTTTGATTGTTTTTTTCAAAATAAAACTTTATTTCAACAATACCGTGATAATATTGGTCACACCAATCGTGATGTCTAATTTCATATCGTTACATCCCTTCCTGAAACTGAAAAACTCAGGAGAACAAGCCTCGGTTACTTTCTCCACAGGGGGCGCCAAAGTTGACACAAACGGAAAGTTACTTACTGGAGCTTTAAAGATGAGGAGAAGCTCACCATGACGACAGAAACCACCGATCCTGTAGTTACCACTGACATCCTCAGTCACGAGTCGACATAATATTTTAGTGTTTGCAATAAAATCTGTAAAAATTGAACAATTTAATTTTCACACTTACTTTAAAATCCACTGGATCTGTGAGGCCGACCGATGTTTTTGGCTGTTTCCTGTTACTCCCTCTAAAAGAAACAATCGTGACTCGGACTCTCAGCGTCTCCTCGTCGATCTTTGATCAGAAGAAACGTTCAGATGACAAACAGACTCGTTTTTTTCAGTTTAATGAAAAATAACGTTTATCACGGCGGAGCATCAGAACAGAGACGTGAGTTTTTCTCCTCCGTTTGATATTGACAGACATGAATAAGGCAATGACCTACAGACAAACTGCATTCTGGGATTTGGTGTTCATAACCTACTCAATGCAGCTTCCTCTTTAGACAGCATTTATAAGTTTTAGCCGATGATTTCTTCTCCTTTTTTTTCCTGAACTTTTCTGCTTTAAAAATTCCCCCATAAGGGTTTCCTCCGCCCTGACTGTGGGTTTTTCCCTCTTAGCTCTTAAGATTATTTATTAACAATCATAATTAACAATTAATAAAACCATTAGCTACGACTTATAAATGCTTTATAACAGAGAGAAGCATTAAAAACTCTTCCTGCGTGCCTGCTGAGAAACAGTGCGACTGTCAGAAACCGTAAGAGAGCTTTGAGAAGCAGCGAGGTTCAGACTCCAGGAGCCGGCTGTCGAGCCGGTTTATGAAGAGCGACATGATCGTTAAATAATATTTTCTACAAAGATACAACATATAAAATATTTAAATATAGAACTTTATGACTCTGAAAATACATTTAATGCTTCTTTTCCCCCAAAACAGAACTGACAGCTTGGCCTCGAGTGTGAAATGGTTTCTTTCTCCGTGTTTAATTAAAAACTCCCATCCTGACTGCGGGCTGCTCGGATGTGGCTCTGCAAATGTAAAACTTGATTCAATGCATAATGTGGTCCAGTGGAGAGGAGACAGGAATCATTCAGAGAGCCGCAGCTTCCATGATGAGAAAGTTCAACTTTGTGCACGGACACCGAACTCTTTGTCGAAGATTTTAAAGCTGAGAGACGCGTGAGTGGAAATCTAGTTTTAGGTTTTCTATATCAGCTCGTACGTCGATCACGTGAATTTAGAGGCAGAGGCGTCACAGAAAGAAACCGAGTGTCGCTTCTGTGCTCCATGAACTGTGGAGCCCAAACATTCAGAGCTCCCCCTGCTGGTGGGCTGTGGTATAATCTATACAAGCGTTCAGCTCCTGTTTTTCTCCTCTGTCTATCAGGAGTTCGGCAAGTTGTCCTCGACACGCCTCTGCTAGTCCACGGCGTTCCCGGGCCAGACAGGCGTAATAACCTCAGGGAATTCTGGGTCCTACCATCTGAGCATGCTCGACCCAGCTTCACCGGCTCCCTTGTTCCCTGGTGTTATCTGCACGCTCAGTTACAAACAGTTCTACTTTTGGATGTTGCTTTCTGACCATCAACCAATCAGAATCAAGAGGGGGCGGGACCTATTTTGACATCGTCATCTTCAACAACGGCAAAGCTCGATAAGGGCGGGAAAGTGTTCGTACTTGTTTAATCGACGGACGATTTTCCAGGTCTTCTTAAACTCTGTGATGATTTCTAAGAGACCGGAAATAAATACGAAGTTTTAACGAAGTATTTTAAAACGGACCTGTCAGTCACCGCTGAAGGGACGCATGAGTGTTGTGGGACAACCGAGGGGCAGATGTGGAAGTGCTAAAATCTTGCAGTTCCATGAGTGTCCACTTGGGGCTTTTTGAACCAAATACAAACTCAGCCGAACGACTCCGGTAACCGGGAAACAGTCGACGCCTGCGAACGTGTTTTAAAGGTGAGGCAGGAATCTGTTAAAGAAACTTCTTTTTTAGGTTTATATACAGAAACTCTTCTAATATCAGTCAATAGTTATTAGTTATTGATGACATTTGGTAATATATCGATATCTCTGTGTTCTCTTATGTCTGTGTCGTCAACATTTGAACATTTTTGAGCGGTCCGCTCTTTCTGACTGTAAACAAAGCCGTTCTCCACCTCCTCTAACCTGATTGGTTGTGAGGCGGACGCTGCTCCCCCGTGTCATTCAGGAGCCCAAACAAAGTTAGCGTGCTACAATATCGGACAGTAGAAACCAACCAGAAAGTTCGGAAAATTGTCTGAATCCTCCTTTGGCCACGACTGCCGACACAAGCAAGAAAACAAAGTAAATACCGGAGACTCTGGAGGAATAACGGGCGCTTAAAACGGAGGTAGACCGGACAAGAGCTAAAAAGCCGGGTCAACATAAACGATGGGGGACGCTTGGGGATCTTGGTGACCCTGTAACCTTTCTGCTGGACAGGTAAACCGCTTTAACAAAGTAAGACAAGTGTCTGTAACAGAAGTGTTTCTTGTCAAACGGACCTGCTGTAGCGTGTTGTAGCTCCATCGCTAAACTGTCCTCCCTCAGGTCCTGGACTATGTCACTTTATCCTCGTTGTAGAAGTCCTGCAAACATTGTGTTTGCTGGTAGTCTGTTGGCATCTACAGTAGCACCAATGCTTTTGACTTTCACCTTGACTGGGCCCCATTTGTAATGATCTGAAGGATTTATCTGCATTATATCTGAATTTAACTGGAACGATACGAGCGAGCAGGAGCGTCTGTTTGTGGGCGGGGCTTGAGGGGAGAGGAGGAGCTGAGGGGAAAACTGGTTGGAGGGGTAGAGTTTACATTCAAGATTTCTCCTAAAAACTGGAACTTCCTCAGATCCTGACTACAACACCTTTAATCTGGGCGTCTCTATCGTGACAACCTTCATACTTATCATGGTCACCTGCTGGTCTGGCGTGCTTGTGTACGGGGTTTCTGCACTTATATGTGAACAGATTTGATCATCTTTAGGTCATGTTTGGTTAAATTTAAGGACTCATTATTGTCAGAATCAGAATGACTGAAATGTCGTGATCAGATCGTAGCGTGAGGCTGCTGGAGAGACCCTTCGGATGCTCATTCATGAACTTTTTGGCTCTCAGCAGACTTTAATCTCATATTTTAACCCAGTTGTGTAAAAGTAGAGGAAACGCTCATCTATAGTATATTATTAGTTCAAAATGGAGTTTCTTCGGCGCGCCTCCATCGTCTGTTTTCGTCTGTAAACTGCGTGAAGAGTTAATTTACGTCTACCCTTGTGGACATTCATCTGGTTGCCATGTCGGCTGTTTTTCTTGCTTTGCCTCTCATCTCTAAATGATGTCCTCTGGTGCACAAAGTTTTATGTTCTCATCATAAAAACGTCTTGAATGATTTCTCACCTCCTCCGCCCGGCTGACGCTCGGCGCATGAACAGCTGTACCGTCCCGACACAAACACCGACAGCTCCATCTCCTCAGACAGACGCAGGTTTTATCTTTGACTCATGTACATGACGACTCTGCTCAGTGGAAGTCTCTGACGGTTTCATATCACAATGTGTTTTTGTTTCTTTACATGTTTCTCGGTGGTCATGTGGAGGGGAAGCTTCTGGAAGTCTCTGCCCCTCTTTAAACGTCCTATCGTCGTCATCGTCTCTGTTCATCTTTGGTCTGTAAAAACGAGACAGAGTTTTGTGCCAAACAAAAGCCATCGATCCAGCAGCATGACGTGATCCGCCTCTCTGAAAAACGAGTCCCTCTTTTTTCTCCTCCCCCCTCCTCAGCCTACACAGGTCACCCGCCATGCGTGAAGCAGGGAGTGTGGTCGTCTCGCCCCCGTGGCTCTGATAGCGGCTGATGCTGCGGCGGAGGATGGTCCGCTTGGCGATGATGGGCGATGGACGATGGGAAGCGGTCTCTCTCTGGGGAGCGTCTGTTCCTGCCGCCGCTGTCAGGAGACCTGGAGGACGGAAACAGAGGAGCGTTAGGAGAGGATCGGACTCAAACTTTCAGGAGAAAACATTCAGATATAAAAGAGCCGGAGAGAAAGAACGATAAAACATCCCTTTAAAAGACGTCATAAAGAAACGCTTTAAAGGGATATTCCGGCGTGAAATTAAGTTAAGGTCAAACACACCGTAACACTGAGTTAGACCCCGCCTCAGAGATGAATGTTGCCGACCTCTTGCTTCTCTAGTTATACCAACTTTAGTAACGACCGCAGGATAGAAATACAGAGAGCCACGCCCTCAACCAAAACGCCACTCTATAGCCACAAATAATGCTCAGAACAGCACCTAACTTCATCAACAGGACATATAGGGTCACAGACATAGAACTAGACACCAAACATATTTTTAACTTTGACTCATTTCTTTAACAAAGAGACTAAACACAACTCACCTACTCTCTTCCAGCAGCTGCTTGTTTGTACGAGTCGATTACCGACTACAGTGGGGTGCTGCAGCTCAAGGAAGAACATTTATGATCATTTCTTTATCATTTCCTTTAAGTAATAATCACCATATTAATAATTTTACAGACGCGGTAGTTCTTCTGTCTTAGCGTCTCGGTCTGATTGTATTTCCATGAAGAAATGATCATAAATGTTCTTCCTTGAGCTGCGAAACTCCGCTGTAGTCGGTAATCGACTCGTACAAACAAACAGCTGCTGGAAGAGAGTAGGTGAGTTGTGTTTAGTCTCTTTGCTAAAGAAATGAGTCAAAGTTAAAAAGATGTTTGGTGTCTAGTACTATGGCTGTGACCCTATATGTCCTGTTGATGAAGTTAGGTGCTGTTCTGAGCATTATTTGTGGCTATAGAGTGGCGTTTTGGTTGGGGGCGTGGCTCTCTGTATTTCTATCCTGCGGTCGTTACTAAAGTTGGTATAACAAGAGAAGGAAGCGGTCGACAACATTCATCTCTGGAGGGGGGGTCTAACTCGGTGTTACGGTGGGTTTGACCATAAATTAATTTTACACCGGAGTATCCCTTTAAGAAAAAAAAATGTACTCTGAAGTTTGTCGTCTGCAAAGAATTGATATAAACAGTCAAAGTGTGAAAAAAGAGGAAATTGATGAATTCAATCAGATCGATTATCAGAAACATCCAAAAACAGACTTTTGACTCTTTAACCTCAAATCCAGTAAGACAGACATGAAGCGAAACGTGTTTCGGCGTTCATCAGTATTTTAGCGGTTCTGAAGTGTTCAAAGCTAGGAATGATTTTGAGCTGCAGATGAAGTTTAAAAAGCAAAAGTCTTTTTCTTTGACGTTTTTTTTCTGCGTATTTAATGAGAATCAAAGTGGTGAATAATAAAAAGTCATTCATCTCTGGCTCTGAGGACCGGCGGGTTATGAGACAACTTTTTTCGTAGAACTGAGCGTAGTGAAAATAGAGTCTGTTTACATCGTTGCACGTGTGCAGACTCCAGAAAAACGTGGTGATTGGTGTAATCTGTACTCAGGAATTTGATTTTTTCTTGACCTGGTATCTGAACAGGAAATGGTGGGCGGGGCTTTCCAGAGTAAAATCAATACTGCGTATTTTAACTGCGGAAATTTTCACCAACACTAGGGGGCGATCTACTCAATCTGTTGTCGTAATAACTCTGAAAGGGTCAATGAACTTTAACACTGCATATCTAACACTGTGAAATTTACTGTGTACCTTTACCTGACGCTCTACGCACAACAGCAGCTAGCTTATAATGAAGAGTTGCTAATGCTGTGATTGTCCGCTGTGTTTCGATGACAGCGCCCTCTGCTGGATCCTGCAGTGAGCTGCTTCAGGTATGCTGGTAGACTAATGAGGGTTCGATTGGCTCGTAACAGTTTGAAAATGAACATTTTCCCCCCAGAGTTTGTAGGAAGGTTTAGATTTCAGTCCTAATAACGGACGTGTGTTTGCTCAGGAGGGATCTGATCAAAACGTGACTCTGTGCAGCGTTAAAGGATCCGGGAGACTCAATCGAAGTGTTAATAAGCTCAGATGTTGATGGTTGGCGATGCCTCGACGAGTCAGACTCAAAGACCACGGAGCAGTTTTGGACGAATCTCTTTCTGCGGATCCACAACCTCAGAAAAGCCAAATACAACAGGCACATTAAATCAGGAGGATGAACGGTGAGGTGGTTCAGCACGCACTCGTTCAAACCATAAAAAAAAGGCTGCTATGAATGAAAACAGAAAAAAAGCTTCACATAAAAAGCATAAAAATAGGTCTATTGATTGTGAGCGGTTAATTAAAATCTCAGTTTCTCCTCAGCGTCGAGTTTTTCTTCCTTCCAGCTGGTGTCGGTCAGCGTCTCGACCTGTGCGACTCGGCCGGGCTTCATTAGAGAAAAGGAGCCTCACACAGACTGCCGAATTAAAACCCACACACTCCTTCATCCAATTAAAGCAGCTGAGCTGGAACTCAGGCTGAATACAGAGTCTCTGACAGAACGGGAATTTATTCAACAACACGGCTCTGCGTGTTAGAGACGCTGAGGGAGGAGGTAACAAGCAGCTGAAATATCGACTACAGAGCGCCGAACACAGAGGAAAATCACCGAAGAACAACAAAGTGCGAGCTGACGGAGGTACTTCATTTTCTTTGAGTTTGAAAGTTTGACAATGAAGCTCCAGAAAACACTCAAAGACGTTCAGACATAAACCTCATCATCTCAGTCCTCCTTCATTAATGAGCACAAACAACAGCAAATACTCAACCCGATTATTAGTGTTTCTTTTTAGTTTATGTAGAAAAGATCCGACAAAGAACGAGCGGCTGAATCTGCAGATTCAACCTCCAGTAATTTTATCTTTATTGTTATTATTTTGGAGAAACTGTAAACTGATCCAGTTTGAGACACACAGCCTCTGAGCAGGACGTCAAACTCCATCATGTATCTAAACTAATTTATCTGTGAAACATCGTCAGCAAAACTGAGACGCAAAAATATCAGTGACTCGCTGTGCGTCCGCGAAGATCGCAAATATGGATTCAGAATCCTCCAAACAGAAGAAACAACAGCCTGAAGGATCTGAGATACCTTTTCTAATAAACTGTAGGACTGGAAACTTTTACGTTTTTTCTTGTCTGCTCCAAACCTCCTCTGCAGACCTCAACAAGTTAAAGGGATACTCCGGCGCAAATTTAATTTAGGGTTTAACACACGTAACACCGAGTTAGACCCCCCCTCCAGAGATGAATGTTGTCGACCGCTTCCTTCTCTAGTTATACCAACTTTAGTAACGACCGCAGGATAGTAATACAGAGAGCCACGCCCCCAACCAAAACGCCACTCTATAGCCACAAATAATGCTCAGAACAGCACCTAACTTCATCAACAGAACATATAGGGTCACAGACATAGTACTAGACACCAAACATCTTTTTAACTTTGACTCATTTCTTTAGTAAAGAGACTAAACACAACTCACCTACTCTCTTCCAGCAGACGCTTGTTTGTAGTGAGACCTCAGGCCAGTCCATTACAGACTACAGCGGGGTGACGCAGCTCAAGGAAGAACATTTATGATAATTTCTTCATGGAAATACAATCAGACCGAGACACCAAGGCAGAAGAACGACCGCGTCTGCAAAATGATCAATATGATGATTATTACTTCAAGGAAATGATAAAGAAATAATCATAAATGTTCTTCCTTGGGCTGCGTCACCCCGCTGTAGTTGATAGAGAGTAGGTGAGTTGTGTTTAGTCTCTAAAGAAATGAGTCAAAGTTACAAAGATGTTTGGTGTCTAGTACTATGTCTGTGACCCTATATGTCCTGTTGATGAAGTTAGGTGCTGTTCTGAGCATTATTTGTGGTTATAGAGTGGTGTTTTGGTTGGGGGCGTGGCTCTCTGTATTGCTATCCTGCGGTCGTTACTAAAGTTGGTATAACTAGAGAAGCAAGCGGTCGACAACATTCATCTCTGGAGAGGATGTCTAATTGGTGTTGCGCTGTGTTTAACCATAAATTAATTTTATGTCAGAATATCCCTTTAAAGAGCGGAGTTAGCTTAGAGCTTTCTTAGTTTGTCCTTTCTGGGCTCCTGTAGAGTCACGGCAGAGGAGTTGAGCTCTCAAAACTAAAACGAAGAAACTTTTTATATTGACGACAAACTTTGTTAACGGTAAAATTCTCTGATGCTTTAATTCTTACAAGTCGACAGCCAATCAGTTAGCTCCCTTTGGAAATTTCGTCTGGTTGGTGTCTTTACCTTCTCCTGCATCATCACCAAACTGAAGTCACTTTACTTGACAGTAGCTCCTCCCACACGTACAGCCTCCGTCTCTCGAACCTCAGACATGTCCTCCTGAAGGCTCCAGGACTCTGATTAAAAACAGAAAGCTCTGGAGACATGTGGGGACACTTCATCTCTGTCCCCTCTGTGGAGCCGGAGCTCTCTGTAATTGCTTCCAGGTGAAGACTCACAAGAAGCAGAAGAAGAAACGGCGGCGGCGGCAGCGGGAACGGCGGCACCTCTGCGCCGCTCACCTCTGAATTATTCATGTCCATCCTGTTTGACTGCTGCTGGAATCCTAACAGAGCCGGAGGAGTCAGACAAGGACGAGGCGGATTACACCGAGAACCATACATCACCCCGGAACTGCATCAACATTCAGACCGCCGTCCCTAAACGCAGCGCTCACAGCTGATTAAACATGGAGGTGAGGGCGTGTCTGCAACATTCCGAACGTGCGGCTCAAACTCCTGCTGTCAGAGCGCACACGCCAAACGTCGGTCCACGCTTTAACCGCCGCTGTAATTCGCCGCGCTCGTCCTCAGACTGAAGTCAACTCGATCACAGAACATATAATCAGCCGCCCACTTTCACTTTCAGTCTAATTACACACAGCAGCTTCTCTCATGGTGAAAAAAACACACACCTGTCCTCAAACGACTGCAGGCAGAGCTCCATCTGTAAATCTGATCATAAATTTAACCTTCATTTCTTCAAACTTCCTCCTTTAGTATCAAAAGTAAAGATCCAAACTCAAAGGATTCTCTGTGATCGATCAGTGATGATTATTGATTACTCATCGATGACAAAAACATTTCTGATCTGATGTAACTGAGAGGAGCATAAAGCGGCTGAATTTACAGAGGCCTAAAAGTGGTTTAAGTCAAACAGACCGAGACTGGAATGACTTCCTGCTGCAGAAAAGAAAAAGAGTTCAGTTTTCTTCATGCTTGTTCTTATTGATTATATAAACCTGTCTATGTGGTCGGGTGTCGGACGTCCTGGGAAAAGACCCAACTCTTTCTTCATGGAAATACAATCAGACTGAGACACTGAGGCAGAAGAACTACCGCGTCTGTAAAATAATTAATATGGTGATTATTACTTCAAGGAAATGATAAAGAAATGATCATAAATGTTCTTCCTTGAGCTGCGGCACCCCGCTGTAGTCGATAGAGAGTAGGTGAGTTGTGTTTAGTCTCTTTGTTAAAGAAATGAGTCAAAGTTAAAAAGATGTTTGGTGGCTAGTACTATGTCTGTGACCCTATATGTCCTGTTGATGAAGTTAGGTGCTGTTCTGAGCATTATTTGTGGCTATAGATTGGCGTTTTGGTTGGGGGCGTGGCTCTCTGTATTTCTATCCTGTGGTCGTTACTAAAGTTGGTATAACTAGAGAAGCAAGCGGTCGACAACATTCATCTCTCGATTGGGGGTCTAACTCGGTGTTACGGTGGGTTTGACCATAAATTAATTTTACGCCGGAATATCCCTTTAATCCAGCTGGTTTGCTTCAAAACGTCACCAGAGGATCTCCACGCTGCTCACTTCAGATCATTCAACCCTCGGCGAATCAAGTCGAGAGGCTGCAAGAACGCACAGCTTCTTCTCTGGTGTTTTTGCTCCGGGGTTACGGGGGCGTGGCACTCATGGATTGTCCAATCAGACTCCGACTACGCTGGTTACATGGTAGAGAAAATCGAATTCCAGTCGATCATCTGGGTGTCTTAATCTGCGTTCTCAAACTCCGATTATAGTCGGATTACATGACCTTCAGTTGTCTGGTCTTAATCGGAATAAGGCGATAATTCGGTTTTCTCGAGTGTCATGTAAACGTTCTGACTGTTGTGAACGATTCTCCTCAGAAGTACGATGAGAGCAGTCTCAGACGTGGACTCGTCTTTGTGTCCGTCGTGTTATTTACTCGGACGTCTGATCAAAGGTTCCCTCTGTGGGGATAAACTGACTTCCATCGTCTCACAGAGAAACAACGGAGTGAAAGCCCGAGACGTTATCAGAGCATTGTTCTGAAAATAATGAAGTGAGTGAGAGGAGCGCGTTCACGGTGTATCACTCAGTGTTTACTGTTCGCTCAGACAATAAATGAGCACAAACAACCAGCTGCAGAGAGCTCATTAATTATCATTAATCATCTACAGCTCATCAGATCTGCAGCTGCTGACATTTGCCTCCTCTTTGAGCGAGCAGCTTCTGTCGGAATATTTGACACAAAGGAGTCCCGCTTTAGGACGGGCCGCGGCGCCGACTCTCCGGACAAAAGAAACCGTGATGATTCGTGACACTTTACAGCGAGGTTCCCGTCAAACTGACCCCTGAGAGTTTCCATCTGAGCAGGAAACAAGGTGAGAACAAGCAGCTGTGATCTCCTCTCTGAGAAAAACACTTTACAGGATATTCAGTCCCTGGATTTGCATCCTGCCGTGTTCACGTTCACCTCCTCCCCAAGGAGAATTGGATTTCTGTCTGATTGAGCGGACTGTGATTTGTTCCTCTGTCTTTTTCTCCCGGTGCGTCCAAAAATAAATCCCATGAACCACTGCGGGTTCTTTTCCGCCCAGACAAGAGGCTGCGACACAGAAACATGCAGAAACATGCGGACAGGTAAAGTCAGGAGCGCTTTTCAAGGACGTTTAGAAGGAGGAGGAGAAAACACAATAACAGAATAATAAAAAGACTCCAGACGAGCCGACGCAGCGAGGCACAAAACAGTTCTGCTTTCTGCTGCGACGCCTGATTACACCTTTGCAACGGCAAATTACCCCCCCGCTCCACAGACTGTAATGATCATGTACCAACCAACGCCAGAAATTAAATGTTCAGCACTTTAAGCTGCGAGGGAGTGAAACTCTACACCCCGAAAGACTCAAACTGAACCGTCTCACGTGTTTGACTCTTTTAAAAACTTACACGTCACGTTTAGTGCAAATGAGACTCAGGAAATGAACGATTCTGTGAGTTTTAATGGTGGGATTATTGTTTTATTTCTTCATAAAGATCTGAGACAGGTCAAAGCGTCAAACGTGTCAAGAGGTTTCAAAAGGTTACCTCGATCCTGAGGCCGTCAGAGGTAGAAGGTGAAGCTCACGAAACAAACCTTTCAGGGCCGCGGTGCAGCGAGCAACAAAACAAATCTCAAGGTCAGGAAAATAAGAGCGTCCACGGGAACAACGATGTACCAGAGAAACAAAACGAGGGTCAGAGACGGGGCCCAATCCAAACACAACCACCAAGACCTGATTTATACCGCTGTCAGACAGCAAAGAGGGTTTCTTTAGTGAAAGTAGGAGATGGTGAAACTCTTACTCTCTTTTGTTTTTGTGAAACATCAACGGAAAAAAAACACAAAAGTTTAAGAAATACAAACAAAAATCGCCAAAGTAGAGTTACTGAAGCAACCATCGTGATTTTTAAAGTCAAGTCTAGGATAAAAAACACCATGAAGATGTTTCGTTAAACGTTCTGTTGTTGTTGTTGTTGTTGTTGATAGAAAAACAAATTACTGTTCAACGTCGACATAACTTAGAAACAGGGAAGTCTACCACAAAGTTTACGACAACAGCAACAAAGAACAGAGATGGTTTTTAGTCCAGGTGCACAGATCTACAGGCAGCTCTTCTTACTTTGCATGAACTCGATGAAAATAAACGGGTTTATGAAACAGGCTCACAGTTTGACAAGATCGTAGTTTTCTTTGGAGGCAGTGGACGACCTCTAACCCCCAATTTCCACCACATCCGGAATGGCAGCAATTTTTGCCATCCGCCAATTCCTACTGTATCCGTTTGTGAGGTGATTTCATGGTGAATTTCAGACAGCGGTAATCACGAGAACTCACAAGAACCCGCGGATTCACGTGTGATATCAAGTTGTCTCTATAAAGACAGACACATAGACATATAAGCAGTAGATTGTGTCCTTCCAGAGGAGGAAATCTACTTCTAGACTTCTAGAATCAGCATCTCCTCATCCATGGTGTCATCGGGGTGAAATGACGTCTAAAAACCTTACACTTGTTCGTTCCTGCCCACACTTGCATGGTGGCCAAAGAAGCCGGATGTTTTATTTTGAAAAGAAGCCGGATGTTTTATTTTGTGTCTGTGCCCGACTTCCTTTCCAGCACGGGTTAATCTGTGCTGAATTTATCCGCCATGCTCCGGCGTCCGATAAAAATAGAACTCTTGTGATCAGCTGAGGAGTCCGGCGATCCGCAGAGGAACGGAAAGAAGTTGGTGTAAATTGACACGTTAACTTAAAAGGTTACGATCAGCTACGATCTGCGCTTACGGCCTTTTCGTTGCAGTTCCGATGTGGTGAAAATTGGGGGTAACAGTCCAGGAGGATCTGAGAACCCAGTACAGAGTGCGGAAGTACCAGACGCTAACAAAGTTAGGTGGTGCGAACGAGTTTCTTTTGAGTATTTGAGGTAGTTTGAAGAACAGCTGTCCTTAAAAACTTCACTGTTTTGTGTTTGATCATATTTTCGTCTTCATTCGGTTGGACATGCAGCAAAGGAACTGAACCAGCTGAAACCAGGACCACGGCCTCTGCGTGTCTGGGCTCTTGGTTCGTTCAGCCTTCCCTGCTCTTGTTCAGGTTTTTAGCCTTCACCCTTTTATCGAGTTTCTTGGTTTGTTTGAGTAAAAGCTCGAACCTTCAGTCGAATATCCAGCCAACAGATTTCAGTCCTGACGGTTTCAAAGTTTTCAAAGCCGTGGATTTTCCTCCGTTTAACCAGCTGATGCCGATTATTTTAGCACTTATCAATCAGTCGCACTGATTCATCGGTTTCTCCTCAGCTCGTTTTATCGTCACCTAGCAACAGGAAACCCCTCACAGATCACACCTGAAAGCACACCTGCTCTTCAGAGCTGCTGGTGTGAGTCTGGATATCTTCAAACACTCTCCGTCTCCTGCTGTCAGCTTCACAAAAGCAGCTGCAGGCCACGCAGTTTAAACTGCGCTCTGATTGGCTCTCGCAGCGGACAGACGGCCCAATGGGATCAATTACAGGAAGAGGATCAGAAGGCAGCACCTGTCACGCATCGCTCTCTTCTGACCCACAATGGGAGGGTTTTTAAATCACAGCCAGATGTTTAAACAGACAGAAAACAGAGACGAGGACGAATCAGGAGATTTCAGAAACACGTGGAGCAGAAACAGAGCGACTTTTGAGGTTTGAGTTTTTCTTTCATTTGGTCTAAATTTGGGACTTAATGAAACTTACTCTGAAGTTTTTTTGACTCTTAGTTTTAGATTTCTTCAGTCTGTTTAATTCTTAAAGGGACATTCTGGCATAAAATTAATTTAAAGAGATGAATGTTGTCGACCGCTTCCTTCTCTAGTTATACCAACTTTAGTAACGACCGCAGGATAGAAATACAGAGAGACACGCCCCCAACCAAAACGCCACTCTATAGCCACAAATAATGCTCAGAACAGCACCTAACTTCATCAACAGGACATATAGGGTCACAGACATAGTACTAGACACCAAACATCTTTTTAACTTTGACTCATTTCTTTAGCAAAGAGACTAAACACAACTCACCTACTCTCTTCCAGCAGACGCTTGTTCGTACACACTGGGAGCAAGGTGGGTAAAGTGTCTTACCCAAGGACACAATGGACAGACTCAGGATAGGGGGGAATTGAACCGCCAACCTTTCAGTTATTGGCCGACTGCTCTACCCCCTAAGCTACTGCCGACAGAAGAACTACCGCGTCTGCAGAGAAAATGATGAATATGGTGATTATTACTTCAAGGAAATGACAAAGAAATGATCATAAATGTTCTTCCTTGAGCTGCGGCACCCCGCTGTAGTCTGTAATGGACTGGCCTGAGGTCTCGCTACAAACAAGCGGCTGCTGGAAGAGAGTAGGTGAGTTGTGTTTAGTCTCTTTGCTAAAGAAATTAGCAAGAAATGTAACACTCTTTTGGGAAGGACAACTGGACTCCAGTTGTCCTTTCAACGTAGAACTGGAAATCATAGATGCTGTGTCCTCAGTTTTAAACAACATCTCCAGGTTTAGGAGGAACATCTGCGTCCATCGAGAGAAGACCTTCATATGATCCCAAACCACATTCTGACATGATAAAGAAATGATCATCAATGTTCTTCCTTGAGCTACGTCACCCCGCTGTAGTCCGTAATGGACTGGCCTGAGGTCTCTGTACAAACAAGCGTCTGCTGGAAGAGAGTAGGTGAGTTGTGTTTAGTCTAATTAGTCAAAGTTAAAAAGATGTTTGGTGTCTAGTACTATGTCTGGGACTATCCCTTTAAGTCAAGCCCACAGTACATCAGCTGATCCTAACGACAGCAGACGTCCCATTGGCTAATATCAGAGTTGGTCCGATCGTACTTGTGTCGTGTATCAGCTCTGCTCTGGGGAGTCGAACCTCCATAATAACTGTTGCATGTAAGTCGGTCCTGACTAAACCTCGATTTAATGTCATCTGTGAGATTCACACTCTCGGCGGTTGTCGGGTCTTAAAAACCCGACTGTCTGCAGCACATTACCGTCATCTCGAAGAATAAAACACCGACATAAACTCAGGCAGGGAGCGGAGCGGCGTTCGGCTGTTTGTTTGTAACACATCAGTTTAAATCACATTACTGCTCCACAACAACAGCAAACAGAGTCCTCACTTATCAGAGGTGTGTGTGTGTGTGTGTGTGTGTGTGTGTGTTATCTGCTGTTCCCATGACAAACACTGCAGCTGGGAGTAAAGAGGAAAGCAGGCGGCCTTGTTTCTAACATAATTGCTTTATGATGAATTACAGCTTGTGATGAGAAACAATGAGCTGCGTTTCTATTTATTTCTCTTCTTCCAGAGCCAAAAAACGAGCCAGGAGTCGTCTCATTAATATCACAAAGATGCAGCTCCTTCAAATATGAGACAGAGCTTCAATCTTATTTTCAATTTCATGGGAAAGAAGAGATGTTAAAAGTCCCCCTCGAGTTTCTCTCCTCAGGGTGTTTCAGACGGACGACAGAGGATTTATATCGTGTTCTGTGTTTCCTCTGCAGGACTAACAGCTTCTCAGATAAATTACCCCGAACCGTTTACTGTGATTGGAGGACGGACGTCAAATAAAGTCAATATTAACAGTTTCTAACGAGCTGTTGAAAAATGAGGACATTAAGATGGACGTGCATGAAAGTGCAGTTCCTTGAGTGTCCACCGGGGGTTCACTGTAACAGCGAAAGAACCCTCATTGGTTATAGAGTTAAAATTAGGGGTATCATCGGCCTCGGCTAAATCGTTATTGGATTATTTGACTATGACGATGTTTAAAAGATTCAAACCCTCAAATCGATTTTCCTCTCTATCATGTCTCATGCCTCCAGGCCACCATAGGCTCCGCCTTCCCCAGTTTCCACACACACCAGTGTAAACAAACATGGCGTTTGCAAAGAAGACCATGATCTCATGGTTAATAAGGACAAGAGCGAGTCAGTCGTGTTGAATTGGTACGACTTCACAGTTTCAGATGAAGAGTAAACCACTCCCCGCTGTAAAGTCTGTCTGAAGGCGGTATCAACCCGTCACCATGGAAACACTAAAGTTTTTTGTCGTATCGGCGTTTCAGGTGACTGTAAACGGTACTTTTTAAAAACAGGTCAGAGAGTGAATAAATCTGTAAACGACGACCATTTCATCTCCGTGTGGATGTCTATCTGCATCTCTGGAAACGATCATGTGACACACAGAATAACTCTTTTATGGCGCCTGCGCTTGTCCGGCAAGAACAACCTTCAAAACCATGCTGGACAGTGTTACAGCGCCACTTGCTGATGTGGCATATGCACTACATCGTTTTCAATGGTTTCATTTTGAGAGATGAAAGAAAAACTTTTTATTTTTAAAGTGAAGTTTAGTGAAGTCGTCACTGAATAAAAAATCAAAAATTAAGTTTTCAGAGAAATTAATCGGGAATAAAATTTGTTATCAAAAAATATGAAAAAAGCACGAGCAGTTAAACAAAGAGAGCGACGCTTAACTTCATCATCTTATCAAGTGAATACAGTTAACTCACATATCTTTAGTTTCTGTTGCTTCATTCACACTAACAGGATCATTCATCTGGAGAGAGTTCCACCTGTTACTAAGGTGTGTTTGTGTCCTCATCCTCCAGTCTGAACCCCGGTGTGAGGAGTAAATCTAAGAAAACGTGCCTGTCAGGTTAAAACGTCTGTTTCCTCTCAGGAGGTCGTATCCATCTCCACCGCCGCCTCTAAAAGCCTCTCCATCTTTGCACGGAGACATCAGAGAGGGCGCAGGATCTCGGTGAAACCCTCATCCCGGCTCTTTGTGCATCACAATGAGATCCTCTACATATTCTGTACATGGCGCCGCCTGTAAAGCTCCTCTGGGCTAATTAAACGTCATTTGTTCCTCTGATCCGGCTCTCGTAGCTTTAATGAACGCTGACTCTCTCCTCGTGTAAACACATTCCAGTTTGTGTCTCGGTCCACCCACTCAGCGCTGCGTCTCTGTGATTTAATTTGCCTTACAGCGAGGCAATCAGATCCGCTGTCCTTCATTAGCGGAGGAGCTTGTTTGTGTGAAGCTCTTTAAAGAATCCGATTCCCCGCTCTACGTGTTCGGCGGCGAGCTGGAGGCGGCAAATGAAGCTACGCGCCGACATCTTCAACCAAATGAAGACAAAGGGATGCAGAGTGTTGTTGTGATTGTCGGAGCCTCTGGAGACTCTCATCAGCGGAGGGATGAGCTCGGGGGATCAAAACGGTCTGGATTATTCGCCCAGGTATCAGACACGCCTAAATTTACCCACAAACCCTCAGTCAGTCTGTTGTGATAATTCCAGGCCGAGGGGGCAGGATACCCAGAAGCCTTTTTTCCCCAATTTTTGAACCACGATACATCTAAAATACATTTAAAAGGGGGTTTCAGTTAGTCCTGGGTCATCAGGAGACGCGGGCCGTTTCTGAATTCGCCTGCTATCCTAGCAGTTCGTAATGATTTGCCGAAAATGTAGTATTCAGTATACAGTTGACAAACAAATGGGAAATTTGTAGAATGCCAAAAATACTCAGATGATGTTCTGATTCAGGAGAATTTCACAGTATGTACCAGACCAGTCTGCTTTACCTACTTTACCCACAATGCAAAGTGCCTGGGCAGATGGCAGAATAGCGGAATAGCGGAGAGCAGCAAAACTGTCTTCTCCGCCTTCTCTCAGCATCATGTATGAAAACCACTGACAAGAATGTTTCGTTATCATACCGTACAGTTTTTATCCTCGATTTCCATCGCCTCAAATTTTCCTGCCTCTCCTCTTCTCTTATTCTGTTCGGTACGCCTGATGTTGACCACTCACAGCGCACGCCATCAGCGATGTTTGCATCACACAGCTGGACAGGCGGCTGGTTTTAGAGGGGGTCTAAAGGTTTAAGCTTGTAGGTAGGTCGATAGGTAGGAAGGTAGATAGGTAGGTCGGAAGGTAAGTAGAAAGGTAGGTAGGAAGGAAGGAAGGAACTTAGGTAGATAGGTAGATAGATAGCAAGGTAGGTAGGTAGGAAGGTAAGTAGAAGGGTAGGTAGGTAGGTAGGTAGGTAGGTAGGACCACACCACGCAGACGCCATCATTTAACACGTTTAGTGAGAATTACAACTTATTTCATTGAAGCGAAACGAGGACAACATAACCAACAACACAACTTTGCTGTGTTTACGGCGCCGTGATGAGAATCAAATGACGCCAGATCAACGAGTCACTGCAGAGACAGAACACGTTTTGATGGTACTGGGCTAAAAAAACCAGAAAAAATCAAATTAAAACAAATAAAAGATTTTTTTTTCGGTGTGTAAATAAACGGGCAACACTGAAGTGTCGGTGCAATTTACCAGAGTATGATGCAGTTTTCTATACTGGAAACTAGTTTAACCAGTCCAACCATACTACTAAATAACGGCTGACCTGCAGTCATACTACATACTACTATCAAACACAGTACTCAGTATACAGTATATACTTCATACTGCGGTCGGCATGAGTATGCAGTCTCTGTAACATAGACCTGTGTGTCGTCTGCATAGCTGTTGAAGTCGGCGCCTAGTTTCCTGATTTCCAAGAGAAAACATGTGAAGGTTAAAATGAGTAGGACCTCGAGTTGAACCCTGGGGGACACCACATCTTCACTCTCACATCTACAGGCTGCTAGAGACAGTGAGACAACTCTGGACTATCCAAGTTGATAAAGTACTTTTGCCTTTGCTGCATAAAAAGCTTCAAAGATTTCATTCGTTTTCAATCATTTTCTTTTACGGCGATAGAAAAACGGTTCTGACCCACAAACAGTGAATCTGGTACCAGCTGTCCTGCAGTGTTAACGTGTCTGTGCGTCCTCAGGAGGCCGGTCTGGCTGTGAGTGTCCTCGCTCTGCTGTCCATCTTTAAAACAACAAGTTCCCAACGGAGGAGAGAACTCTCCGCCGGAGCAGACAGGAGGAGGGGGCTTTGTTACCGTGCCAACGTGTGAAAGTCAGCGACGGTTTGACAGACTTCATTATTCAGCGAGCCGACTTGACTCGACCGACCAGAACGCAGGAGAGAGAGAGAGAGAGAGAGAGAGAGGGTTTTCTCTGACGGGCATCAGCACACTTCCCTTTCTCTGTCTCATTTCTCTCTCTGCAGAAATCTGGTTTAGTAAACTTCCATCTGTCTCAAATCATTACAGAATTAGACACTTAATTTATTCAACAACAACAAAAGCTGATTTGTTTCTGATCATCTAAACTCAAAACTGGAGCTGAACTACCTTTATTACATTTACGCAAAAAAGAAGTGAGTCGAGGAAACTGAATTTTTTTACCTGAGGGTGAAAGTTTTTCTCATATTCTAAAGAGGAATTTCTCAAAATTCAGAGAACATGTGAATCTGGACTCGAGTATGAAGTAGTAGTAGTAACAGATTTGTGTGGCCAAAGGTTTTTAAATCTCTAAATTTGGATTTATTTCATTTGGTACAAACAGCGCAGTTTTAAGACAAATAAAGAAACTCATGTGTTGCTCATGGAAATAAAAAGTATTCTTTCACTTTTTCAAACTTTCCTCCTCCTGCTCTAATTTTTCATTCTTTGTCTGGATTTTAAAACATCTGATAAACTCTGTCATCAGATGTAGAAACAGACAGAAACACTTTAATTGATCTGAGTTGATTGTGTTCCAGTAAGTGTCTGAGCTGCCTCATTAAAGCAGAGGACCGAGGATTGACCCCTGAGGGACACCTATCTGGTTTATTTAAAGGGAAGAACTAGGTCAACTTTCACTCACTGCTCTTTAATAATAATAATAATAATAATAACAATAATAATAATAACAATAACAATAACAACAACAACAATAATAATAATAATAATAATAACAATAATAATAATAATAATAAAAATAACAATAACAGAGTCTGTACGGAGTCTGGATTTTGGGATGGAGAGCAGAGCAGTGACGAAGACCGGAGGTTCCAGGAAAGGGTTTATGTGTGAAGGGGGTCAGAGAGGAACTGAGGGGTGAGGTCGTAGAGATATTTATAGCTGAGAAGTCGTATTTTGTATTTGCCGCTGGATTTTATCAGGAGCCAGTGGAGGTGGATTAGAGTCCAGGTGATGTGCTGCAAGGACTTGTACCGGGTGAGAACCCAGACAGGAATCAAGGCTGCAGGTGATGAGGAGAAGTCAAGGGCCGAAATCTGGAGATGTTTTTGGATGGAAGAAGGCGGAGTCTATCTATCTATCTATCTATCTGTCTGTCTGTCTGTCTGTCTGTCTGTCTGTCTGTCTGTCTGCCTACTAACCTAACTACCTATCTTCCTTCCTACCTACATTTCTAACTTCCTTCCTACCTAACTACCTTCCTACCTACATACCTTTCTACTTTCTTACCTTCCTACTCACCTACCTTTCGTACTTACCCTTCTACCTACCTACCTACCTACCTACCTCTATCTTCTTCTCTTTTAACACATTTTGACAGTCTGAGAAATTTTTGTTCTGGATAAATTTGGAGATGATGACATCCCTTGAGTTGCCCTTGAAAATTAGACAGGCCTCCTCATTTCCTGTTTTTAAATCCCTTTTAAAAACGCACTTTTACTCATTGGCTTTTAGTACATTGTAGTGTTAATTTGTTTTTTATCATCTTAGCACTTGCCGTGAGCCTCCTTATTTATACACTTATTTATTCTTTTGCATTACTGTATTTCTGCTCGCTTTATCTTGTTCTTTGATTGTTTTATTTGTTTTTATGTGTCACTGTACAGCACTCTGATAAATCCGTGCTCTAGATAAATTTGGAGATGACGACATCCCTTAAAAGGTCAAAGGTCACTCAGCTGTGCCATCAGGACCTCTGACTTCCTCTCTTTTTTATTTTGGGGGTGGGGCTTATTTAGGTAAATGAGGCTCTGAGTGAATTTGCATCTGAAGCGAGGACTCCTGATTAATTTCCTTTAAAAAAATGACACTCCCATTAAAGTCTCAAGATTTATCGCACACACGAACACATTAACGTCAACACAGCCGTAAAAATCGTCTTTTACGAAGCCGCTTTATCTCGACAGCTCAGCAAACAGGTGGGCGCCTCTGCAGAAACACAAACAGAGAGCGGGAACCTTGACGTCTAAATTTAACCGCAGGTTTTTATAACGGACAGTGACGAGACGCAGAAAGGCGATAATCGGCCTCATCAGCGGAAACAGACGGAGGAAGAGCGGGAAGAAGAAGAGAAAGAGAGGATGAAGAGTTAAGTGTTCCTGAGGAAAATCCTGGGATCTTGAGTGAGCTGTGGTTGATGTGATGATATTATCTGCTGCATGAAGAGGCTTTTGAATCAACTCCAGTTAATCAGCTGCTGTGAAGAGACGCTGGCAGATGGATAGGAGAGCGCTCACGGGCTGTAATTATTCAATCAACACACACTCACACTCACACACACACACTCACACACACACACACTCACAGACACAGGCTGTGATTTTAATACGGGCCAGCAGCGTCCTCGCTAAAGGACATTATCGTGTTTTTAAAGCTGAATTAGATTTTTGATTAAAATTTAACAGAAAAAAAAACAAAAAGACTTTTTTCAGCTTCAAGTTTCTCTCATTTCTCACACACCAGGTTTTTTCTCACCGTGGTGGTCTTGACTCGGCCTCCTGGTTGCGTGCAGGTCCAGCCCGACTGGTTGACCAGGAGGTCGCAACCTTCATCGTCCAAACACGGGCTCATCTCACACCACTGTCGACTCCACACGATACGAACTGAGGAGGAAAGAAGAAGAAGAAGAAGAAGAGTGTGAGTTTATCATCTCTCTTGTTTTTCCGTCACTATTGAACATGTTTAATATTTAAGAGTTCAGGTCAGGGTCTGATGGTCTTCAGCTCAGACCGGAGGACCCAGAATCACCACCATACCCCGGTTGTGTGTCCCCCTTAACTGACTCATCCTCTGCAGTGTCGGGTCGTTTCCATATTTGACATCCTTTGACTTTTCCTCTGATATCACATCTTTACTGCTTTTTATCAGGTTTTAAATCCTCTCTACTCTAAAAGTTTTCGTGTTTTCACTCCAGATAAACAAAAGGTGACGTTTTTTGCTGAATGGAGGTCACTTTTTTCTCCATCTTTGGACTTTTGATTGTTAAAAAAAAGGCCGATTTTATGTCGTGAAGGAGTGAACTAAAACCAGCCGAGTCTGTTTACAGAACACAGACCTCTTCGTTCAAAACACTCAGCTATTTATAAAGATATAGGACATTCTCACTACCACATTTGCATATTGTGGCTCCCTGATTGGTCCACAGAGAGAGGTGGTGGTGGGGGGGGGTTAAGAGAAGGAGGAGGAAGTGTGCTGAGAGATAAAGAAACTGGAGTCTAATTATAATAGAAATATAAAACACAGAATCAAACAATGTTTGGTTTTAAATGGGTCAAGGTATAAAAATCAGGAGACTACATCTCCCATGATGCACCCTGATAGTTATTTATAAGGCCCTGCCATCACAGTGAAACACAAGTATGATTAAAGTCATCATTGACGATTGAAGAGATTGGTGATTATTATGAACCTGGTTTCTATGGCGATCATCGTCCTATAGTGCGATCTCCACAAAGTGAAAAAAGATCGGAAAAATCCGTTCATCCTATCAGGTGCAGGGCTGCAAAAACATTGACCAATGGGAGCAATCCGTCCCGCACAGCTCCTTGTGCTCCGCCTCTCCATCCAATCACCTCGCTGTATTCGACACACCCCTCTCCCGTAGTTCCGACTCGTCCCCTCCCACTCTCCCGGCCCTCCTCGGAGCTCTGAGCGGCTAAAAGTAGCGTAGCAGCTTAGCTACAGGAGCTGTGATGGAGAAGGACGCAAAAAAACCCCACAAATACTTCTGCTCGCCCAAAAGTGCCAAGAAAAGTGCGAAGAAAACGCAAGCCGAGAGAAGAAAGGGCGGAGTCAAAGAGGAAATGTGACCAAGCGAGGAATCTAACGTGAATAAACATCGGGTCATCCTTGGAGCGGTGGAGAAAACAGACGCAGAGACAGCCGAGTTTTTGTTGACCAGGTCATTTTTATCGCCTTAAAAGACACTTTAAAGACACAGGTCCGCAGAGGAATAAAACTGAGACATCAGCCTGAAGACTGTCTTATGATAGTAAATATAGATCACTGTTTATAGAAATACACAATTATTACATTCGCTTCACTCTCAGAAAAGTATCCGGTGACTTTACAAACGTTTTAACTCCACTGAAACTCTAAGACTGTTTTACTCCTAAACTTATTTACAGTTTCTCTTAAAAAGCTTTTATTTCGCTCATGTCGATCTCCTGATTTCAGGGTCAGCTGTTCATCTCCTGAGATTTTTTTCTTGCAAACAAAGAGTCGTAGTTTAAAGCAGTGGTTCTCAACTGGTGGGTCCTGACCCTAAAGTGGGTCCTGACCACGTTCTGGATGGGTCACGAACAGCTGGTCCAAAAAGTAAATATTTAATACGCATCTGATGTTTGACGTGTCTTTTATTTTGAAAAATAGCTTATTTTGAAAGGCAGGCATTATGTCGTGGTCCTCGGTTCCTTATTAAGGTGGTTTTTATTTTGTTCAATTTGATATTTATTCACTTTAGTCCTCTCCAGGTTCTTTTGAATTTGCTCTGAATGCAGAGATTTTTCTGGTCTCCATTTTGGACACTTTGATATTTTCTGTTTAAGGAGCTTCAGTCGTTGTCGTCCTCAGTTCATTTGCTCTGAAATGCACTTTACTCAATAAAAACTGTGTATGTATAAAAGATAAATTTGCTTGGTTTGAATTTTATTAAAGTGGGTCATGACTGAAGGACTGTGGGAAAATGTGGGTCCCAGAGTGAGACCAGTTGAGAACCCCTGATGACAGTCAGAGTTGTTTCCAGTGTCTGTAACCTCTGCCGGCCGGTCTTTGTCTGCATCTCTCTGCAAACTCAGGACGGAGGAGGAGGAGGTGCGACAATTCTCAGAAACTTTTTATTAAATATGCAAAAGTATGCAAATACCACCTGACGTAACCTAATGTAACAACAACAAACATAACGCAAGGCAGAGTAAGACAAAGCAGAGGTGACACGAATCAGCAGCTCTCAGAAACCTGGTCCAGATCTGAAGGAGTTCAGTGACTCTTCATTTCAGATAACCTCATGATCCCAAAGAGAGACTGAGACGTACGATATGATGCCATGAAAAAAACAATATCGTCCAAAGATTCAAACTTAAAGCTCCTGTGAGGAGTTTTTAACAGCCCCTCTCGCCTCCTCTTTCGTTCAGCAGGGTGTAAAATCCCCCGTCAGTACGGAGGTCACCTTTTTCACCGTGAGGGAGCGGCGCCTTTCTGCTGATCACATCCTGGTCTTTGTGTTTTCTCTGGTGCAGTAAAACTGACCCCCCTGAGAGTATCAAGACTACATAAACGACAGGCCCCCCTTCTCCACCACAGATCACAGCTAATTACACCTGCCCTGAAGTAACCTCGCTCCCACTGTTCCCATCCATCTCCACCCACTCTCCCACTCGCCTCCATCTCCATGATTATTGCAGTAGTTAAACGAGTTCACGCGCCCTCTTTCCAACCTCTGCTGGGCGCTGTCCTGTGTGCATCCGCCTGCTTTTTCACCCCGGTTCTGCCTGTCTGGCCTTTAGTCTGACCCGGGTTTTAATTGGAGTGTGTCTGATTTATCTGCCCGGCTGTCTTTGACCCCTGACCACCTTCTCAACAAAGTAAACTTGGACTGTTTTTTTAATGCGTTCAACTTAACTTCCAAGGCGTGACAGCATCTCCAAATACAGCTGAGCGTGAGGTCCACTGTCATCCGTGAAGTTCTGACCCAACAGAACCAGAGAGCAGAGGTGGACTGGACCCTGAGACCTGGTTTTAAACCGTCATGAGCGGAGAGTTCACAGCAGAGGACAGAAAAATAACAGACAGTTCAGTATTATAACTAATATTCTCATGATCTCTTCTGTTTATTCCGTTTGTTTATTTCCTGTTTTATTTTGTAGGAGTTGATTCCTCATGTTTCTAGTCTGGTTTTACTTCCCTAGTTTTCTCTCCTTTGTTTATCACCCATCAGTCTCACCTGTGTCTCGTTTCCCAGTGTGTGTAGATAGTCTCTGTCTTCCCTTTTGTTCTTGTTGGTTCATTGTTCGTCAGTGTGTGTGTCGGCCTGCATCCTGTCAGACTAACTCTGTCAGACTAACTCAATCAGACTAACTTAGACCAACTCAGATTTAAACATTCAGACTAACTTAAACTAAGTAAGTCAGACTAACTTAAGCTAATTTAGTAAGACGAATTTAAACTAACTTAGTCAGTTTAGCTCAGATCAACTCACACTGACTCAGTTAGACTAAATTAGTCAGACTAGCGTAGTCCAACTCTGACTAACTCATTCAGACTAACTTAAACCAATTGTCAGACAATCTTAGTCAGACTAACTCTGTCAGACTAATTTATTCAGAGTAGCTCAGATCAACTCAGTCACAGTATTTACAGTAAGTCAGACTAATTATGTCAGACTATCTCTCAGAATAACTAAGACCAACTCAGACTTACACATTCAGACTAACTCAGAGTTAATCATTAAGACCAACTCAGTTAGACAAACCTAAACTAACTGAGTCGAAATAATTTAACCAACTTAGCTCAAACCTACTCAGACTAACTCAGTTAGACTAAATTAGTCAGACTTACTCAGACTAACTCAGTTAGACTAAATCAGTGAGACTGGCTTAGTTCAACTCTGACAGATTATTCAGTCTAACTCAGACTATTCAGACTACCTCAGTCAGACTGTCTAACTCAGACCAACTCTGTCAGACTAACTTAGAAAATCTCACTCAATCTGACTCATCTAGACTAATTTAGTCAGACTAATGTAAACAAACTCAGACTTACACTGACAGACTAACTCATACTATCTCACTCAGACTAACTCACTCAGACTAACGCTGACTATCTCAGTCACAGTATCTCAGTCAGACTTACTTGGACTAACTTATTCAGACTAACTCAGTCAGACTAACTCAGACTAACTAATTCAGACTAACTCAGTCGGACTAACTCAGACTACTTAAATCAGACTAACTCAGACTAACTCTGACAGACTAACTCAGACTAACTCGGACTAATTAAGTCAGACTAACTCAGTCGGACTAACTCAGACTAACTCCTTCAGTCGTCCTGAGCGATCCTCCGTCTCTGTCGCCTCATTCGTTAATGAATTCTTCACTTGAAGGGATTTCCTGCTGTTATGGCGACGCTTTACTGACCCAATTATTCCCCGTTGTTCCAGCCTCGCTCTCATTCCCGGCGTTAAATTAAACTCTGTGAGCCCGGCCGGGGGGAAGATGAAGAAAATGAAAGTCTGTACCGGCCTGTAATACATAACCAGGTAATCAGTTCTCCCTTTGGAGCGGCGGAGCAGTGGTGTGATTGTGATAGCCCGTTAGCCCCCAATTATCAAACCAATTTCCTATTGAACAGCAGCTCCCCTCAGCCATGATACTTAATTAAATCCTCACATTGCTCTCACACCTCTATCATGATGAAGAGCGAGGAGTCCTCCTACAGAACCAGGAAATACTTCAACGGCTTATGAAAAGGTTATTTAGAATTGAGGTCCAGAGTTCAGGCTTCAAATTACAAACAGCACAAAGATTGAATCAAAACCCAAACCCACACTTACACAAATGACTTCGATTTTAGTCCAGAGGTGAAAACACGGAGATCTTTGCTTCTCACGAGGGCGCAGTGAAGAACCAGGGGGGGGGAGGGCCGCGAAGAGTCCAGCTTATCAAAACCCTCAGAGAAACAACGATCCAGCTTCCAGTGACCGCTCTTTACCTCTGTTTTCTGTTTGACAGCGTGGAAACTGGTGGACTCAGGGAGGAACCGGTTTGAACAGGTTTGAAGCTAAAATGGGCCAAAAACTTTGAGGGAAAGACCAGATCTGATCCTCTGACCTGTACTGGAGTTGAGGGGGGATGGGATCCTAAATCATCCCCTCTCTAAAACGGTCATCCAGACTCTCCATCCCTTCAGCCATTAAAAAAAATACTGTTATAACATCAGAAATATTACCGCAATTTTAACGTGTAGCGGGTGTGACAGAGCGGCGTCCTCACTGACTGCGGGCAGCGCATGGACACATACCTACATTCACATCAGTCAGAGAGTAAGCTTCCAGTCCACACCTCAACACACCAACGGGCGCCAAAGTGGGACTCAAACCGGTGTAGCAACAGGAAAACGAAGCGGACGCTTTCGGACGTTTACGATCAGAATCTGCGGGTCGATCTCCGATTGAATCAAACGCAGTAAAGTTTAAATTTGTACCTGATGTGATTTTCACACCACAGGTACGACACCAGGATAATGTCCTCTCTGCTCTGATGTTCTGTCCTGGAATATTTCACCACTTCTCTCCCTGTGGCTCAGCAGAGCAGCACTGAGCGCGCTCAGACGCCCCCTGAGACACAATAAAAGGTGTCAGGGAGCGGAGCGGCGTTTGTTTGTTTCTGAGCAGACGACGTGTAATCACAGCTTCTCTGAGTTTCCTGCTGAGGATGAAGATGGGAGCCGACAGAGGCCGCCCTGTCGGCTGATTTGCCTCTTTCCTTCATCGTCCCAGGGCGCCGTCGCTGAGTGAAAACGCCACATGCTTCCCAGCATAACGCTGCCATTACCACAGCAGGATCCCAGCGTTTTATCCGCCGCCTCACGGCGAGGATGTAAGTGCTGCTGTTTCCTGAAATCGGCTGGAAACACTCAGACTGAGCATGTCGACCCAGACACAGGAACCAAGAGAAAACGCAGAATCAGGACCAGGACCAGGACCAGGGCGGGCTCAGGACGAAACTCAAAAACCCAAGGTCACAGATACGAGAGCTTCACCGAAGGAGCAAATAAAAATGGACTTTTAGTTTGTTTTCTACATTTTCTGTGGTTTTATTTTATCACTTTAACACGGAGAACAGTGGAACCAGCTCACCTCCAGTTACCCAAAGTGGTTCCTGTTAACCACGAAGGCTGAACGATATCGGACAAAAACTGACATCACGATGTTTTTCAACCCTGTGATATATATTGTGATATTTAAAAATACAGGAATTTTCCCAGATGAGCTGAATTTGAGTTTCTGCTGAAGTCTTGAGGACAGTTAACCTGCACTGATCTTACCTCATTTTGTGAATGTTAGAATGGCTTCTGTCTGTCTCAGAGATATTTTTAGTTTTTATTGTGCTGGGACGTTCTTGTGGCGACAGATGAACACAGAAGACGTGTTTTGGTCCACAGTTTTCTCTTCTTCGTTGCTCATTTTGCAATCGTTGTTGTTCCCGGTGTTGTGCTGAGAAACGCATGTCCTCCAGGTATTGCATCCACCTCGCAAAACGTGCACCGCTTATAGTAGAGTGGTCCACGGAAATGTACCCATACAATTCTTATCTGTTGGGATAAACAGTGATGAGGAATGTTCCCGAAGTATTTCTCAGCAGACACGAGTTTCTCGACACAACACCGGCAGTGCCAGCGACTCTCTCCATGTGCAGGGGTGTGGTTTCCCTCTCTGATTTCGATTGACAGCTGGCAGGGTAGTCTGATTGGCAACTGAGTAAAGAATGAATGTGATTGGTGGATCACTGAACATGCAGAGTCACATGTTGTCCTTTCCAAAAGTGTTACATTTCTCGCTAATTTCTTTAGCAAAGAGACGAAACACAACTCACCTCCAGGTGAGTCCATCGACTACATCGGGGTGCTGCAGCTCAAGGAAGAACATTTATGATCATTTCTTTATCATTTCCTTGAAGTAATAATCATCATATTAATCATTTTACAGACGCGGTAGTTCTTCTGTCTTAGCATCTCGGTCTGATTGTATTTCCATAAAGAAATGATCATAAATGTTCTTCCTTGAGCTGCGGCACTCCGCTGTAGTCGATGGAGGAGAGAGGTTGAGTCTTTCTGTTAAAGAAATGAGTCAAAGTTAAAAAGATGTTTGGTGTCTAGTACTATGGCTGTGACCCTATATGTCCTGTTGATGAAGTTAGGTGCTGTTCTGAGCATTATTTGTGGCTATAGAGTGGCGTTTTGGTTGGGGGCGTGTCTCTCTGTATTTCTATCCTGCGGTCGTTACTAAAGTTGGTATAAAACTAGAGAAGAAAGCGGTCGACAACATTCATCTCTGGAGGGGGGGTCTAACTCGGTGTTGCTTAATTTTATGCTAAAATATCCCTTTAAGACGGTCTCGGTTCTGACCGCCCTCCCGTCGGCGTATCTCATCTCAGGACAAATTCAAACATCGTGCATCATCCCCTGAACTGAGCAGGAGCTTCTTCTGACCAATGGGAGCGCTGGATCCAGGACTCAGGCGGTCAGGATGATTTAGCGGGGCCCTCTGAAGAAACGGGCGCATCTTCGGGTGTTAAATTTAGAAAACGGTCAGAAAACCGTAAACAGACGCTCACATTAAACACTGTGCGGCGCCGACACGCTGAATTAATCTCAGGTATCAGTGAACACCTGAACACCTGCGAGCACTGATTAATGAACGACTAAAACGCAGATCCATCCACCGCCAACGCCAACGCCAACGCCCGGCACAGTCCATTTATCCGCAAAGAGAGGAGGCCGTTTTGTAATCACTTCATTCATCAACGACGGTGTCCAGAAGGAGGGTCCCCGAGGACGACACGACGAAAAGAGAGAAAAAAAAAACAGTCTGGAAATAAACAAAAATCCATCAATTTACTCGTTTATCTTAGAAAGAAATTTTATTTTTATTCTCTCTTATTTTTCTACAGGGTTTATTTTCAAATAAGAATCAATAATGTAAAAAAAGACGTTTTTTTTCTCCTCAGTTGGGGTTTAAAATCCTCTCATAAAGACATGATTGGTGTTATAAAAAAAACTTTAAAAGATAAGAAAAGTCTGACGCTCTCAGGACGCCCTGTCTCATTTCTAACAGCTGATATGAGAGCTCGCCGCCGCTGTCCTCCTTTTACAGAGTCAGAGTTTTTTTTTCTGTTCAGGTGTTTTTTCCTTTCCTTCAGTATCTCCTCTCTCTTCTGTCTGCAGAGTGTTTTTATTGTCTTTAGGACTCCAGGAGTCTGACTCAAAGTCTTTCAGCCCGGGGTCCCTGAACGCTCCACCTCTCTGCCCTTTTCAGTTCGTCTCCACCTGACGAGAAAAACCAAAAGGTCTCTCTCGTGTCTCGGCTGTTTGTTTCCTCAAAGAGCCTCAGAGCGCCTCAGCCTGCTCTTCCTCTCTCTCTCTGTCCGTCTGAAGACATGAACGTCAGCAGGAAATACTCCCAACACTCACAGATTAGATTTTTCCGGGTCCAGCTGACGTCTCTGTTGGTTTATGTGAACAGGAGCCGCTTCAGTCCAAGAAAACCTCCAAAAAAAAAATCAAATTTAGAGACACAGACTGCGACGCTCTTGGAGAGCAAACCCAAACTTTTCAGATTTGATTAAGTTTGTGTTTCTGTAAATATGAAAACTCAGGAGCGCATCCTGAAATTACCTCCTAACAACAACCGGGACGGAGACGTCTGCAGGCGGATGAGAAGTGACCGCGGTCTGATCCAGCGGCACAACGACCCAAAGGAAACCCGGCGACTTCCAGAGATACAAACTGACGCAAATACCACCGTGCTGCGGCGCTCACCGCTACAGAAAGGTCACTGAGGTCTGAGACTCATGCAGGACTTTCTCCACGCTGAGTGAACATTTTAAAACCTCTCTGCACGACCAGCGTCAGCAGAACCAACAGGCTGAGAAAAGTGTTTTTACAAAACCTGAAAAATTTAACTGGAAAAAAAGTAAAATTAAATAAAATTTAGTCACTTTAAATGTTTTAAAGAAGCTCTGAATGATCTTCTACTACTTTTACTTTTATCACAGTCATTGACTCTGTGATGAGGAAAACGGTCATCGGGGGCAAACCACGGCGTCAGGTGGGGAGGGGGCAGACTGACAGATCTAGACTTTGCAGACGATTTGGCGCTCATTAGCCACGCCCACGTTTCACTAAATGAATTAACAGCCTGCATGAGGAGCAAAAGTCGGTCTACGTATAAACCAAGAAAAGACCGAGGACATGACCGTCTGACATCGTCTCTGACAGGAGACAGAGAATGAGCGGACATGGACTCAGACCGCCGAGAGAGAGAGAGAGACCGGCGAGTGTGGCGATAGAGGGAGGACAAAGAAGACATGGAGACAAACAGCCGAGGAAGACCTGAGCGAGACGGGAGTCAGCTGGTATGGAGAGAGAAGGGTCGCAAGAGACCGGAGCAAAAGGAGGGGACTCATCGCCCAAAGTTCCAACAGGAACGGGGAGAACTAAGTCTGAGTCAAAGTAAAAACTCTTGGTTTCTGCAGAATCTCTGAGCTCTTCAGACCAGGACCAACTCTCTGAACCAGACTGTAAACATGCTGAAGGCTTCTATGGGGTTCTTGTGCTTCTTCAGCCAGCCTCAAGTGGACACTCAGGGAACTGCAGGTTTATCACCTCAGCATCGACTTCATTCCTCCAGACCAGAAGAATAAGACACTCAAGTCCAGAAAATGTCAAATTTTGAAATTCTTTTAAATCCATTAATGAGTAAAAAGAAAAATTCTATATTTCATTCTCGAATTAAATGACGTGTAATATCCTAAAAAAAATACGTCTCCCTGAACTTGTTGGATAATCTTTTCCCAGACGAAGACAAAAATAATCGTTAAGATTCGAGTTTCTGCGATAAACAGCAGGAATTTGACTAAATTCACCAGTTAGAAGCACAGATAGTGAAAAGCGTCACTTCATGGCCTGCCTGAACTAGCACCGCGCTTTAATTATAGATGAGCAGCTTCACTTATTCTGACTCTTATTCAGGACAAATCTCTGCAGCAGGGATGATGTCTCTTTATTTACCTTCTTGTGTTGTTTTCCCTCTAAAAATGTCCTGTGTTGATTTTTTCTGAAAGGTTTCTGCTTGTTTTAGTTTTTTTTCGTCTGTCTGGATTCTGCAGAGTTTACCTGAGATTGCAGCAGAAAACAGAAGCTGACATAAACACCAGCATGCTGCTCTGAAACCGTCAGAGAAAGGATGGAGATTTTAAAATGGACGGTTTTTACACTGATCGAACAACGTCTGATAAACAACACACTCAAAAGTATGTTATTTATGATCCGGCTGTTCAGCGGTTATACGTCTCTTTTTAAACACAGGCCTCTGTTTGCTTCACAAGTGAACCACGCTGCAGATTCTATAACCTGACGTCCTGAAAACCTGCCAAAGAAACATCAGCGTCGACTGTAGCTGTCTGAGAGAGACGCCAGAGCACATTAGGATTCGATTTTCTGAAACGTTCAGAGTGAAAAAAAAACAGGAAGCAGCTGACGAGTCTTTGAGCTCAGAAAAACAGGTCGCAGCGATCGTCAGCGATCGTCAGCGCTCTCGTATCTGCTGCTGAAAATATCCTCCCAGAGCAGCAGAGCACATTCAGGATGCAGCGCCAACCATCACTGATGAACACACTTTAACCTGATCAACACACACACACATGAACACACTCTCACCTGATCAACATCCAAACACACCAGCTTGAACGCCTCAGACTGTTAGCATGTTAGCAGAGCGGCTCTAAGTCATGCTGTCACCGCGTTCACTCAGGCCGGGTGTGAGTGAGCGGCTCGTCCCGTAAATAAGGTCATGAATGAGTTTTTAAATCAGGAACAAAGACGACATGAAACTGAATTTATGTTATTCTTCCTTCAGGTTATTAAACAGTTGGACTCTCATATGTCTAACAACAGATGTTTCTCCAACAGTTTAGCAGAAACTTTCTTAAGAACTGTGACCTTATTTATTTTAAAACTGCAGTGGACAAAACTTCAAAATAAAAGCACTGTGCTAAAAAATAGGGAAAAAATGGGTGTCTTTTACTTTGAAAAGCCTTCAACCAAAAATGAGAAAATTTGGAGTTAATCTAATGCCCGATCTCCACCTTCATCCTGATCGTCTCCTAAAAGATCGTATCCTCCGATCGTAGCTGATCGTAACCATTCAAGTTAACGTGTCAATTTACACCGACTTCTTTCCGTTCCTCTGCGGATCGCCGGACTCCTCAGCTGATCACAAGAGTTCTATTTTTTCTGGACGCCGGAGCATGGCGGATAAATTCAGCACAGATTAACCCGTGCTGGAAAGGAAGTCGGGCACAGACACAAAATAAAACATCCGGCTTCTTTTCAAAATAAAACACTCCGTGTTTCAGGAGGATCGTATTTCACACCATGCAAACGGGCGGAGACGAACAAGTGAAAGGTTTTTAGACGTCATTGATGACACCATGGATGAGGAGATGCTGATTCTAGAAGTCTAGAAGTAGATTTCCTCCTCTGGAAGGACACAATCTACTGCTTATATGGTTAGCCTCTGTGGCTGAGAGACTTGTTATTGTGCGATTATGAATCTGCAGGTTCTTGTGAGTTCTCATGATTCCTGTTGTCCCTAATTTGCCACGAAATTCGCCTGACACACGGATCTGGTAGAAATTGGCGTACTGCGAAAATCGCCGCTGTTCCGGATGCGGGTTATGTTCAGGTTCTGATGCACAATTCGGATTTTTTGTTAAACAAAAATGTTTTTTGAACGGAATGTGTCTGTGAAGTGACCTGCATGCGCACAAATTTCTTTCCGCGCCTGTTTGTGTCGTTGAACAATGGTGACGTTTGTCTCATATTGATGACGTAAAGGTCGGATGAACGCGACCTGAGCGTCCACACTGCAGTCACATCAGATACATATCTGATTTATATCCACATACAGAAGAGGCCTGGGTCGGATCAGAACCAATCAGAATTGACCTGTTCACACTTAGATGAAAAAATCAGATATGAGTCACAGATGGTTAAAAAATCGGAGTTGACCTGCAGTCTGAACGTAGACTAAGATGTCAAAATGACAGCCTGGTGGTTGCAGAGATGTGGCGCTTGTTTAAATGTAGACGCAATAAGTCATGTAAAAACAAAAGACTTCGATAATCTTTAAAAAGAAAAAACTTAAAAAGGGATAAAATCTGAACCCCAGATGTGAACTCGACTCCAGGTGAATAACTGAACAGAAAAGTCGATCTGCACATCCTCCTCCTCAGAAGAAACACTGGACAGTTTGTTCACACTCTGGTTTTCCTGTCAGCAGCTAAAGAAAGCTGCAGATTCGTCTGAAAACAGGAGAGATATTTGAATTTGTGTTTGGATGCAGCTGTGAGAGCAGCAGGAGCGACTGCAGAGGCTCTTAAACTCGGCTAAACAACTGTTCAGAGTCTGTAAAAATCACCAGGAGAGCCTGTAAATCCCTGCAGAGCACACCGAGTCCCCCCAGCTGTTGTCATCGTCTCCAGATGGCAGAAACAAAAAGAGACGGAGAGAGGAGGAGACAGCCGCTGATGAAATGCAGTGCAACTCTGAGCTCTGACTTTGTGAACCTGGCAGTCCAGACGCAGAGATGTGGAGGATTAGGAAGGAAGCTGCAGGTATCTGCGTGTTTGTTTCACCCGTAAACTGACGGTTCGAGCTTCTGCATACTGACATGACGTCGTCAATCACTGCCAGAAAACTTCCAAGTGTAATTTACCCTGAAAATTATCTGAAGCTGCTGTGTGCTTTCACCGCTGACTGAGAACAAAGGCAGAAAACACGTCTCTGTTTTTTTTTTCAGACGTTTGATCGAAGGAAACTTCTCACCGTCCACGCAGGCCGGTCTGGCCCGTGTCGTCCCGGCGATCTGTCCCTTCCTGCAGGCGCAGCGAGCCGTCTGTCGGGCGATGGTCCTCCTTGGCTGACTGCTGTCCCGGTCCAGAGTGACGATCTCACAGGTTCCCGCCGCCAACTGACCTGAGGGACAAACACGAGTTAAATTCAGTTAAACTCAGATTATTTCACGTTAACTCAGTCGGACCTGTCACCTGTGCTACGTTGATAATGAGAATTTATGGAACCAGGTTCGTTTTTACAAACAGTCAGAAATGTCCTGAGGAGTTTACGGATTTGTATGAATAAATAAATTATATTCAGCCATGTGGGACTCTTCTGTGAGCGAACACCAACCCTTCGTTTCAGAGACGAACATGACAGGCCGGAGCAGGGAGAGCAGCAGCAAAGACCGAGGCGGTACAGAGAACCTTAAAGGGGCGTTCACACCAACCGCCAGTGAACTACATGTGAAGTCGATGCAAAGACGCGATTTGACGATCTTTCTACTCTGGTGGGTGACACGAATGAAGCGAGTTAATCCGGTGATTCGCCACATTTACACGATCGAGGCGAATTCACGAGAATGAAAGTATCTCAATTTGAGCGAATATTTGCGTCATGGTAACCAATCAGCACGAAGATTCCCAGGTGACGCATGGAACAGACCTGAAGATGCTCACTGGTGTGGAAAATGGAGGAGGAGCTTATATTTGTGGAGCTTAATCGCCATCAGATGAAAAGTTCTGGGGTTTTATCGTGATCCTTAATCTCAAACGTGTAAATCCAGAATATTTCAAGTTCTGATTCCGATGACAGGAATAACATCAGAGCGATCGTATTTTACCCACAAGGTGGCGCCTGACAGAGGGGGCAGGCACACGTCTTGGCCTCACAGGTGGCTCCTTGGCTCCACAGGTTCACAAAAACCGCACATTGTTGACTCTGTTGGAGGTTTCAGACAGGGAGGAAATACTCTGACGGGCCTTCGACTCGAGCTGAACTCTGAGCTCCAACTCTATAAATATGATTTCATGTTTGTTTAACTGAGCGTATCGTAGAAGTTTCATGTTGTAGGATCTAACGGACTCTTTCTATGACCTTTAGGACCTTCAGGAGAAGAAATCTATGCTGGTGTGAGGAAAAGCGGCGTGGAGGAGCTGATGTTTAAATAACTCTTTCAGAAGCGTGAAAGCAGCAGCGAGTACAGAAGGTCCGTCACCTCCGTCCAAAAACACCTCTTCACAGCGTCTTTATACCCAGGTAACCTCCCCGCGCCGGTCATAGCGGCTGCGTCTCACAGGGATGCAAAGTACGGCTCTTTGTATAAGTGCATGAAACCGCTGAGAGGTCAAACCTGAGGAGGAGCCTCTGCGTGACCTTGAAGACGTGGACTAAAGTAAGAGGCAGCAGCCGACGCTCCGACACCGGGTCTATTTTCACAGTCGGCTGGAGGTTGACCTCCCTGAGCGAGTTCCTGTTTTTAGGAGCAGCAGAGTCATCAGTGACACCCTGAACTTTTCATCTCTGCCTCTGGAGGGAAACTGGTAACTGGATGAATCTGGAATATATCTGGATGTAAAAATAGCTCCAACACTCATTAATAATACCTGACAGACGTGACAGGATCAGGTGTTCAGATATAAGATCACCTGTATCGCTCAGCTGCTCATTAATAATAATGACTTCTGTGATACGGTTGGAAATGAAGATCCTGCTCGGAGCAGAGAAAGAGTAGAGATCAGCTTCTGTGGATCGGACCAGCTCTGTCAAAAACACCTCTTCATTCAGGGAGTAAAGTCCTCACTTTAACCGTACTCTCAGATACGTAACCTGAAGTCACTCTGATTGGGCGTTCACACCAAGCGCGAGTAAAATCATCTACTCGCCTCATCCGCCACAATCATTTAGTCCATTTTCGCAATTCTGGGTCTCCTCCAATAGCCACACCCGGATGACGGCCATTTCCAGCGGTATTTTTGTATTACCTGAACATAATTTGACGACCTGTTGGTGAGGGTCGGCGCCAGGATATCCCTCCAGGATACCGATTACAGGCGCTCTATCCCAGCTGCAGAGCGTCTGTCCGTCTGTCTGCTGTGAGTAAAAGGATTTGTGTTTATATTTTCACACCAGTCAACATCTTCCGGTCCGTTTTCATACGTCATCCAGGAATCTTCATGCTGATTGGTTATCACAACATGAATTTCTGCTCAAGCTGAGATATTTTTTACTCTTGCAAATTAGCGTCTGCTTAATACGCATGAAAAACTCCACTGCGCAGGAGTAGTACAAGCATCTAATTGCGTTTTTTTGTTGACTCAACATGTATTTCATGAAAGTGAATGATTTCACTCACGCCCCATAAAAGGCGACTTTGAGAAACCCTAAACTGCTGTCAGCCTCAAGTGGACACTCTGGGAACTGCAGTTCATGTATTAACTTCATCTCTGATGCAGGTCTGGATTCAGGAGTGTCGGATCCGTCCGAATTTAACATGTCAGTCGACAGAAAACACGACCATCCTGGAAATCCGAGGTGGGTATGCTGACAAGAACCTGATCCACTCTAAAGACTAAAGACGAACCATAAAACTGAACATGATGAGAATCTGACCGCCTAGAATCAGCTGATCAGACTCGGACATCACTAGATCGAAGCGTCGGCGCCGGCTGTGAGTGTATTCTGACTTCACTACAACAGGAAGAGGTGGAGACGCGGTTCAGGGACAAAACTCCGCCTCTTTAAACAACAACCACTAACGAACAGAGTTTACCAATTAAAGACGGTCGTATCTGTTTAAAGGTCAGACATGAGGACGTGAAAACATTTCACCTCCAACTTCCTCCTCTCTGCAGTCAGTCAGTCAGTCTTTCATTATGGTACAACAGTTTCCATAGAAACCACAGAAACATTCGTCTGATTTGCATCTGCTGTGTTCACCTGAATTATAGTCTCCTAAATAGGTGCTCCGGTCCCATGAAACAGCATGTTACCATAGCAACTGCACCAACTGAACATACAACACATATCATAGAAGTCTCCAAACTGCTGAAGCCTTTTAAGGACCTTAAAAACCTCCACGAGAGCCTCTCAAGGGCCCCCTTAAGGTATTTTCAAGCCTCCTCAAGGACCCCCGTAATCCCACCCAAGCAAACAGCCAATCACCGTCTCCATCTCCGTTTCAGAAACACTTTTATCAAATCAGCTGCTTTCAAACCAAAACCTCCGAGTCATCACGTTTGAAGAGTTTCCCCTCAGAGAAATCAGAGAAATCCAGAGACAGCTGCTCACACGGCCATGAAAACGGGGGACCAAAATCAGCAGCAGACGTCAGTTTGAACCTTCGAGTTTTCACGAGGATGAAGATTTATGATAAAAGACAAAAATAAAGAGGAGAGTGTCAAAATAACGTAGATATTTTATGTAGATGTGCGTGTGTGTTTTCTACTCTGGATCAGGAGGCTTCGAAAAACAAAAACACTTTCCTCCCTCATTAAGAAGACAAGTGATTGACTGAAAAGAGATGGATTGACAAAACGACTTTTCCACTTTTGTTTCTCTCCAACATTCGTGACCGACGAGGACCTGAAGGAAAACACGGTGAGCCTGAACTCTGAGGGAACTAAACCTCAAACATACATGTGAAGATCTGTGGGAAAAAAGTCCCTCAAAAACTTTTCAGACATTAATCACTTTTTATGCATCGACACATTTAAAGATCTGCGTGTGAATTTGAAGAACTATTTGAACTTGTTCAGTACTGAGTACGGATTGGTGCATCTGCAGAAACATTGAGGATCTATTTGCACATTTCCTGATCTACATACAGACTCCTGTGCAGACTCTTTTGGACCTTTTTAGATCTATTGAAACCTCTCTGGGTGTGTTTTAGCACATGTGAACATGTAAACCATGAACTCAACTGTCGGTCTTTTCATGCACTGGTGGATTTATTTGCACTTTTTGTTGTCTACATTTCTAGATCTATGGAGCATTCATAGATCTATGTCTGGATTTGTAGGCCTGCGGATCTGTTTGATGATCTACTTATGGATTTCTGGGTCTGCCTACGTAAATGCCTACGTATGTGTGTGTGTGTGTGTGTGTGTGTGTGTGTGTACTTTCCTACCTATCCAAGGGGGGAATTTAGCATCGTAACACTTCCACCAAGAGGGGACCGCTTAGCCAACAGGGGACATTTTTAGGCCCCCTGTTGTTCATGCTTTAAATCATGCTAAAATCATGTGTAACTCACTCTGGTGAAGTTTTTTTTTATTTTATCCAAGTGGGGACCTAAAAGTGTGTGAGTGTTTAAGTCCATGCGAGGCTTTCCCCCCCTGTAGGCTGGAGCTGGAATTACAACGACCCTAAACACACGTCGTTTTACACAGACTCCCTGAAGGTGTGAATGTTTGCACTAAAGGCAGCCTTTCAGACTAGAGGGGGGCTGTTTAACGGGTTACTGAGTGCCGGACATGTCTCTTTAAAGATGGTTTCTCTTTGTTTTTGAAAAGATTTTAAGCAATTGCTTAAAAAACACATTTTAGACTTTGACAAGACCCCGTAAGCTTTTCATTCCCAAGATAATTCCCAAGAACCAGTTTTCACAAGTGTTGGATTTCTATTAATTTTTCAATGTATTTCAAGGATCAGTCCACACTTCTGAGAATGCAGTTGTTTTTTTTTTAACCATGCACATTACGGAAAAAAGGGACTTCCACTTGGTTGGTAAATAACGACTAAAGTTCCCATTTAGATAGTTCACTGTGACTTCACACTCTGTCATGGATAAAAAGAAAAAATGAGTAAAATTAATGAGTAAAATGACAATCTTAAATATATAATTGTTGGTCATATAGGATTTTTTTAACGCACATTACAAAAAAAAGGGACTTTTAGTGTTTAGAACGACAGAGGTTTCCTGTTGGCTGGTGTGTGTGTGTGGATTTGCATATCTGTGTACTCTTTTCTTGGTCTGTGAACCTCTTTCTGACATGTGTAGATCTGCGTATTCTAGATCTATTCACACATTTATAAAATGTTTGACAACAATCTGAGCTCTCTATGCACTGATTACATGAAGAGAAGCAGTAAAAATATCAATTAAAAGCAGATTTGTGTGAAACTCTCAGAGTTTTCAGTGACAGAAATGTAAAATACTCTCTCTGTTGGTTTTTCTACAAAGGCTGCCCTGTCCTTCAACTGTTTAATAAAAATCTATTCTGTCATTTCTGCAGCTGCGGCTGTTTGAAGTCCAGACTGTCGGGGTGAAAAGCTTTAGCTGTCAGACGGAAACACGGCGCAGCGGCGGCGGCACTCAGGAGCTGATAGGTTTTGATGTGGCGAGCAGCATTCGCTGTCAGCAGCGTCAGTGTGAAACAGGAATGAAGACACAGTGCTGTTGTTCCCACCGGCTCAGAGACATAGCTGCTGTCCGTCAGACCAGGTATCTTTGAGGAGGATTAATGTCTGTGCGCCTCCGCTACAGGATGACAACACCATCAAAATCAAAACATGGAAATCCTTCAGAACTTTGTGTGTATGCAAACAAACTTCCTGCTGCTCTCCTCGAAACGACGTGACGTTTTCCCTGCGTAGGTTGGATTTCTGTGAAAACATCATCAGTGCTCAGATCTGTGTGTTGGGACGCTCTGCAGTTTTAATGAAGCTCATAATTACATCTGACAGCCTGCATTAGCACCACTGCCGCTTTCTGTCTCATGTGCTCTACCCATCCTGTTAGCCTGGAGGCTACATGGAAGCTCATAAACTCTGAGTCTGAGAGCCGCTGTGATGAGCGTTATCACCACCTCCTCCTCTTCCTCTCTGTTTGAAAACACTCAGATCTCTGTGAGCTCTGCAGAAACAGCAGCCTGTGTAGTTTCATGTTAGAGGGGTCAAAGGTCACAGCCTGATGAGACGAAAGGACACAAATTCATCCTCTGAGTGTGGTCATATCGGACACAAAGACGGACTTTTGGCAGAGATCTGATTCTCCGATTAAAACCAGGATAAAAATCAGGGGCTCAGACCGGACGCACATGTGCAGACTAGAGGTTTTTAGGTCCTGTGGTACACCAGACACAAGGGGCTCTATTTTCATGTCCGCCAGCAACGCAGTGGAGGGTGGTGGACCCCGCGCAGTGGTATTTTCGTCTGGCGTAGCCCGCTGGGAGGAGCTGAGTTAGGGAGGGGGGATACTTGCGCCAGGCTGCGCCACTCACCAAAATACCAAATTGTGCTTGGAAATGCCTTGTCTACCTGGCAGACCTGACTTACGCCGCGCCTGCGCCATGACGTTGGCGAGGCACGAAAATAGATTCCAAAGTCACAAACATCAACACTTAGATTTAGGGCTGTGGTGATATTTATATCAGCTATCGGTCCGATATCAGCCAAAGAAAGAATATCGGATTATATTCCACAGCAGAAAGTGGAGATGGAGGAGTATTAAAGGTAGTCAGGAGTTTAGTTAAAGCTGGGGTAGGCAGGATTCCGTTAAAGAAGACTCTTTTTTGTGGTGTACAAACAAAAAATCTTTAATATCAGTCAATAGTTATTGGTTATTGATGACATTTCTCTGTGTTCTCTATTGGTTGTGAGGCAGACGCTGCTCCCCCGTGTCGTTCAGGAGCCCAAACAAAGATAGCGTGCTACAATATCGGACAGTAGAAACCAACCAGAAAGTTCGGAAAATTGTCTGAATCCTCCTTTGGCCACGACTGCCGACACAAGCAAGAAAACAAAGTAAATACCGGAGACTCTGGAGGAATAACGGGCGCTTAAAACGGAGGTAGACCGGACAAGAGCTAAAAAGCCGGGTCAACATAAACGATGGGGGACGCTTGGGGATCTTGGTGACCCTGTAACCTTTCTGCTGGACAGGTAAACCGCTTTAACAAAGTAAGACAAGTGTCTGTAACAGAAGTGTTTCTTGTTGGTATCCGCTGATATTCAAGACTGCAATATCGGTATCGTATTGGAAGGGAAAAAAAGCTGTAGACCAACAAAGGCCTGTTTTACAGTCTGAAGTGCTTTATAATGCACAAGAGTTCATCCCTCTGTTTTTCACACACAGATGTACAGTTGTGCTCCTGCTAGAGCTGGGCGACAAACCGAAAATTTACCAATACCCAAATTTACGGCTATAATCGACATCCCAACACCCACGTTTTTCCCATATCTGTATATTTGGTGTCAAAAGTAAATAAAAGTTGGTTTTGGATGAGTGTAGGTGGGCTATGGTCTTCTTTGTGGAGAGCTTGTTGAGTACTTATCATCCATTTATCGTTATCGAGGTGAACTGCTCAATATATCATGATATTGATTTGAGGCCGTATCGCCCTACCAATGATACTGACCCGTTACTAATTTACACAATTAGCTATTTTAGCACCCGTGTACAGAGGTCGGTTTGCCTAAAAGCTGTTAGCCTCCCACTCAGGCTTCCACCTCTTATCACTGTCCTCTCTACATCAAGATGCAAAAGCTTAAAAAAAAAACAACTTTCAGGAATTTTTAATAAAGGATTAGACGGATTATCTAATCCTGGAAAGCAAAGAAAGGGATTTCTAAAGCTGGGTTATAGTAATCCAGATTAAACTGTTTGATTTGCTGCGTCCCGGAGCGTTGACATATTCTTTTAAAACATCACAAGTTGACTCTTTTTTTTTCTTTTTCAACCTGGCAGCGATAAAGATCGAGGCGCCCCGCTGCGTTTCGCGTTAATTAGGTGTCAGTCTGTTTGTAGATGATGTTGGGGATGCTGCTCGCTAACAGGTATCCCATGGTAACCGCAGAGGGTGGCGGTGGCAGGCAGGTTTCTGTTCCCTCGTTAGCAGCAGCTCATCATCCACTCTCTTTAGTTCTCCATCTGCTCCGGCACAACATGATGAAAAAGTGATTGTTTCTTTATCTTTGACAGCAGAGGATGCTGGGAGAAGACAAAAGGAAGAGCTCGCTCGCTGTAAACAGGATTGGAGGAAACTTTTTTAATTGTTGGACGTCTCTAATGATTAAAAAGCTCCGTGTGAAAGACAACAGGGAGCCTCATCTACTTTTCAATTACCAATTAATACGATGAGTGAAAAATGAAATAAGTTTCCTCAGACGGACCGACTCTGGAGGTTTTCAGGCTCTGCTTTCTGTCCGCACAAACCTTTCCAATGAAGGTCGTCTCGTTTTCCCCTGATGGAAAAAACAAACACACCCTCCTCTATCAGCGGAGGTGGATGTTGTGACCCTGTAACATCCCAAAAAGAGCAGCTCTGACTCCAGAATAGCAGCTCATCAGTCACGGCGCCGCGGCCTCAAAAGCTCAGGATACTGCGGCTTAAGATGACCCTGCAGAACCGGCCAAACACGGGTCTGTTTCTGACCTCTCCGGAACTAAAGAGGTACAAAACTCAAGGCCGGCTAAAGAAGATCGCGTGTCCTGAACTGTGAGAGGTTTTTGGACTTGAGTCTAGCAGTGCCACTTCTTAACCCTCGGTTCCTTTGTCTGTTTTGCAGACGTTTGTCATTTTTGTGATTTTTACTTTGAGCTGAGAGTCACACTTTAAAAGACTGGGGCATCAAATTAGGTGAGAGTTCTTGTTTTTCTCCATAAAAAACAAACACAAATGCAAAATGGAGATTAACCGTGTGTTTATGGTCCAAAAACAACATATTGGACAATTTCAACTTTGCCCTCACTTTAGAGCAAGTGGATCGACATGCATGAGGATGCACGGGTCCTTCGGATCATTAGGTGATAATACATCACATCTCAAATATTCTGTTAATTTTTATATGAGCCTAATCAGTGTAATCGTGGTCATATTTTGGTTCCAGGTGGATAAACACTCGGAAGTTATTCCTATATAACATATATCTTTTGATTTTATATTAAATTTATTAAATATAAATAAATGAATTCGTCTGTGTACGATTTGGTAGAGGACAAGGCTCGAGAAAAGACGGTTAAATTGGCGTGTTTTTTCGCTCCAATAATCACACCTGTTTACAACTCACACTTTATCGATAAATCCAAGTCTAATGAAATCGGAACGGCTCCGATCCGGAACAGCGGCGATTTTCGTCGTACAACAATTTTTACCTTTTGTGAGACAAATTTCGTGATGGATTACGGACAGCGGTAATCGCGAGAACTCATAAGAACGTGCAGATTCATGTGCAATCGGGTGATAACAAGTTGTCTCTCAGCCACAGAGGGTAACCATATAAGCAGTAGATTGTGTCCTTCCAGGGGAGGAAATCTACTTCTAGACTTCTAGAATCAGCATCTCCTCATCCATGGTGTCATCGGGGTGAAATGACGTCTAAAATCCTTTCACTTGTTCGTCTCCGCCCGTTTGCATGGTGTGAAATACGATCCTCCTGAAACACGGAGTGTTTTATTTTGAAAAGAAGCCGGATGTTTTATTTTGTGTCTGTTCCCGACTTCCTTTCCAGCACGGGTTAATCTGTGCTGAATTTATCCGCCATGCTCCGGCGTCCAGAAGAAAATAGAACCCGTGTGATCAGCTGAGGAGTCCGGCGATCCGCAGAGGAACGGAAAGAAGTCGGTGTAAATTGACACGTTAACTTGAATGGTTACGATCAGCTACGATCGGAGGATACGACCTTTTCGTATTTGTTTCCCGGAAGCAGGGGAAATTGGGGGTTAGCCTGCTGCTGGATGAAATGTTTTTGATTTTACTTTTGAGGTTTACTTGCTCTAGACTGTTGCTTCCAGTTTCCCCTAAAGTAGTCTGGGAGGTGGATCCTGCATTAATACTCTCCTTTCTAAAGGAGTTTCTAAGCTGGTCAAAGCTTGACCTGGACTAACTCCTTCTTTAAGCTGTTAAAGGCTCAGACTGACGTGGGACCTCTCAAACTGAGGTGTTATTTTTTTATCTCCATCCAAGTTTGTGTTCTCTTGTTTCCAAAGAAAACGTCTCCGTCTGCACATTAAATCCCAAACATCGTTCAGTTTTAAGAGTCAGATTCAGTCATAAAGATGCAAACTCTTCCATATTGCTCATTCAAGACTCGTTATATCTCCTTGGCAAAGTTTTTCAAATGCTCACCTACAGAAAATTTGTTCTGAAGGTTGTAAAGAAAATCCCCCGTGCTGATAACGTCTAATTTAATCTTTTATTTCTTATACATAAACTTAATGGGAAGACTTTCTGCCTGTGGGGATTCATTTCCTCCCTCTGCTCTCTGCAGTAAAACTTTATACATTTATTTGACTTTGTGCTTCGGCGGCGTAAAGACTCCAAACATCTTCCTCACATTACTGCAGAATAATGAAATTACAGCACTTTGTTTTCTCTGTTTGGACTCTTGCTTCTTCAATCACAGCTGACATGTAATCTATTCACGCATGAGAGGAACGAAGACAAACTGACATCTGGCTGATATGAGCTTTTATCATCCGCTGTTTTCTTTTTAATTCCCCGCAAATTGAAAATAAGAACAACAATCGGAGAGTGAGGAAACCCGAGTCACCGTGTTTGTCCTGAGAGCGAGAGCAGAGGAATAATGATGAGGCAGAAATTGGTTAAGACGTGATGCGGGGGCTGTTTGCTGATCCTCCTGATGACGGTTAATGAGTCTCTGCAGCGAGAGACAAATCCAGAATCCAACATGAGGCCGGGTAAAAACTCGGAAAACAAAGGGCATCAGAGGAGACTTTAAACGGAGTCAAGGTCGTGACAACTCCGACACGATTAAAGAGGGCCGCTTTCAGACCGGGACTGACACAGGGGCCATGGAAACAGAGGGATCACAGGAGGACTCTGGGTACTGCTAATACTACTTCCTCTTGTCCTCTGGCCTGCGACCCAGAAATCAATAGAGGACGCACTCGTCGAGGATGAAACAATCCTTCAACTCGCCCCAGAGGAGATCTGCCTCTGTTACTGAGACTGAGTGGATGCAAAACCCGGGAACAGGTGTATGTAAGCACAAATGTCTGGACTGATAGACTCCGCCCCTTTTTGTGCAAAGTCTTTAACCCCCAGTTTCCACCGCGTCCTGAACGGCTAGGAAAAGGTCATATCCACAGATTGTAGCTGATCATAACACCGACTTCTTTCCGTTCCCCTGTGGATCAAAATCTAACACTCTTTTGCCAAGGCGAAACGTCTCAAGTAAGTCCGGTATCCTTTCAACAAAGAACTGGAAATCATAGATGCTGCATCCTCAGTTTAAAACAATATCTCAAGGTTTACCCCCAATCTCCACCTTCATCCTGATCGTCTCCTAAAAGATCGTATCCTCCGATCGTAGCTGATCGTAACCATTCAAGTAAACGTGTCAATTTACACCGACTTCTTTCTGTTCCTCTGCGGATCGCCGGACTCCTCAGCTGATCACAAGAGTTCTATTTTGTTCCAGGCGCTGGAGCATGGCGGATAAATTCAGCACAGATTAACCCGTGCTGGAAAGGAAGTCGGGCACAGACACAAAATAAAACATCCGGCTTCTTTTCAAAATAAAACACTCCGTGTTTCAGGAGGATCGTATTTCACACCATGCAAACGGGCGGAGACGAACAAATGAAAGGTTTTTAGACGTCATTTCACCCCGATGACACCATGGATGAGGAGATGCTGATTCTAGAAGTCTAGAAGTAGATTTCCTCCTCTGGAAGGACACAATCTACTGCTTATATGTCTATGTGTCTGTCTTAATAGAGAAAACTCGTTATCGCGTGATTGCATGTGAATCCGCAGGTTCTTTTAAGTTCTCATGATTCCCGCTGTCCGAAATCTGCCTCGAAGTTTGCCTCACAAACTGATCCAGTAGGAATTGGCGAAAATTGGCGCCATTCCGGATCGGAGCCGTTCCAGATGCGGTAAAAACTGGGGGTAAAGCTACTGTAAGGATCTTTTTCCCATCTATGTGTATCCGTTTGACTTCTAAAAAATAAATAAATCAAACAATGAGCCTGTCTTTTGAACAACTCTTTTAAAGGAACGGTTCCTCAAGATCAGACTCCCGTCACAGATCCATAAATCTAATCTCTATTTCAAACGGGGACAAGGAGAGTCCGGTTAAATCACATTGTCTCGTCCAACGTCATGAGGTTATAGCGACTGCCTAAACTGAGACTTCGGTTTTCCACTTGTTTGCAGAGTTTGAAGGATCCACTCCAGACGAACGATTCGGTTCCTAAACTGCATTTAATGGAAGTGGAAAACAACCGCGTAACATCAGCCGGTTAGTGGAGAAGACGACCTTCTTCTTCAGCTCCTCAGAGTCCTCACTCGTTTGAGTTGGTTGATACTTCCTCCGCCCTCTGACCATCTGAACCCGAGTCATCAGCAGGTCAAACTGACGCTCACACATTTGGAGACGGTTGGATCGTCTCTCACACATGCTGCTCGAGTGAGCGAGGCGATGACCTGATTACAGGATTAAACTCCTCCGTCCAATCGTCTGTTAGAGGAGACGACGACGAGAAGAAGAAGGGAAGAAGGAAGAGTGCAACAAGACCTTTACCATCGAAATAACAGACCCTCAAACATCATATTTCTGCACAGCTTTAATTCACATTCATGTTGCAGAAATACTCCAAAAGTCGTGGATGTCTTTTTCAGATTTCTTTTCAAACCCATCAAAAGGAGTCCATATCAAGCCCGTCTTTTATTTACTCCCACTCCAGAGGATTCAAAGTGTGTCTGATGTCTGCGATAAAACAAATGGAGTACTTTTAGAGAACAGAGTCTGCACTTATTTGAAAATTGCCTTTCAAAGTCGGAGGTTTTAGAGACGTATTTATTTAAAAGAAAGCTGCTGGGAAGATGGTGAATCATATAATTCAATAAAAAGAAAAAAATGCCTTTTTCATTCTTTTTATTGAACGTCTTTTCTTTGAAATATAAATCTGTGTGCACCCTCCACTGGTATCTTTTATTTTTCATATCAAGAACATGAAATCAGAAACCAAAAGTGCTGCAGAGGCTTATTTGGGGAATAAAACTTTCACTTTTTCTTCTACTTTCAGCAGAACGGACGAGATTTCCACCATTTAGGGAACCAGTTTCTGTACGTAGGCTGTAATAATGATCATTTTAGTGAGGGGTTAAGCATGGGCACGGACAGAACCTGTTAAACTGTGAACTGGATCTTGGTTGGACAAAAAGGACTTCAGAAATTCAGACATATTTGGCAATAAAACTAAAACTAACCCAAATGTCGGTTAAAAAAACAAGCTGTACTCATATTTACATTTACAAGTCCTCCATTCATAAAGACTGTAATCAGGTTACCAGGCAACAATCACGATCATCGTAACTTTTGTATAAAACAGACAAAAGAGCCAGAACAGAAATCATAGATCTGTAACAGAGTAGATGTGAAGGGAAGACCGTGCGTCTCTGAAAACCATGAAAACAATAAAAGTGTGAAACTGCAGCTCTGCGGGTTTTCGTACGCAGATGTTTGAGATAATCGGAGCTTCAGGAGAAAGATGGAAATTCGACAGTCAAAGCGTCAACACAGTCAGCTGTGCACATTCTCACAGACTCTTATTTTGAAAGGGGGAAGAGAAAGGTCAGCGTAGGCTTTAGATTCATGAGAGGGTGAGAGCTTGGATGTAAAGGATAATATACAGTTTAGTGAGCAGGACCTGCTGAGGGGGCCGGATCTCTGTGACCCCCAACTTCCACCACATCCTGAACGGTTACGAAAAGGTCGTATCCTCCGATCGTAGCTGATCGTAACCATTCAAGTTAACGTGTCAATTTACACCGACTTCTTTCCGTTTTGCTGCCAATCGCTGTTCTGTCTTTTCTAGATGCCGGAGCATGGCGGATAAAGTCAGCACAGATTAACCCGTGCTGGAAAGGAAGTCGGGCACAGACACAAAATAAAACATCCTGCTTCTTTTCAAAATAAAACACTCCGTGTTTCAGGAGGATCGTATTTCACACCATGCAAACGGGCGGAGACGAACAAGTGAAAGGTTTTTAGACGTCATTTCACCCCGATGACACCATGGATGAGGAGATGCTGATTCTAGAAGTCTAGAAGTAGATTTCCTCCTCTGGAAGGACACAATCTACTGCTTATATGGTTAGCCTCTGTGGCTAAAGACAACTCATTATCGCGTGATTGCACGTGAATCAGCAGGTCCTTTTGAGTTCTCACGATTCCTGCTGTCCGTAATCTGCCATGAAATTTGCCTCACAAACGGACCCTGTAGGAATTGGCGTATGGCAAAAATTGCAACCGTTCCAGATCGTAGTCGTTCCAGATGCGGTGGAAATCCCGGGTGATTAAGTCCATGTCCAGTACAGTCTCTGGTCACCAGGACAACCAAAAAACTGTTAGAGCTGTTCTGATTCTGATACCAGTATCGGAAATTGCTCCAAATTAATTAAATCCGACAGCTGATTCAAAAGTCGAATTAATCAGCGAACAATAAATGAATCTGCACAGTGGAAAGTGTCATCATATAGAATGTGTATTCTCATCATAGTCCCCCTGAATATGAGCAGCTGTATCCATAGCGACAGTCTGTTATCAATAATTATCAGATTGTTGCTATGAGATGTTGCTATGTTGTCACCATCCAGGATTTAGTTCTTAGCTCTGCAGTGAAAATCAAAAATAATCTCAGATCATAATTTTTTTATTTCAAAAACATAACCTAAAATAAAGTGTTTGAAGTCAAAACCAGGATATTTTATTCCCTATGATAACGATGATCAAAATCAATCTAACTTTTCTGATGTTATTTCTGAGTTCCTGATTCCTGTCTCCCCTGTGACTCTGACCCTGCAGAGGCTTTTATTTTGAAGTCTGTCAGCTCCTCCTCCTCCTCCTCCACCTCCACACAGCAGTTTGTCGTCTTGGCTCAGCGAGCAGAGGAAGACTCGGACACTTTTTGTCGTGCGTCGCAGAGTTACGCTCCGTGTTGAATCACTCGCTGATGTTCCTCCTCCAGATGAATTTATTCAAATCCAATTAGCTCCTCTGCAGCTTTTTGCTCCGTTAATTTCTGTTTGTTTGTTTTTCTCTCAGCTGCTGATTTGCTTTTTCTTTCTTTTCGCAGTGTGTTCATAATTCCCATGAATATATGTTCGACTTAATGGAGCGTTGAGAATTAATTTGGACTCTGAAGGCTCCTTAGGTAAGCTTTCTGCACCGCCGGCACCACAGTGAATCTGCAGCATAATAGGCTTGTTTCCAGGATCTAAATGAGCTTTATGAGGCGGCCGAGGAAAGAGAAGAGAAACTCAGTCAACAGACAGCATGTGGGAATTAAAATCAGGGAGCAGTTTGTGCTCATTAAAGCTTTTCACACTGAGATGATCAATGAAGAAACGACGACAAAGAGAGGCACCACCTCCTCAAACCGTTCCTTCTGTCCTCTCAAAGGATCGTTTGATTCGCCGTCGGAGGTTTAACTGACTGAAGCTTCAGACATGTGATCAAATCTCACTGCGCTCAACATTCGAACCGCCGCTCTGCTGTGATTAAGAGACAGACGTGGACCTGAACGTGGGTCTGAAATCTTCCTGTTTGATTGTAATAAGGAGAAACAAAGCTCGGTTACTTCAAAATAAGAGTCTAAGCGGCGTCAGGAGAAGCTCTCACCTGCACAAGTGACCGTGTTTGACCTCTGACCTTTGATTGTCAGTGAGCAGCTGCTGGAATTATCATGTTCATCTGTAGAGAGAGCTTTCACTGTCTGTGTCGTTTACTGCAGACCGATCAGAGCTTAAAGAGCTCAGAGACGTTCAGGCTGTCCTCACCGCCCAGTCTCCAAGTCTGTCTGTGATCCAACACAGGAAACTACGACACAGCAGGGCTGAACGGTTTTGGTCAGACATAAAATCACGCTTTATTCAGTGACAACTTCACCAAACTTTACTTCAATAAAAAGTCTCATTTATCATTTCACAAAACAAAACCACTAAAAACGATGTAGTTAATATGCCAAGCCAGTAAGTGGCGCTGTAACGCTGCACAGGAAATGCACCAAAGACAGAAGAAGAGTACGGAGCATGTGTATAAAGGTTGTTTTGCTGCCATAAAAGAGTTACTCTGTGTGTCACATGATCGTTTCCAGAGATGCAGATAGACATCCACACGGAGATGAAATGGTCGTCGTTTACAGATTTATTCACTCTCTGACCTGTTTTTAAAAAGTACAGTTTACAGTCACCTGAAACGCCGATACGACAAAAAACTTTAGCGTTTCCTCCTGAATTCATTTCCGTGTGGACGGGTTGATACCGACTTTACAGCGGGGAGTGGTTTACTCTTTGTCTGAAACTGTGAAGTCGTACCAATTCAACACGACTGACTTGCTCTTGTTTTATTTAACCACGAAATTATCGCCTTCTTTAGCAAACGCCATGTTTGTTTACACTGGTGTGCGGTGGCCTGGAGGCGTGAGACATGATGGAGAGGAAAATCGACTTGAGGATTTAAATGACTATGACCTTTGACACACACAAGTCAAACAAAAGGAAGAAGTTTGATTTCTCTTTGACGACTAACATGAAAACTGTTTTTTTTCAGAAAAAACACGCTGAAGAAAGATGAAACGACTGCAGTAACAGCAATATGACGCAAGATAGAAGATACACATAAAAGCATGTAAGGTGTTCGTCTCTATCTCGACGACATCTTAATGAAAGAGGTGGAAAGAAAACGTCTTAAATGTTGAACGCTAACACCAAGAGTTTGTGGTTTACGTCATCTACTGAACACGATACGATCAGAGAACCGTGCAAAAACCAGAACTGTATGTGATCTTTAAAAACAGACGTGACTCTGAAGTGGAAATCACTGCACATCACTTCCAAAAACCAGCATCAAATCCATGTTAGACTGACGCCCCATCTTTCTGTCCCTGTGAGGACGATGGTTCAGGATCTGGGTCCTCTCTCTGTCTCTGGTTCAGTGTTTGTCGTCCTGACTCCACGTCTCCAACATGTGGATTTTATTAAAGCTGCTTCTCCTCTGCACACGCTCTCTGAGGGTCAAATCCAACATTACAGGACGCTCTGATAATGAGCTGCACACAGACTCATTACAGCCGCCGAGGACAGAAACAGAGGCTCTTTGATTTGATTCTAGTCCTCTCCTCTTTAAGCTAAAAGCCTCACACCGATCACCCAGCACTTTTACATCCTCACTATTTATTTTCTGTTAATCTACTGACTTAAACGGACTTTTCTGAGCTTCAGCACACACAAAAAAAGGGGAGCTTTATGTTGCACAGATGGAGTTGTGTTGAGGATTACTGCAGAGGATTATGAACACCCATCTCTGCACTGTACGGCTGCAGGTAACGACAGAGTCGCTGTTTTACATGAAACTGTGAGCGAATGAAAACGGAGAAGCTTAACCAGGATTCACAAAGACGGAAAACAAAAGAGAGGTTTATTTTCACGTTAGTTTAAAAACGAAGAAGTAAAGACGCACTTTTAAAGATGAACACATAGAAATTCATGCATGTTTGTCCTTGTGAGGAACTCAATCCCAGGATCTTTGTGCTTTTAAACCTCAATGAGTAACAAAATTAGATTTTAAAACAGTCTCATTTTAAAACGCCAAAATCAATAAAGAAGAAGTGAAAATTGTGTTTTTGAATCGCCATGACTGATAACCTTTAACATCATTACGGTTTTTATTCAGACTCTGTACTTCCTCTCTGATTCTTCTCAAATATCTTCACATGATTTTTAGATTTTGAATTTTCTCTCTTCGACGCTTCGATTTAGCCGTCGTCTCTTAACCACGCTTCATCTGAAGTAGAGATGAACCAATAAGGAGAGCCTATTGTGATGATGTAATTACTTTACTGAGTCTCACTGAGATCTCGTGTGATCTCCCGTCAAACCGTTATGAGCCGTTTACATCTGTTTTCTAGGATAATGACGGTTATCTCGAGAATTGAAGGTTAACATACATCACACCAAACACTGTTACTTTGGTTTCTTTGTTGTAAATGTGGAAAAGCATGATACCACCCCCTAACACATTCGCTTTTGAAGAACCATGTTTAATAAAACTGTGACAAACACGAGTCGTTCTTTTTGGTTACAGGCATTTATTCCCACCTCCGTGTTTTCAAACGTGTCGTGAAAACTAGAAAATACAGAAATCTTAAGTCGGGGTCACGGGGGCAGCAGCAGAACCTGAATTCCCTCTACCAGGCAAATTCTTCCAGCTCATCCTGGACGACCCCGAGACGTTCCCAAACCAGCTGAAAGACATAGTCTCTCCAGCGTGTCTTGGGTCTTCCCTGTGCTCTCCTACCCTGAAGACCAGCGAGGCGTCTCTCATCGTGGAGGAGCAGCAGCTCGACTCTGAGCTCCTCCTGATGATCGAGTTTCTCACCCTGACTCTGAGGGAGAGCCCAGACACCCCGCAGAGGAACTCATTTCAGCCGCTTGTACTCATGATCTTGTTCTTGCGGTCACTACACTCAGCTGGTGACTATAGGTGAGGGTAGGAACGTAGATCCAACGGTGCAGCGACTCCAAAGACCAACTTTGTCGCTTGAGGGAAAGTTGAGTGTCCAGTATTTGTCCGACACACTATCGCTCTATCCATGGACAAGCAAGAGACATATGATGCACTTGAGGTTGGTTTTAATGAAACATCTGCTGGTGGTCACACACACAGGACTCCTTTTGATACACAGCAGGAACAAACAAAGCCAAACGATGGGAAGCGAAGAAAAGCGAAACAAAGCAGTCAACAAAAATTACGGCTACCCCGCTCCCCTCTCTTCACCTGACTGCCACGTAAGCCGCGACTTTTCATAACTACCTGGCATTCATCCCGTGCCCCACATGACCCAAGCTCCAGTATGTTACCGCAGCAACCACAAACACCATGTGACACCTACCAACTTATCACCTTACGGCTTACGGCAGAACTTTGCCTTTTAGCTCCGCCTTTACCACGACAGACCTGTGCAGAGTCAGCGAGATACTTAAACTCCTCCACTTGGGACAAGATCTCATCCCCGACCCACAGAGGGCGCTCCACCTTTTTCTGACTGAGAACCACGGACAAATCCAGTAAAAGCTGAAGGTCACGGCCCGATAAAGCCAACAGGACCACATCATCTGCAAAAAACAGTAACCCAATCCTGAGACCACCAAACCAAACCCCCTCGACACAGTGTCGGTCTTACCATTAGGCAACACTAGGCAGTTGCCTATGGTCCAGTGTTTCTGGGGGTCCACTAAAACTTAGTTATGGGAATCAACATGTATGAATCACTACGGTAGTCGTAACCATATGAGGTTGGCATCCGTTGCAAAAAACAGCAAGAATCGGAAGAGCGCTACACAGCTTCTAAATCAATACTGTAAACATTGGTATCGATGCATCCCAAGAATAAAGGATGCGGAGGGCCCCATGCCTGCCTTTGTCTAGGGCCCCCAAATTCCTAAGTCCGCCATTGCCTCAACGCCCTCTCTATTCTGCCCATGGGTATAAATGTCCATCTGTTTTAAATCCAATTTATTGATCGATTTATTTTAAACAAGAAAAGATTTAAATTCTTATTTTTTCTTGTTTTTTTTTTAAATTTAAATTTTTAGTTAAAAATCAAACAAATCAATAAATTAAACTAACCGCCTCTGATGTCAGCTACAAAATTGATAAAGTCGTCATTAATAAAAAACAAGATGATAATCCTGTGTACTTTTAAAGCGCCATGATCAATAAAAGGTCATAAAACGGCGTGTTTTTGACGTGTCGTGATAAAGTGAAGAAATCAGTTCTGGCTGACACTTTTCCTGGACTCACATTAATTTTTCAGATTTACTCTGTGAAAGCTAAACATGGAAAGTGCCGCAATTATGTGTAAAAATAAACTGTGATAATGAACAGAGATTAAGACGACCTTTGACCTTCAAAATCTAGACCGTATGTTTTACCAGATTTTAGGACCCTTACTTAGATCCGAACAAATTTCCAAATCAGAACGTAAGAATAAAAACCCACGTTTGTTTAAATCATTATATTTCTGTGTGTGTGTGTGTGTGTGTGTGTGTGTGTGTGTGTGTGTGTGTGTGTGTGTGTGTGTGTGTGTGTGTGTGTGTGTGTGTGTGTGTGTGTGTGTTAAACAGCTGAAGAAATAAAGTCATAATGAAGAAGAGAAGAGAAGGAAGGACTCCTCCATACGTGTTTCCATCCAGCTCTTTTACGAGCCGTCTCAGCGTGCTCATTAAAAACATTTTTATGTTGGCGGCTGTTGGAGAAGTCGGCGATGTTGCCGACTCGGTGAATTAATCATGATGTACACAAAGCTTCAATAAAAGAGACACAAACCTCAGATGTGTATGTGTGTGTGTGTGTGTGTGAAAGGAGAAGCAGGAGGAGGAGGAGGAGGAGGAGGAGGAGGAGAGGTACCTTCCTCACATTAAAACCTGGAACAAACACTGAAGTTTGGCGTCTGAATTCACCGCTCTTCTTCTCGTTTTGATGTCCTCTCATCCTGCCTCCTGAGCGCCCCCTGCAGCTCAAACACCCTTTCATTTCCTCTTTCTTTGACGCTAACCTGAGCTTTTGTTTTGTAAATGTCCTCGGGATTGTTTGGGGTTGTCGTGTGTGGTCGGGCGTGGCCTGACCCTCACGCTCTGAGGCTCCTGGTCGACCATTTTCTCTCTGAGCCTGGAGGTGCGTCACGGTTCCATTATTGAGAGATGAAGTCCAAACGGGGGGCTTAGTGTTGCTCTAATGTAGCGGTAAAGTCAGGGGTCTCAAACTGTCGTCAATAAAGAAGAGTTAGCCTCTTGTTGTTTATTCCACTCCTGGGCCCTCTCGAAGGGTTTGGGACTATCTTTCTAAAATACTTAAGCTACTCTGAGGTCGTAGTTCTGGTCCTTAAAGGGATATTCCGGCGTAAAATTAATTTAGGGTCAAACAAACTGTAACATAGAGTTAGACCCCCCCTCCAGAGATGAATGTTGCCGATCTCTTGCTTCTCTAGTTATACCAACTTCAGTAACGACGGCAGGATAGAAATCTTTTTAACTTTGACTCATTTCTTTAGCAAAGAGACTAAACACAACTCACCTACTCTCTTCCAGCAGCCGCTTGTTTGTAGCAAGACCTCAGGTCCAGTCCATTACGAACTACAGCGGGGTGCCGCAGCTCAAGGAAGATCATTTATGATCATTTCTTTATCATATGGGATCATATGAAGGTCTTGTCTTGATGGACGCAGATGTTCCTCCTAAACCTGGAGATATTGTTTAAAACTAAGGACACAGCATCTATGATTTCCAGTTCTACGTTGAAAGGACAACTTAGGCGAAACGTCTCAAGTAAGTCCAGTTGTCCTTCCCAAAAGGGTGTTAAAGTTTACAGTTCACGGACGAAATTAACACCATGGGGTGACTCCAACTACAGAGTCCTGTTGCCCCTAAACACAGAGTTAGACCCCCCCTCCAGAAATGAATGTTGCCGACATTTAGGAAGAACATTTACGATCATTTCTTTATCATTTCCTTGAAGTAATAATCACCATATTAATCATTTTGCTCTGCAGACGCTGTCGTTCTTCTGTCTTAGTGTCTCAGTCTGATTGTATTTCCATGAAGAAATGATCATAAATGTTCTTCCTTGAGCTGCGTCACCCCGCTGTAGTCAATGGACTTGCCCAGAGGTCTCTGTACAAACAAGCAGCTGCTGGAAGAGAGTAGGTGAGTTGTGTTTAGTCTAATTAGTCAAAGTTAAAAAGATGTTTGGTGTCTAGTACTATGTCTGTGACCCTCTATGTCCTGTTGATGAAGTTAGGTGCTGTTCTGAGCATTATTTGTGGCTATAGAGTGGCGTTTTGGTTGAGGGCGTGGCTCTCTGTATTTCTATCCTGCGGTCGTTACTAAAGTTAGTGAAGCAAGTGGTCAACAACATTCATCTCTGGAGGGGGGGGGGTCTAACTCAGTGTTATGGTGTGTTTGACCATAACTTAATTTTACGCCGAAATATCTCTTTAAATCAAATGGAGCAAAGATGAAGAAGAAGTCGCAGCTGCTCACAGGCTAGCTTTGAGAGATGACTCAGCACTTTTAAAAACTGATGATGAAGATTTATCGTGAGTCCAAAAACAACTTGGTGACGAAATCATTTCACATTTACTCTTTCTTTCAGTTCTGTAGTTTAAGATCTTTTCAAAATAAAAGCGCAGTTTCCATATATATTGTGATAACATCATTATCTGTATCGTGATCGCCTTAATTGATATAAATTTATTAAATATAAACAGAAAAATTGTTCAATCAATTAATTAATCCAGCATGATGCCCCCAGATAGAAACCTGCACTGATTTTTCACTAAAACAGGTACAAAATGACCCTCTGTTTTATTTTAATAGTGTTTCCAAAGAATTAAAGGGCTATTCTGAGCTTTTTCACTCTCACTGCTGAACATTAGCTCACTGTTACTGCAGAAGATGTCTCAGTCTGTGTGTGTAAGACTGAAGGCAGTTTCAAAGTGACTGTTTTTGTTCTCAACTTTAAATATTCAGTCTCAGTAATCAAATATATCAGGGGATTCAGATTATTATGAATATTCAGCATTTTTTCTTTTTTTCTGTATTCTGTATTTTCTGTGAACGGTGGACATCACTGATCAGAGTACATTATTGATTGATCAGGCCTCTTCATGGTTTCAGGTTTTCTCTTATAAAATGTGATAGGACACTGAAAATCTGTCATTATCAAACTGTTGGTTGGATTAAAATAAATAAATAAATAAAAAGGTTTTGGATGAAGAGAGCTCGGACTGTTGGAGAGCCGCACAGCAGAGCAGCTCTCTTTATTGACCGACATTTTCAAGACAAAGCCGGAGAAACAGATTGAATCCACGGTGACAGAGATCATTAATTGGAGTTTATCTGATTTCTTCTTTGCAATTAATTTTTTAATCAAATTAAATTAAATTGGTTTCAAATTAAATTAAATTGGTTTGAAATAGAAGAAAAGCAGCCTGTCAGTGTGTGTGTGTGTGTGTGTGTGTGTGTGTGTGTGTGTGTGTGTGTGTCCTCTCTATCATCTGTCTCTCTGGACCCCTCCAGGGGAAACCAGCGGCCCTTCATGAGAGCGCAATCCGCCTCCTAGGCACCCCAGCCCGGTCGTTAAGCCCGGTAATGCCCGCTGTGAGCCCCCGGCTGCTGTGACTTATTTCTCAGTTTCCCATCTCCACCTTTAATCACACTGTTGAACCCACTGCCGAGCTCACACGGGACGACAGGTGCACAAATCACGCACGGGTGCGCGAACACGTGTGGGATCAGACTGACTCACCAAAATCAATTAACCCGTTTCTTCTTCTTTGACAGTGAACTGTTGAGGCTTTTTTGACTCTTTTACTTTCACATTAAAAACATAAACACACACACATGCATACACGCACGCGCTCCTTACCCTCTCGGAGGACCTGGTTGTGGAGCAGCAGCAGGAGCACGAAGCAGACTGCAGCGGCAGTCAGAGCCCAGGCCAGCCGGAGGAGCTGCATGAGGGAGATCCACGAGCTGCACCAGGAGCCAAAAAAACACACAAAAGTCCACAGAGTGATTATCCGCAGGCTGGAACCTCCTCACTGCGCCACATCCATCCCGAACCGACCCAGAGGAGGACGGAGCCGAGAGACGGGAGGCATCCCCGGGATACTGAAGCACGGAGAGTCAGATCCTGAATGAAAACGGGTCTAAAGCAGCAGAACAGGTTCACTCTTCCCTCCCCGGACTCTCCTGATCTGTCTCTTCGCCTCGCTCCCCGGCGCGTCACGGGGCACAACAGCGGCCGGCGGCAGCAGCAGCGGCAGCAGCGGTTGATTCCCGGGTCGACCCCCTCCACCACAGCAGCATGCTCCTCCTCAAACACTCTCGGTCTGCTCCTCCTGCTTCATCAAGTTTTCACAGGTCTCTGTACTCAGCAGCTCCCAGCAGGACTCCCGCTCCGCTCGTCCGTGTAAATCCCTCCACAAGTGGGAAAAACAACTCCGGGCCCGGTTGGAGCCGCTCAGCGGGCATGGTGCACGATTCCCGGCCGGGTGTGTGGCCCCGTGTCCGGCTGTGAGGACTGGAGAGAGAGGAGGAGGAGGAGGTGCAGCTGCAGTCTGTGGGTTTGAAGATGTGCCGTGATCTGCACCGTCTCTCTCTCTCTCTCTCTCTCTCTCTCTCTCTCTCTCTCTCTCTGTCGCTCTCTGAGGCTGACGTCACAGCTGTTACATTAACCTGTCAAATCCATCCGGAGACACCTGAACCAATCAGAGGGCAGAAAAGTTACACCTGAGGGGCTCCACAGAGTGTGTGCGCGTGTGTTTAAACCATACACTGTTTGTACTCTGGACAACTTGGTTCCGCCTTCCGCCATTTTACGGATTTGAAGCCGAAAAGCTCTCGGTATTTCCGCGTTTTTTTCTCCATTTCCGGAAACAAACGCTGCGCAGTATTGTTGTGCGCATTTGGCGGGAGAGTCGCCGAGAGTCGCCGTGTTGACGCTCGGCTCAAACAGCGTATCCTCCAGGTGAGCTACACAATCTTTGTACACCCGTAGGCTGTATCAGGTATCATAGAAAACATGAACCACTTCTTTAATTTTACAAAAACAAAACAGAAGTGCTAATAAATAAAACATTACGAGAGCTTTCACTGTTACTGTTGATGAACTGTGCTGCCATCTTGGATTATGCAGTTGCAGTGAAGTCAGGGTTGGTGAGGAGATGTTCTTCCTTGAGCTGCGTCACCCCGCTGTAGTCCGTAATGGACTGGCCTGAGGTCTCACTACAAACAAGCGTCTGCTGGAAGAGAGTAGGTGAGTTGTGTTTAGTCTCTTTGCTAAAGAAATGAGTCAAAGTTAAAAAGATGTTTGGTGTCTAGTACTATGTCTGTGACCCTATATGTCCTGTTGGAGCAGATTCAATTTGGTTTGTGAAAGCTAGTACCATGTATCTCCACAGGATGGCGCTACAGCAGTATAGATGTGTGACAGGGTGGATTGAAGGTTAATTTAGTTAATTTTGAGAGATTTCCGGGTCGAATCGAGTGTTTTTTACTTGCTTCTAACTCAATAAGTCCATGCGACACAAACTCAAAACTTTCAATCAAAACCCCGAACACTTGAGGGATTTTACAAACTCCCTGGACAAGACCAGACAGCCCTCAAAAGGAGGACATGTCCGGGTAAAAGAGGACGTATGGTCACCGTAGCCATGACAGAACCATGTGACGAAAAGGAAATCCTTTTATAATGTTATTGAACTTGACAGGATCCAAACCCTTTCTAAATCAGGTGATCAGAAATCAAAATAGTGGACTTACAGTTTGGTTAAGAGCGTGGGCGTCGCGGGTTTTCGCAGATCTTGCAAAAAGTGGGCTGAACTGGGTTGAGGCAGAAATTCAATCGTAAATCCCATAAAATATGAAATTCTTTCCAAGCATACTGAACGCCTAAAATTTGGGATTTATAATGTGAAAGAAAGAAAGACTTCAGGGTTCAGCAGTTTTTTTTTTCTGGCTCTCTTTACGATAAAAAACAGCGACTGTTTCCGAGTCTCCTTCCTCTGAGCCGTGTCTCAAACCACTCTGCTGTAGCGCTGCAGCATTTATTGGGATAATAAATCTAAAAGATCATTAAGTGTATTTCACTGGATTTATCTGATTAATACTGAGTGTAAACAGTTTAATCCTCAGTCCTCTAATTATTTGTGGGTTTTTTTGAAAGTCAACAAACCAGCCGTCCTGTTTCTGAACTTGTGTCGGTCTCCCCGTCTCCGTGAAGATCAGTCTGCCGTCAGATCAAATCCTCCTGTCTTATAAAGTTTCTGCGAACAGTCTGTTGAGGAAACTTCAGATTCTCTCTCAGCTGTTGGCGAGCCGCCCTGACAACATGAATTATTTCAGGAATCTACCAGCCAACGACTGTTTTTATGTTTTCCCTGAACTCAGATGTGGTTGTTAAACAACTCTACAATCTGCTGCTCTTTATGTTCTGCTCTAATTACTCTCTCTCTCTATGTGTGTGTGTGTGTGTGTGTGTGTATTTTCACCATAAAGAAATAAATTATTCAGAGCTTCTATAGAAAGTGGGGCTGCAGTCAGCACAGATGCTCTAATGATACAAAGACGAAGGTGACACACTTTCTCCAACATGCTGTAACTTCGTGATCGTAATGAAACAGAAATGCTCCTCCAATCATTTACAGTCAGAACTATAAACAAACTCTGATTTCATCAAGCTTCATTCTGATTGGCCGAAACCACCTAGCAACACTGATATCATATCAAATCACTGCAAGGGAAAAGAAGTCCAGTGACGGCGTTTGCTGAAGCTGTTTTTGGTGCTTTTATTTATCACATTAATTAATTATGTTCCCGTATTATCAGCGATGGGCAGCAGAGACGTTAGCAGCTTAAGTTCATTTCTCAGCCGTTTGGTGAAGCGTCGCTGTTTTCTGGATCGTACTGCTTACTGTGTGTGAGCTGTTTTTGCACTGTAGCGTCCACAATGAACGCCGTTATACGAGGCATAGAGTATCAGGACACTTCCTGTGATATTATGAGACCATAGCCGTCAAGTATGAGCCGCGTTTTGGCTGGGCAACTTCCGTATTTTACCGCTTTCTCCTATATTAGTATTCTCCCGTAAATCTTCTGTATTATAATATATGTATAAGGAGCGGACTGGAACAATAATTCAGGCCAGGAGTTTGACTGCGGAAATGTCGGCACCGGCGAAAAGTTTTGGACATTTAAAGCCAAATTTAGTGAATATGATGCTAATGTGAAGAATTCAACATTGTCTACATAACTGCAAATTTAATATGAAGTAAAAACAAAAATATGCTTCACAGCAAACTTTATTTAACAAGAAAACAAAATTACAAACTAAAAATGTAAACAGTTTCTTATCAAAGACTGGATTTAGTCAAAGACACATTTTAGTCTTTTAGTTTAGTAAAGTTTTGGTTCAAATGTCGTCTGAAGGAATCAGTTTTAGTCTTTATCTCATTTTTCGTATCATTTTAATCAGAAGTAATTTGATTTTACAGAAGGAGGATATTTGTCACGGTTATAAAAACTCCATATTAGTCATGCCTTTAAATAATTGTTTACTCATCTAAACTAATAATGTAGCCGACCACGCTGCTGTTGTATTATGATAAAATGTTAATGTTTATAGAAAATAAGACGATAACATCGAATCTACATGACGCTGTCTGACTGTTACCTGAGAGTTGACTCGTGTGTTTCCCGTCCACACTGACATTAGAAACAACAGGTGATCAAATGACACATTAAAACCAGCTGCTACACATTAATTCATTACATTTACATATGAATGTTGCATAATTTAACTTGAAGCGTTAAAATCACAAATGAAAAAATAATGAATGAAAAGCATTTTTCATATTTCATGAGGGATCATTATGCAAAACTTGATTAATGATTCAAAAGTAGATCATTAGAAGGATATTTGATTGTAGTAGTATTGTGGGGTTGTATGAGGTACTTGTCTATAGAAGTTAATGACCCACGGGGGTCCGACTCAGCGGGGCGTCTGTGAAAGAAACGGGGCTAAGAAGCCAAACTATGTGTGAACTCAACTACAAAGTTTATCTAATGCTAACAAACTTTAACCCCCAATACGACCTGATTAACACATCTTCTTACATATTAACCTCAGATTTTTTTACCGTTTTAACCGTGCTGAGCTCGGTTTTTGCAGCTTATTTGCAGGATTTCAGTGTAAACTCGCTGTAACTGTTTCCTGCTGAAAGACGAGGCGTTCAGGGTCTGACCTCTCTCCTCCTGTCTGTCACGGTGTGTTTAATTGCACTCTGACTTCTTAGCGATTCGCCGTCTCTCACACAGGGCAAAGGTTGTAGCTGAAGGCGACACCTGTTGATTAACCTGCTGAGACGACGTCTGCTGTAAATACAGGTCTGTTGAAAGGGCGACACCGGCTCTAGTCTGTATTTGCAGAAACATCTAGACTGTTACCTGTCAAACCCACAGTCTGCAGGGACAGTCGAGTTTCATGTCATGACAGACGCCGATCAGATCTGCTTCTAAATGCAAAACCACCAAAGGAACCAGTACGCAAGCTAGGCTACAGTTGTGGCCGACTCTGCCATAACTAAGCGAGCAGAGCATCCACCTAAACTGAGGTGAAACTACTAAAGTTAACGTGTCAATTTCCACCGGCTTCTTTCCGTTCCTCTGCGGATCTCCAGACTCCGCAGCTTGCGCGCCGGTCCTTCTGGCAGGTGTGACAACTACGCTGACTTGTGACATGAAGCTAATACAACCTCACTTAAAAATCATCACATACCCCTTTTAGGTTTTCCTGTCATCAGAAGGTGGACTTCATCAAAGACAGGGATCAGGTGTTGTACGAGTTTTAAATTGAATATCGGTGCGAAATGAGCCTGAGAGATGTCTCAATCGAGGAGTTACAGCTGTCCAAGCAGGAAGACATTAGGATGACACAAATAGCACGACAAATCAGGAATTAGATTACTGCATAATGTTGAATAAATCACGCTCCTGTTGGGCCCAGGAAATGGATAACCTGTACGAAGGAAACAATTTACCCAATCATTTCTCATCTGATGAGCACACATCCGTTTTTTGTACAAACAGCAGATGAAAAATGTAGAGCTGCAACATTCGTCCTCCATGCTCGGAGATGAAAGATGGCAGATGAAGCTGTTGGTTGTTGATGGAGACGTTTGATGATGACAGCCGCGGCTCTGAGCCGCTCCTCTCTGAATGAATCCATCCGGCTGATTGATCGTTCAGCTTCACGGGCCTCAGGTTAGGTTCAGACTCTTATCAAAGCTCTCTGCAGCTCCCGTCTGTCCGACAGACTCCATCACCGCTGCCCTCCTGCTCTGACGGGGATCTGTCTCCGTCAGGTCACGCTCTCCAAGCCTCTGGGCGGCGGTGATTATTGCTGATGTTTTCCTGCCATCGATTAGCTTTCCAGAGCGCCGTCAGTCAGAGGTGAAGGCGGCATATGAGAGGAGTCTGCGGAGAGAGATCAGCACAAACGCTGTCAGGACTCTTCTGATGTCAGTAACAACGCAGGAAATGAAAACTGTCTGTTTGACGGGACGGACAGACGGGAGGTGATGAAGACGCTTCAGTCAAAACACAGACGTCTGAAATCAACACCCGACACCGACCTGTGACCACGAACTCTGCTGAATAAACACAAATTAAAGTTTGTTTGTAAAGTAACATCAACTCAGACGGTTGAAGATGTCGAAGAAGACGAAGACGACGCTGGAACTCACCTGCAGTCGTGTGGGAGGGGTTTCAACAGTTTCCTGCATCAAAGTGTCGCTAACATTGGAGGTTTTAGACGTCCAACTCTTCTGATTTCTGAACTCGGTGGTCAAAATCCAAACAGGGAAACATACAAAGAAGACAGACTTACTCCACCGCATCCGGAACGGCTCCGATCCTGAACGTCTGCTATTTTCGCCATCCACAGAGAACTCGCAAGAACCAGCAGATTCACATTCAACAGCGCAATAACAAGTTGTCTCTACGAAGACAGCCACATAGACATACAGGCAGTAGATTGTGTCCTTCCAGAGGAGGAAATCTACTTCTAGACTTCTAGAATCAGCATCTCCTCATCCATGGTGTCATCGGGGTGAAATGACGTCTAAAAACCTTTCACTTGTTCGTCTCCGCCCGTTTGCATGGTGTGAAATACGATCCTCCTGAAACACGGAGTGTTTTATTTTGAAAAGAAGCCGGATGTTTTATTTTGTGTCTGTTCCCGACTTCCTTTCCAGCACGGGTTAATCTGTGCTGAATTTATCCGCCATGCTCCGGCGTCCAGAAAAAATAGAACTCTTGTGATCAGCTGAGGAGTCCGGCGATCGGCAGAGGAACGGAAAGAAGTCGGTGTAAATTGACACGTTAACTTGAATGGTTACGATCAGCTACGATCGGAGGATACAAACTTTTAATAGACGTTGAGGATGAGGTGGAAATTGGGGGTAAACCTTGAGATGTTGTTTTAAAGTGAAGATGCAGCATCTATGATTTCAAGTTTTTTGTTAAAAGTCCAGTTGTCCTTTCCAAAAGAGGGTTCGATTTTGATTTTGATCCGCAGAGGAACGGAAAGAAGTCGGTGGAAATTGACGCGTTAACTTGAATGGTTGTGATCAGCCACGATCGGAGCATACGGCCTTTTCATAACCGTTCCAGATGCGGTGGAAATTGGGGGTTATTCAACTTTCAAGACTCGTTGCAAATAGCTGCTGTTGGCCCACCTGTCAGTCAAGTCAGCTGTGTCTCTGATTCGCCTTATTTAAAACCGGGGCGTTAAAAAACAGTGGATGCCACAGGAGCCGTCAGATACTCGGACCAAATCTTTTACTTCGTCAGGAAAACCAGATAAGAAGATGCACAAACCGTCAAATCAGGAAAATACACAACATGACGACAAGAATCAACGCCTCAGACCCTCGCACAAGTCCTCCTTCACAGCCCCCGCCCCCATACTGGCCGCGGTGTCTCTGTGTTCGGCAGTATTCAAATGTTTTCAATAAGATGTCTTTGTTACAGAGGAGGAAAAAAGTGCGCCCGTGTTTCTTTGTGTTTCGTTTTGAATTGTTGATTCAAAGACTCTCATTAGACCCAGGTACGCTCTCTCTGTCTGCTTTACACGCTTCCTTATCATCAGCAAATAAACTGTGTTTGTCAGAGTGAAAAAAGCCCCTGCTGCTGACTTAATTCGACTCCTGGAGGAAGAGAAGTAAAAGCCAGACACTCAGCAAACAAACAGTAAAAAAATGAACCCAGATACTGAAGAAACAGACACAAATGGACACTAAAGACACATTCAGACACTTTAGAAAAGCAGCGCTGAAGAAACAATAAAGACACAGACGGTATAAAAACAAGCAGATCCTGAGTGCTGAGTTAAAACGGATTATTTTTTTCTCTAAAATGACTTTCTCTTTTGTCTGCTGTCTCACGCTGGCTCAAAGTCGTTTTTCAACTATCAGGAGAAGTTTGATGGAGGAGAAGACGAAGAGACGCTGAAATAAACACAAACACCCCAGGTGGATTTTTAATAAGGTTTACATTTTTCCATTAATAACAAACTCCTCCGTCTGTTTGTGTCGAATTAGTCCGACCAAAGTAAAATCTCAGCTTTAGGAAATCAACCAGAAACAGCAACCACATCCAGAATTCAGTCACTGCAGGTTTTTCTTCAGTTTATAGATTTCTTTACAGTTTCTACAGGGCACCTCCCATATCATCATACGTAAGCTTTTAATGGAAAAATCAGGGTTTTTACAGAGTAATTAATCAATCTTTAATTATTCTTTTACTTCCTTGAACCTCTGTGATGTATCACCGAGTAAAAACTTCTGCAGTTTCAAATCAACAGGGGACCTAGAATGGCGCCCTGGGGTACACCAGAGATCCATGCTCTCATTTATAAACTTCTTTTTGATCCATGATATCTAAACTTGTCAAGATGAATGTCCAAGACTGATCCTGGATTTCCTCCTCTGGAAGGAGAGAATCTACTGCTTATATGTCTATGTGGCTGTCTTCATAGAGACAACTCGTTATCACGTGATTGCACGTGAATCTGCAGGTTCTTGGTAGGAATTGGTGTATGGCAGAATTCGCGGCCGTTCCAGATCAGTGGGTTCAAAACAGATGGGTGACTTCCATGAAACAGTCTACAGGTGAACCATTAGAACCACTGGCGCCCTATCCAAGCATCCCGCAAAGTGTTTCAGATTATCATAGGGTGACCATATTCTCAAACCCCAAAAAGAGGACACGACTATGCAGGGTTGGAGTCATGAGTGGTAAATTTTGAGAGTTTTTCGGGTCGAGTGTTTTTCACGCTCTTCTAACTCAGTTAGTCCACGTGACACAAACTCAAAACTTCCAAACAAAACCGCGGACATTTGAAGGATTTTATAAACTCCCCCTGGACTAGAACAGACAGCCCCCAAAAAGAGGACATGTCCGGGTAAAAGAGGACGTATGGTCACCCTAGATTATCATGTAATACAACAATGATCTGTGCAACAACACGTCTGTAAACAAGACAAAAACAAAAGGACAGAGTCTACCCAGTCCAACAAAGAGTGGAAGTGTACCAAGGATCTAACTCCGACAACCTTACTGAAAAAATGCTGAACTGTACCTTTAATACACACCAACACTGATAAAACTGAGGTTGGGGTTTGTGTTTGTTTCCCTCCATTTCTTGATGTCGGATTATTTATGGAAAGGTTCAAAGTCGTTGGCTAACTTGACGTCACGGTATTGTTTGATGAAAAGTTAATGTGACTGTTTATTTTAAGCTGGTGGAAACGTAAATGTCAATATGAAGTTTCAAGATAATTAACACATGAGTTTTATAGAAGTTACCATGGTAACACAGAGGAGTAAAGACAGAGCAAACCAGAGTACTATCATATCAATCAGGTACATTTGTGTGATCCACAGACAGACTTTAAACACCCGGAGTACAGTCAGTATCTGTCAGGAAGATAAAGTATTGATCATTTCCTCCTGAAAGCCCCCCGGTCTCACCTCCTCCATCTTCGGCGTGTTTCTCAGTGAAGTTCAGTCAGCTGGAAACCTGTTCGATGGCCCCCAGCCTGTGACACGTGAAGATGACATTTAGCCAAAGCCGACCGTCTTCGTGTGACGGGGAGGTGATCGGTGTGTTTTCTCTCTGACCTTTAGAGAGTCGGTAACATGTGAACCAGCTGAGATCACATCGGATACTGAGGACTCCTCCGTTTAGTTCAGGATTTCAGTTTTGTCAGAGTGAATGTGAAGCTTTATGTACTTATTCAAATCCTGGACCCTGACGCCCAAACTTCAAATAAAGTTCCTCGATGCTTCCATGGCTAACAAAGTCGTACAGAGATATCAAATATCAAATTAATTTAAAGAGAAAAAAGGATGTTCGACTTATATCCAACATCATTACAAAGGGGGTTCCTCAAGGTTCACTTCTAGGACTTTTATCGTTTACCATTTATTGATAATTAATACTTTATGCTAATGACACTGTCCTCAACACTTCTGACAGTTTCATCCATGAAGCTACTCTAAATCTGCAGAAAGTATTTAACCAAGTCTAAAACCACCTGAAAAAAACCTGAAACTGGGGTTAAACTGTGCAAAGACCAAGTGGATGTTATTTTTGAATGCAAGGCACAATGCATATTTAACCGGTAGACAGTAGCTGAGAGAGTTCATCATTATCTGGGTTGATGAAAAACTGACTCTCAAACTTACCCTTTAAATGGAATATGGAAAGAGTGAGAATGGCGGTACTGGTGCGGAAATATGTGGACCGAGAAACGTTACTGATGTGGGTTTGGTATGATAGCAGTGGTGGACTGGACCATCGGGCTCACCGGGCCGATTCCCGGTGGCCTGGTGTTGCCTGGCACACACGAATGTTCAGGCCACTGAACTTGGAAGCAGGCCAGGCCAGCAGTCAAGGGGTTTAATTAGTTTATGTCAGTTGCCGTGGCAACACGTAGCTGGCCTGACCAGAAGTAGAGCTGTGAGGCGATGGGCCGCAGATGCGCTGATTTAGCATCGTTGTCCGCTCTACTCCCGAGCTGATCGTGTTTCTTTCTCCTCCTTTCTCCGTCTGTAAGTGATTTTCATGTTGTCGCTCTAAGATGTGGTTCTTTTGAGTTTAAGAAGGTCGCCAACCAACACCAAGATGGCTACGATGCTAGTGGTGCGTGCTAATCTAAGTTTTACGCCTCTCGAGAACTTTGACTTTTTCTGACGGGCTTTCAACATTTTATTATAATACAACAGCAGCGTGGTCGGCTACATTCTTAGTTTAAATGAGTAAACAAATAGTTAAAGGCATGACTAATAGGGAGTTTTTATAAAGTTCAGTAGGCTATAAAGCACCTGTCAAGTTACTTCTGATTAAAATGATACGAAAAATGAGATAAAGACTAAAACTGATTCCTTTGCCGGTGCCGTTACTTCTGCGTCAATGTGTATTGGCCTGGCCTGGTTGGAGTCAAACTCCTGGCCTGAATTATGCTCCCAGTCCGCCCCTGTACGGTGGTGTGCTGTCGAAGATGACGTCCACACTTTTACCAACTTTTGAGAAAGTTGCAGGAGAACCAGGATTTTATTTCCTGTGGGCGATCCAGGAAAGAAGAGGGCGCTGGGGAGAAGTAGGTTTGGTGGACAGGTAGAGCTGAGGGTCATCTGCATATCGATGAATATGATGTTAAATCCACAGAAGATCTGGCCAAGTGGAAGTAGATAGGAAGTGATAAACAGACGGCTCTTCGGGAGAGGACCCTGAGGAACACCAGAAGTGACGGGAAATGGCTTCGATTTGAAGGTGCTGCGTTTATTGAGCTCATAAGATTTGAGACCAGAGAGCATCTATCACCTTCTTTCTCTGCTTTAAACCAAATAATATAAAAACTCTTCAACACGAACTTCTCCAATAACATGGCACTCATATATATTACGTCTGACCGTGATGGCCCTTCCAGTTACAACTTTGTGTTTTTTATCCTCCACCTTTAAATCTCATAAACCAATATTTTGACTCCAGTTGAAACCAGATTTGTGAAGACCCTTCACTTTGCTTCGTTTGATTACTTTCTCGCTCCCTCCGCCATCATCCACCCTCTCAGCCTACACACTGTGGTACACCTTTTAAACCCGTCTCTTAAGTCTGAGAGCTGTATTTTGGGATCATTCATAGCTGAACTGTCCATCATTCTGTGAATCTGTTCAACGTAAAAAAAAAATGCTCTCTTTCCTCTCGGGACCCGTGTGCTTCTTATTTTGCAAAGAAATGTAAAGGCGTATAAAACGATTCATTTGCAGCTCGACCTGCAGTAAAAATGAAGGATGGGCTGTCGAACGAACCGTCCTAAAAACAAGCAGAGACAATCCAAAGAGCCATCTCTCCTGCAGATATTGCTGCTGTAAAACAACGCTGGGATTTAAACATCGTCGGCACGGATCGAGAGCGCAGACCGGTTCACTTCTTTTCCCGCAGGAGGGAAAGAGAGAGGGAAAGAGGTGAAACAAGTTTAATGCTCTCATAAAAAGAGGAGGAGGAGGCAGTGAATGAAACTGGCCCCAGGTCAGCAGTGAGCACATTTCATCCAAATTCAGTCTGAAATTTACATTCTGTTGCCTGGCATTGCTATGCAGAGCACAGAGTTTCTCAAGGCAAAACATAAAATATCTGGGAGAAGTGAAGTAAAACTCAGCTTTGTTTCATTCCTCCTCTCTCACTTTGCTTCTCTGCAGCAAAATATGCAGAAATTCAGACGGAAAGTCAAAAACATCCACCCCAGATGCATTTTTAAGTCTTTTCACAACATAAATCAAATTTCTCCAGCAGTGACGGAGAATTCTTCCAGCTGACAGTGGAGCTGCGGAGGAGATTATCTCCACGTTATCTCCAGGATACCAGGAGAACATGTTCATGTGATATCAACAGGCCCGAAGCTTAGTCTACGAAACACAAAACAGAGCGTTTATCATCGCTCCGAGTTAACTTCAGTGCATTCATCAGAGAAACCCTTTCAGTACTTGTTTTTCTGGGGTGTTTTCAAAGAATCTCTTCGCTTACAGACGCTTAAGTTTACGCCGTTTGGACGAACAAGTCCATGATAATCTGGTCGGGGGGAAAAACAGAGTCATGATGGTACACTAACAGATTTGACAGAGCAGCTGTTTTTAAACGCACAGACTTAAAGGTGTTGTAGTCAGGATCTGAGGAAGTTCAGGTTTTTAGGAGAAATCTTGAATGTAAACTCGACCCCTCACAACCAGTTTTCCCCTCAGCTCCTCCTCTCCACAAGCCCCGCCCACAAACAGACGCTCCTGCTCGCTCGTATCGTTCCGATTAAATTCAGATATAATGCAGATAAATACTTCAGATCATTACAAATAGTTTAGCGATGGCGCTACAACACGCTACAGCAGGTCCGTTTGACAAGAAACAATTCTGTTACAGACACTTGTCTTACTTTGTTAAAGCGGTTTACCTGTCCAGCAGAAAGGTTACAGGGTCACCAAGATCCCCAAGCGTCCCCCATCGTTTATGTTGACCCGGCTTTTTAGCTCTTGTCCGGTCTACCTCCGTTTTAAGCGCCCGTTATTCCTCCAGAGTCTCCGGTATTTACTTTGTTTTCTTGCTTGTGTCGGCAGTCGTGGCCAAAGGAGGATTCCGACAATTTTCCGAACTTTCTGGTTGGTTTCTACTGTCCGATATTGTAGCACGCTAACTTTGTTTGGGCTCATGAACGACACGGGGAAACAGCATTTTCTTGCTGACTGTTTTCTTGTTGACTGTTTTGGTGTTGACTGTTTTTTGTTGACTGTTTTGGTGTTGACCGTTTTCCTGTTGACTGTTTTCTTGTTGACTGTTTTCTTGTAGACTGATTATGGTTGACTGTTTTCTTGCTGACTGTTTTGGTGTTGACTGTTTATGGTTGACTGTTTTTTGCTGACTGTTTTCTTGTTGACTGATTATGATTGACTGTTTTCTTGCTGACTGTTTTTTGTTGACTGTTTTGGTGTTGACTGTTTTCTTGTTGACTGTTTTTTGCTGACTGTTTTCTTGTTGACTGTTTTCTTGTTGACTGTTTTTTGCTGACTGTTTTCTTGTTGACTGTTTTCTTGCTGACTGTTTTCTTGTTGACTGTTTTCTTGTTGACTGTTTTCTTGCTGACTGTTTTCTTGTTGACTGTTTTCTTGTTGACTGTTTTCTTGCTGACTGTTTTGGTATTGACCGTTTTCCTGTTGACTGGTTTGGTGTTGACTGTTTTCTTGCTGACTGTTTTCTTGTTGACTGTTTATGTTTGAGTGTTTTCTTGCTTGTGTCGGCAGTCGTGGCCAAAGGAGGATTCAGACAATTTTCCGAACTTTCTGGTTGGTTTCTACTGTCCGATATTGTAGCACGCTAACTTTGTTTGGGCTCCTGAACGACACGGGGGAGCAGCGTCTGCCTCACAACCAATCAGGTTAGAGGAGGTGGAGAACGGCTTTGTTTACAGTCAGAAAGAGCGGACCGCTCAAAAATGTTCAAATGTTGACGACACAGACATAAGAGAACACAGAGATATCGATATATTACCAAATGTCATCAATAACTAATAACTATTGACTGATATTAAATAGTTTTTTGTTAATACACCACAAAAAAGATTCTTCTTTAATGGATTCCTTCCTACCCCACCTTTAAGGTCGTTACACACCGGCGAATTTGCGAAGTGAACAATTTGCTTTTTTTCAAAACCTCAAAGTAAATACAAGCTTCCACACCCGCTACAAAAAGCGACTGTAACTTTTTCACCCCAGTGAATTTTGCGAATATTCACAGACGAACTAAACTAACTCTGTAATTTGTCGTCTTCTTCAGAAAACGTTGAGTCAGCTGATGGAGCAGTTCTTGAAGTTGTCCGAAGTATTGTTGAAATTTCTCTGGATACAATCTGAGCTCCTGGATCTCCTGTCGCAAGGTCAGTGTTGGATGAACCCAGACACTTTAATTCTTCTTTTTCTTTTTGTTATTTAATAGACTTACAACCATGACCAGGTCATCGTCACTTGAGGATGTAGTCGCCATTGTTTCTCCCTCTGTTCTCTTGCGGCGTATTTTTATGTGAAATTTTGAACTTTATTTGCGTCGCACTAGGTGTGTATAGGAAAAGGTGTAAGCTGAATGTTTCGCATTGTTGCTTTTTGGTCTCGCTTCACTAATTTGCCCCGGTGTGTAACAACCTTCACCGTAAAATCCACTCGCTTCGTGAGCCCGGCAGCAGCTCTGATGAACTCTGTGTTTCTGTGACATCCAGGAGCTTTTCTACGATGATTTATGAGTTGATTTGATCCATATGGTGTTTGCTGTCATACACAGAACTCTTTTAGTTGTATTTTTAGGGAAATCTGCTAACTTGCGAAAGGTCTGTTTACCGATCAGAGGCCAGGTTTCCCTCATCTTCCTCATCGTCAATAAATTCACAAAGTTGAAATCTTTTTATCATAATATGACGGACAAAATAATCTTCAGGATCAGACAAAGGACGAGGTTATCTCACAGTGATGCTCCTTTTTGTGTTTGTCTTGTTTACGCACAAGGTTACCCCGAGTATGTCGTCCACGAAAACAAGCTTGATAAGATTTGTGTCGTACAAAAGCAGAAGGTTTCATACACGCAGACAGAATAAAAGGTCATGGGGACGAATGGAGACGCTCATTTCTGTGGCTGACATGTACAATCATTGTCAAACTCTCATGTCGTAGAGACGTTTGTGTGTCTTCAAGTTGAACAGACGCTCAGCTGTGCTTCTTCATGTCACACAGGGATGTACCTCATGTTAAACCCACAAACACGGCTGTTTAGTGTGTCGTAAAGATGCACAGCTTCACTCTTTTGGTGACAAACAGACAAATTAAGCCGCTCTATTTCATGTCGCACAGATGTTCCGCTCTGTGTCGTACAGACTAACTCGGCGGGTTTTTCTCGGTCGTACGGATGAACAAAGTTCTGGAAAGATTTCCTCTACTCCGTGGCGTGCGAATGCGAAAGGTAATTCAGTTTTATGTCCATTTTTATGTCTAAGCAGACTCAAAATAATGCTCTCCTCTGTGTCATACAAGGCACAAGGTTGCCTTAATCAAGTCATTCAGGGAAACGAGGTGATTAAGATTCATCTCACACAGAGGCCCAGGCTTGCTGTTTCAGGTGTCATACAGGCTAATAGAGTAGCTCTATTTCTGGCTGTATAGATGCAGCGTGTCGCTTTGCTTCATGCCATAAAGATGCACAATGTAGTGAGGCGTCTCTATTTCATCTCCTCCAGCAGGTGTTGGGTCGCTCCTTTTTGTTTTCTCACGGTTATGAAACAGAAAGTTTGCAGAGGAGGGCTGAGACGCTGTGGTGCTATAAACAGAGTCAGACGCTTCAGTCATTCCAGGTCTTTATATCCCAAATATTAAAACTCTTTAATTTGATGCCAGTTGCACATTTAAAAAAACTGAAAAATTCAACAAATTTCTAAAAAAGTCTGTCTGATTCAATAAGCAACACTGATGGATATAACAAGGACTTTCCAAAGAAGCTGGATGTCTTGGGATAGTGGTGGGCAAAACCGGTCATTTCAGTGAACCGGATCATTCCGGATCGTTCAGTAAAAAGACCCGTTCTTTTCGGTCATTTCGGTCAATCAGTCATTAGTCAGTTGACTCGGTCTCTCGTTCAACTCGTTCACCGTCTGGGTCTTTCGTTCAACTCGGTCTTTCGTTCAACTCGGTCATTCGTCTGGATCTTTCGTTCACTCGGTCTTTCGTTCAACTCGTTCATCCGTCTGGGTCTTTCATTCAACTCGGTCTTTCGTTCATTTAACCTGTTCTTTCAGTCAACTCGGTCATTCGTCTGGATCTTTCGTTCACCCGGTCTTTCGTTCAACTCGTTCATCGGTCTGGGTCTTTCGTTCACTCAGTCTTTCGTTCAACTCGTTCACCGTCTGGATCTTTCGTTCACTCGGTCTTTCGTTCAACTCGTTCATCGGTCTGGGTCTTTCGTTCAACTCGGTCTTTCGTTCATTTAACCCGTTCTTTCAGTCAACTCGGTCATCCGTCTGGGTCTTTCGTTCAACTCGGTCTTTCGTTCAACTCGGTCATTCGTCTGGATCTTTCGTTCACTCGGTCTTTCAGTCAACTCGTTCATCCGTCTGGGTCTTTCGTTCAACTCGGTCTTTCGTTCATTTAACCTGTTCTTTCAGTCAACTCGGTCATTCGTCTGGGTCCTTCGTTCAACTCGTTCATCGGTCTGGGTCTTTCGTTCACTCGGTCTTTCGTTCAACTCGTTCACCGCCTGGATCGTTCGTTCAACTAGGTCTTTCGTTCATTTGACCCGTTCTTTCGTTCAACTCGGTCATCCCGGTCTTTCAGTCAGCTCAGTAGTACTGCTGCTGCTTCTCTAAGCCCCACCCACACACAGAACGAGGCGCGACGATAGGATAAGACAGGCAAGCAGTCCCTCTTCAGCCAATCAAAAGAACTGAACGGACTGAACGGGTCATTTAGGGGGGGAGAACTAGTTCATTTCGTTCATCAAAAATAACTAGTTCTTTTGATCCGTTCGTTCAAGACCGACACACCACTATCTTGGGACAAGGTTGACCGCTCTGCGAGAGACCGCGTGAGCTCATAGTTGAACAATTTCATGATGACTGTGAGAGTATAATCAAGAATGGAGAATATCGTCAAAAGAGTCAGACGATTGCGGGGAAATCTGCTAACTTGCGTAAGGTCAGACAACTCGTTATCGTGCGATTGCACTTGAATCCACGGGTTCTTGTGAGTTCTCTCGATTCCCGCTGTCCGTAATTCGCAACGAAATTCGTCTCACAAACGGATCCAGTAGGAATTGGTGTCTGGCAAAAACACATCAGAGCCGTTCCGGATGCGGTGGATATCCCAGTTTAGACATTCGGACAGTGATGGCTGTCTTTGGTGAGCTGAGGGTGAGATCTTCATCACACGTGTGAAAACGTCTCTTCTGTTGATACTCCCTGTGTGCTGCAGCCTCACACTGTGTTGTGCGTGTAGTGTAAGCGCGGTGAGAGTGCGTCCTGGTGATGTATCACCTCTTTGTTTCCTTTAATTAATCCTCCTCCTGCGCAGTAAAGTGAGCATAATAATTCCACACAGGCCTCTCTGATCTGCCTAATGTGCTGCTCTACCTCTGACTTAAAGCCGGGACATAAATCCAGCTGCAGCAGAGCCTTTGGAGACGCCGGCTGAATAATGTGGCTATTAGACGAGAGGGAAGGACGAAGCAGGGGGCGGGGTCAGCTGAGGGCAGGGGAGGGGCCTCTGGATGGCTCTGAGATTAAACTGTTAGGAGAAAAAAACGTGCCTGAATACAGGAGAACACACCTCATATTACTGTACGTCATCACACCAGGGTAATGTAGGGCCGGGCGATAAAACGAAAATTCACAGATACCAAAATTTACAACAATAACCGACGTCATTTCGCCCATATCAGTATAATCGGTGTCAATAATATCAATAAATCAAAGTTTGTTTTGGATGTGTGTAGGTAGGCTATGGTCTCATGTCCCTTTAAGACGCTGTCCTACATCAGAGACGTGACTCCACCCCATCCAGTCTGTAACAAAGAGGGAAAGACAGGTGAGGAGATGGAGGAGAAAGTTGGAGCGGCTGAAGTAGACGAAGTTAATGTGGGAGGGGGTGAGCAGCTTGTGGAGTAGTTATCATCCATTTATCGTTATTGAGGTGAACTGATCAATATATCGTGATATTGATTTGAGGACATATCGCCCAGCCCTACTAGAGTGTCTGGAGAAGGTTTTAATGTCGGCACACCTCGTAGAAGTTGTTTTCTTTATGCCTGGAAAAAATAGAACCGTGGCGATCAGCTATGAAGCTGAACCAGAATGGAGCAGAAAGAAGCCGGTGGAATTTGACAAATTAACTTGAATGGAAACGATCAGCTGTGATCGGCGCAAACAGCCTTTTCGCTGCTGTTTTAAAATTAGGGCTAAAACAGACTAAACACATACGAGGAGTTGGCTTGTTGACGTCTGACTTTGTTGTATTGAAGAAAAACCATGATGGCTGAGTGGGACTTCTGTGTGAAGTTACAACATGAATATAACGCCCCACCATGAGTGAGATGTCTTGTTGAAACAGAGATCATAAACGATCAGATTTAATGTTAGCATGTGTCTGAACACGGCGCAGCGGCTAACCTGTACGTTTAAGTGAAAGGCCTTTTTATTTCCTCCTTTTAAACCCGGAGAATGAACCTCTTCAGGATGTCTGATGACGCTCGCTGGCAGCTCATTCGTCTGAGGATGAGCAGTAAACAAAAGAGCAATAAGAGCTTGTTTCAGATAAGACTTTGATTCATCCTGTTCTCTTATCACCTGCTTCTCAGAATCACCTGCAGGCCCGTTCCCCCTCCAACACGCCGAACCCTCGCCGCTGCACGCTGTTTATCGGAGGAGTTTATATACGAGGTGGCAGACAGGGAGACAGCAGCACCCTGCGTGTCTGAGACGATGATATCCACAGAATTTAACTGACAGGCTGTCATGTGTGGATCAAAACTGCACTTTGAGATGACGGCTGCTGCACAGGGGATTGAACAAAATCACAGATGGGGGAAAAAGAAGGGAACAGGACTTAAAACCTCACAAAAAACACACCGAATGGTTGTTTTTCACGTGTAATCACTAACAGGATAAAAGTCTTTTCACAGATTCAAAAACAGAACAAAGTTTGAAACCGTAAAAAAGAGGATGTTGGTTTTTCTGAGCAGTAAACGAAGTTAGATTCACATTTAGATATGAGGTGAAAACACGTGTTAAAGGATGTTTTAACTTTTGTCTAAATCAGTTTCAGCGTATAAACGCTCGGAGGTGTTAAAGAAGTCGAACAGCTGATGAGACAAAGAGCCGTAACCCTCTCAGCTCTCATCCTCATTCTCATCCATTCTCATCAGCCGGAGCTCCACTTCTCATGACGCGCTCTGAGTGTATTTTTTTTTGGTGTTTTTCAGAGTGTTTCTGTTCCCAACTGTTCCTGCGATCCCGTCTGACCCTGTTCTCCTGTTCTCAGTGTTTCAGATTTCAGTGTTTCCTGTTTTATTTTGTAGTCGTCTATCCTTGGATTTCTAGTCTTGTTTTACTTCCTCAGTTTTTCCTCCTCAGTCTCAGCTGAAGTATCTCGATCACTAATGTGTTCTGTTGTTTATTCTACCGTTACTGACACGGCTAACAGTGTAGCAAGGCTAACAGCAGGTGGCTAACTCTAACTTTAGCTTCATATCCCATGGCGCTTCAGCGTTAACTGGGCGTGACCGAGACCAGCCCAGCGGGGAACATGGTGAAGTGGGTTGAACTGAAACTTGTTGACTTATTGTGTTTTTCACAAACTGGTTTATTTCCCGTTGAGGCGGACCACTCTCCTCCGTGTCCCTGAGCTGCTGCTTCAGATCCGTCACTCTGCTGTGCTGTGAGGGAGTTAGTGGATGAAGATCGGCATGAGGTCGCTGTAGCGCCATCTACAGGATAAGTCGGGGAACTTTTCAATTGGTGAAACATTTTCAAAGTGAAACCGAATCTTATTCTCCGCATTTTATTTCTGAGAATATCGGCGAAAATCGGCGAGTTTCGGCCGATTACTGATTAGTCTCAAACGGGCTAAAATCGGACGATTTAATTGTCTCACCGCATGTATGAGATATTAATTTATCATCATAAGCAACTTATTGACTAATGATTTATTCAGCGCCACCATCATCCTGCTCCAGACGGGAGTTTTCTGCTTTTATTCCAGTTTTGATGCTTCCACAGAGAAAATCCTTTTCAGTTTCCACCACAGACGCGAGGATCTCCACTTTCAGCTCGGAAAAGTTTCACATCTTTGTAATATTTCTCCTCTTTCATGTTTGACCTCAGTGGGCGTGGCTTCTGAACCACGAATATTTAAGGTCATTAACATGTTAATGACGATCGATTTCAGCCGCTGCATTTATCAAGACCGGATCATACATACGCTGGGATTGGTCAGATACGAACCCTCATAAATCTCACGTGTGTCCAATCCTACTTCGAATCCTGCGCTCAGTTCTAGATTGATAAATGAGGGTCGTTGTGTGTCTCTTTTGTCAGTTGTAGTCGATGTATGAATCCTTCGTCTCCTTGTGCTTCTTCCTCAGTCTGCATTATCGGGTCCTTTTTCCTTTTCTTTAACCCCGGCTCGTGACGCCACCACCTGAGAGCTCACAGGTGTGCACCTCCTGACGGAAAGAAAGAAATTAAAACCACCGATATAAACAACGTGAAAAAATGAAAGGACTCCGACACTATAACGGGACATAACTGTGAAACTCTGATAGGATCGACCTCATTAAATATAGTCAGAGGTGCTAATATGATGAAACGACAGGATGCAGAGCTGAAACTCCAGCGCTGACCCGACAGCAGCCTGTGTGTAACGGTTACAGAGCTCAGCACAGACCCATCACTTTAATCTAATCCGCTGCAGCTTCATATTTCTTACGCAGCAGCTCATTATACAAATTAATTCACAGGCAGGTTACAAATGATCTTTATGTCTTATTTCTAAATGGACATACGCAGCGCTGGAGAGGGCAGCACTCCTGGAAATTAAAATACAAAGATGGATGCAACCTCTTAAATCTCATTCTGCTTTTTTTTAAAGAGATTTTGGTCACTTAAGGACAAAGAGCATTTTTAAAGAGACGCAGCAGTGACCTTCAGTGAGCGCCGTCTCCTTTCACATCCATACACGCCTTTAAAACATTATTGTTCAAAGCACGGATGTTCAGAGAGGCGATCGATCGGTGACTCTGATATTTTGGTGTCCCACAAGGCTCCATCCTCGGCCCGATTTCATTCCCCAAGAAAAGCTACCCATTTATTATTTGTTGTAACAAGAAACAAGAAACAAAGCTAGGGTGACCATAAAATAAAATAAAGTCAGTGTTGTTAACTTGATAATAGGAGAGGCTAGGGTTGTGGGATGTGAGTGTGTATAAACACAGATCAGATCTCATTCTATGACTCCCGGGGAAACAGGCGAGCGCTTGTAAGATCTTGTCCAATCTCGCGAGATATACCGGTAATCTCATGAGCGCTTCTCCTCCGATGGCGGCGGTGGATTGGACCCGGTGGGCGCTGTAGGCTTGCGGATCTGATCCGTCTGCCGGTCCAGAGCAGAGTGGAGCCATTCTGGATCCTGTGGGTTTAGCCAGTCAGTCACAGCACTAGACACCAAACGTCTTTTTAACTTTGACTAATTTCTTCAGCAATGAGACTAAACACAACTCACCTACTCTCTTCCAGCAGCCGATTGTTTGTAGCGAGACCTCGTCCAGTCCATTACGGAATACAGCGGGGTGCCGCAGCTCAAGGAAGAACATTTATGATCATTACTTTATCATTTCCTTGAAGTAATAATCACCATATTAATCATTTTACAGACGCGGTAGTTCTTCTGTCTTAGCGTCTCGGTCTGATTGTATTTCCATGAAGAAATTATCATAAATGTTCTTCCTTGAGCTGTGACACCCCGCTGTAGTCGATGGACTCGGCCGGAGGTCTCTGTACAAACAAGCTGCTGCTGGAAGAGAGTGTCTCTCTGTATTGCTATCCTGCGGTCGTTACTAAAGTTGGTATAACTAGAGAAGTAAGCGGTCGGCAACATTCATCTCTCGAGGGGGGGTCTAACTCGGTGTTACGGTGAGTTTGACCCTAAATTAGTCTTCCGCTGTCCCTTTAAGCGATGGCGATCCACGTGACGTAAAAGAAAGAGTGATTCATAAGACCAGACCACCTTCTTCTAATGCTCCATGGTCCAGTTCTGATGCTCACGCCCTGGTGGTGGACATGGGTCAGCATGAGCATCCTGATTGGTCTGCAGAAGCTCGTCTGTTGGATCGGACCACACGGGTCATGTGCATCAGTGAGCCTCGGTCGCTCAGTCTTGCACCCAGAATTTGCATCTGTCTATCAGGTCGTGCTGCTTCTCAGCGCTGACATATCAGATGCAGTCAGGACGCCAAGAGAGGCCGGCCCACTTCGGTTCCTCACCGACCTGCCAGTGAAAATGAATCTGAGCCGGCTGGGGGGGTCTGGAAAACACTGGACTAAAACTGTTCCACAGAGTCCATCAAACCCTACAGAGACGGATCTGAGTGTTTAGACAAACCATGACGGAGAGGAGAGGATGAGGAAGGAGGAAGAGGAGGGATAAAAAGTACTCGTGTGTTTGATAAGGCACATTTTTCATCCCTTACCTCGTGACAGAATCAGATTACAGACGAGATATTAAGAGAGTGAAAAATGTTTTGTTTCAGAAATAGAGTCAAATGACTGTAATGAGTGGATATTAGGATCAGCGCACATCTGCTGCAGGAGATTTAAATAGCTGCAGTCTTTAATAACTCCTCAGCCATGAAACGGCGTTACTTTACACTGCTGTACACGGAGTCGGCTCTGGATCTGCGCTCTGAGGTTCACTGTACCTCCAGGATAGAGTCAGACTTCTGCAGGTTAGTCTGACGTTAAAACTCTGATATTTCTCTTCAATAACCACCGTGTCTGATCTGCTTCTTATTAAGTGGTTCATGAGGAATAATCTTGTGGATGTTACGCCAACTTTTAAGTGTTGGTCCTAAAAACCAGTTTATGGGCGCGTTAACACCAGCAGCTGTGCTGGTATAATGAAGAGTAGGTTTAAAAGAGGCGTACGCTTTATTATAATGAGTGTGAATCGAGTGTGGATCAACTTCACCGTCTGTCCCTGAAATGACGAATCAAGCAGAGTAATAACTTTAGATCCAGAGTGTGGACGCCAACCCTGATTCCCACTCAGACAGAGATAAAAAACAGTCAAGCTTTATTCATGCAGATACAGATGAAGAAGGCAGAGACCATACGTCCTCTTTTCCCCGGACATGTCTTCTGTTTGGGGGGCTGTCCGGCCTTGTCCAGGGGACTTTATAAATTCCTCCAAATGTCCACAGTTTTGTATGAAAGTTTTGAGCTTAAGTCACGTGGACTAACTGAGATAGAATCACGTAAAAAACATTCGACCTGATCCAGAAAACTCTCAAAATTAACTATGTGCGACTCTGTGACTCCATCCCTGCATAGTCCTGTCCCCTTTTGAGGATTCAGAATATGGTCATCAGTGCTAATTAGCCGTTTCGATTGTTGATGATGCGCTGCTTAATCTGACTGTTTATGTTGAGGGAAGAACGGAGCTGGAGATCGACAGGCGAAGAAGATCGAAGAAAAAGGCAAAAAAGATCTTATACAAGAAAAGAAGAGGTAGATTGGTGCACATTAATCGAAGTTCTTTATAAAATGTTGAAAAAAGCTGCAGTTCCAAGTTTGTCCTCTTGGGCCACGTTCTGAAAGCAAAGAAAACCTCATTAGGTCCCATTTTAAAACAGCAGATGACTTACCACCAAATGCAGAACGGCGGCAAAAAGGCTGTTGGCGCCGATCACCACTGATCGTTTTCATTCAAGTTAATGTGTCAATTTTCACAGATCAACCCGTGCTGGAAAGGAAGTCGGGCACAGACACAAAATAAAACATCCGGCGTCTTTTCAAAATAAAACACTCCGTGTTTCAGGAGGATCGTATTTCACACCATGCAAACGTGGTTTGTTTCACAGATAAAGATAAATATTTCACTTACCAATGGTTGATTCCTAATCTCCACTAAAGTGTCCAATCTACTGGTCGGGACTGAGTAGATTTCCTCCTCTGGAAGGACACAATCTACTGCTTATATGTCTATGTGTTTGTCTTTATAGAGTCAACTCGTTATCGCGCGATTGAACGTGAATTCACAGGTTCTTGTGAGTCCTCGTGATTCCAGCTGTCTGAAATTCGCCTCACAAATGCATCCGATAGGAATTGGCAGATGGCAAAAAAATTGTGGGTTACATGGACTCATGAGTCAAAGATGTCTATTTGCTTCGTTTGCTACAGAAAATCTATTTCCGATAACGAGTGAGTTTTGAGCAGGTAGGAGAGGAAAAACAAACTTGCCTCTTAAATCTCTAGTGGATTAGTTACGAGGACACAGATTCAGCTTTTACTTCTAAAGAGTGTTTTTATGACCACCCTGATAAAGATCCAGTTATGTTGATTTTATTTTGAAGGTGTATCAGCGTTCGAGTGTAAATAAAAGGACTCTTTTATTCCTGTTTCTGCACAGATGTTGTTTTTATGCTGCAGACAGTGAAGTCCTCTAAAACTCCTCTCTGCTGGTTCAGTCTGATCAAACTAAATATCTGAGTTCATTTAAACATGATTCAGACAATTGGCTCCAAGCCGCTCAGTGTTTGTACAGACGGCGTTCGGCTGATTACATCACAGACGGAGAGCTAAATGTGTGGTCAATGACATGAAGCCGATGGCTGTCAGGCGATCAGCATGAGGAGGAAACAGCTGCGACAAGAGTCATCAAGAAAACGTTAAGAGAGGAGCCGCTTCAGTGGAAAAACTTCATCGCTTTAGTTTTGCACAATTATTGTTTCGCACTGACGCAACCTCGAGTCAGAGTCTGAACTGAGCGGCGGCCTCTGATCCTGAAGAATAACGTCTATCAAAGAGTTTAAGGAGCCAATCGATTGGAGATAATGATCGACTCGTCTGTCCTGTTGATCTACCAGAGTCCAAACGTTGAGGTTTTTCACCTTCAGCTCCCGCCTGGACGACAACAACTCTGTTTAAAGGCAGAAGGATATCCTGTGGTCTTCACCAGGGGACTGACGTAGGGCCCCGTCTGTTCCTGATGGTGTTTGTGTCGTTCATGAACGATTCGTTCAAAAGAACTGAGCTGCTGAGTGAATCACTCTGAGACCTGATTCCTTCTTTTCTCAGTTCAGTTGAGTTCAGCCGTGAGCCTAGTGTGCCGGTCCGGAGTGGAACTGCCGCCTTTGACGAATGACGAATGACACACAGCCAGCCAGCGAGTGGGCGGGTGGGCGGAGTCTCATGATTCACTCACAGCGAATGAATGAAACAAATGACTTCCAAATAACTTGATGCGGGCAGAGTAGGGAGGGGCATAGCGTCGTTCATGAATTGCTGAGCAGTGGTTGGTTGACTGAGGCTCAGATCAAACAGGTCATTATTGCGTCTTTACATTAAAAACACGTGTTAAACTTTCCTGTAAGAAAGATTTAACTTCAGCCGATTTAAAGAAATACGATATTTTATATCGTTAAAAGTATCTGAATCCTCGCTACAGCTGACATCTTTATTTATTTTTAATCTCGCCACTTTTCCGACATATAAAAGAACGACGACTTGCGCTCGTTTAGTGGGCGTGCTGCTCGCTGCAGTGTTGTAACCACCAGGGGAGTGATTCTTCCTTCAGGACTCGGCGAATGAACGACATGTGTCACCCAGTGAACGACGCTGTGACTTCAGCAGCAGGGGAGGGGAGGGGCTAATGAACGAACTCGCCGCTGTGTCACTCACTGGTGTACTGCACCGGCAGGACGGGGCTCTGAAGCACAGACTGATTCAGTGAACGAATCTTTTGAACGAATCGTTTTAATGAACTGATTCTAAAGACTCAGTACAGTCAAAAGAACGGATCTTCTCATCTCTACCAAACGTTGAGGTTTTTCACCTTCAGCTCTCACCTGCAGAAGGATATTCTGTGGCGTTCCCCAGGGGACTGTCTTAGGGCCCCTTCTGTTCTCGATTTTCATCATTAAAATTCAAGTATAACTTCATATGCTGATGACTCAGCTTTGTTTCGTGCATCAACAACATCACCGTCGCTTCTCTCCATTATTGAACTAAATAGATGCTGGTTTGTTTATTTGTTTTATTCTCAGTTTGTCTTTTGGGTTCGTCCTTAATTTAAATTAATCGAAGGAAACCAATCATAACCTGTCTTTACCAGGACAGACACGGGAAAAGACTTGTTTGACCTTCTTCTTCTTCTTCTTGGACTGTCTGCTGAAAGTCTGTCAGGAGTTTTCTGACTTTACGCCGCCCTCCAAGTGTCATTACAAAGAAAACCCTCGCGTGCGTCTCATTCAGCTTTGTTATCCTCTGAGATGTTCAGTTTAAAGCGTTTTAACCCTCCAGGAAGCTGAGACACTGTCGGCTGTGTCCAGAGAGAAACGGGACAAAAAAACTCTTCTGACAACTTCAGAAATCCTGACGGATGACAGGAGGAGCGAGGGTAAACATTCAAATTCGATAAAGTGCTTCAAAATGTTTGTACAGAAGAAAGCGGTGTCTGTAATCTCCTCTATTTCCACATGAATTAATCTGATCCAGAAGTGACAGATGTCTCTCAGTGTGATGGTCTGGCTGCAGCTGCACCCACACTAATGTTAACCAGCATGAGCTCCATGAATCCATCACTGATACTGACTGATTGGTCTGCCGTGTCGCCTCCCGGAGCTCTAAACAGCAGCTTCCAGCAGTCAGATAACAACCGTCATCGTCTCGGCTGCAGCAGCAGCAGAAATAGCAAAGCCATTATCCCGCTGTGTGTTATCAGGGACGGATGAGGAGGCAGGATATCAGCTCCTAATCTCCCCTTCGCCGCCGCTGCTGTCGCTCGCAACACCACCGCTGCCACCATCGCCAAGGCTGCAACAGCAGGCCGAGGAAAATGGATTCTTCACTCTCTCCAACAAAACATCCCCCCTCCTCCTCCTCCTCCTCCTCCTTCTTCTTCCTTCTGGCCAGTGGTTTGGTGAAAAATGAAACCATGGCAGCGGAGGAAGAAGGAGTGGAGGTCTGTGACCACAAACAAACAATCCGTCTGACTTTTAATTAAAGTAAAGAGAGACAAACTCCTCGGCTTCAAGCAGGAGAGAGAAAGAGCCGGGAATGATATACAGGACTGTCGAACCTGCACCGACACACACACACACACACACACACACACACACACACACTCGCAGTTTTCAGTTGACCTCTTCATTTTCCTCACAGAAGTTAGTTTTATTGGCGTGACGTTAGTTTAAGCGCTCGTTCTCTGATGTTAAAGTCAATATCTGCCCGCTGCAGGAAAAAACTGATGAAAACCCAAAAGCCTAAAAACTATGACTTTTTAAAATGAAACCTCTCTCTCTGTTTGAAATCAGCGGTCTGAGATGAAGTTCATAACAAACTCAGTGTTGTTGCAGTCAGTGGAATAAATTAGAGAATCGTCTGCATATACACTCATTTCTCCTTGTCCGTGTTGGTCCATTAAAGTTATACTATTCAGTTTATAAAAGGATGGACATCACAACAGACTCACACTGTGAAATCTAAACTTTCCAATCTTCCCCTTCAGGGTTCCTACGCAAGTATGGAAAAGTATGGAAGTCAACTGATCAAATTTCCAGGTCTTAAAAAGTACGGTAAGTAAAATATCAAGAAAATATTTTTGTTAACAGACTATATTACCACAGTTATAAAATACTGTTTTCTAAAATAGAAAGTCTGTATTTCCAAGAATAATTCTAAAAAGTGTGGAAATTCCAGCTGTGTAGGAATCCTGCCCCTGGTGATTGGCTGCAGCAGGCCTTAAAGCCCGCCCCCTCCATGGCAACAGGTGGAACATGAGTCAAACTAAAGATCTATGTTTTTTTCTTATAAGACCGTTTTTTGTGTAAGTGTCTCTATGTGCCTTTAATTACAGTGTTGACATAAGTAGAAGTTCATGAAAATATAAACGTGAAAAAAGTGGGATTGTCTTATAACCAGGGTAGACTTGTTGATGGGTTTGACACTTACTGTGAAATCCACTCGCTTCGTGAGACCGGCAGCCTTCAGCAGATACTCTCTGTCTGCTCTTACAACATTTACGTAGGAGATCAACTAATAGTACGATAACTATTGTTAACTAACTTGGCTAGTTGGAGGCTGCAATGTCATTCTTTTGGTCATTACCCAAAGTTCATGGCCATAGGTTAGGAAAGTCGGCACATTGATTGACCTGTAAATTGAGAGCCTCGCCTTACAGCTCAGCTCTTTCTTCACCGCGACAGATCGAACCACCAGAGGTGAGGCGAGCCATCAGGCTGAAGAAGGAGGCCTGTGGGTGTCCGGAAACAGCTGAACGGTATCAGTTGGCTAAGCGGTCCGCGGCCAGGGCAGTTGCAGGGGCAAAAACTTGGGCATGGGAGGAGTTTGGTGAGGCCATGAAGGAAGACATTTGGCACCTGGACCTGGTCTTTCATAAACTTGAGCAGGTTTGACTCATCTCTGTACGAACAAAACAGGAAATACAAAAGAACGATGGGTGAGTTTACAGGATTTATATCAATATTAGCAGAATTATGTGAAATTACAAACGGGGACAGTCTGACACCTGTGCTGTTTGATCGGAAGTCTTAAGTGTTTTAAAGGTTATTCTGTAGGATCCAACAAGTGTCCACTTCAGCGCCCCCTGTTGTTTTTCCCTCACAAAAGGTTCAGTTTAGCTCCATAAATAGTGAAAAGTTCGTAAAAGGCAGAAAACAAAGACGTGGAGCCGAGACTGTCGGCAGCTGAGGTGAAAATCCTCCAGAGAGGTTTGTAAAAATGTCAAAGAGGAGGAGACACGGGAGGTGAAGATAACCAACAATGACACAGACGGCAGCATGTTTCTGACCTTTGAACGCTTCACAGACTCTTACAGTGAAGAAATCTGAAGCTGTTTAGGAAGGAAGGATGACATTTCTGCTCGTACTACTGAGAACTGTGAAACGAAGAGCTTTTAAAGCGCGCTGAGTCTGAGAAGAACCAGAGTCGACACCGTCAGTCCGCCCACAGACTTCACTTTAAACACCGAATACTTCAATCACAACTCCAAGTGCACTTTCACCCCTTTAGAAAAATGTGCTGTAATCATCAGGTCGGTTCGTGCGTGGCGTGGCTTTGCAGAGTTGACCACATTCACCAGTGCAGAAAACTGTGATTGGTGTGGAGCTGCAATCACAGAAACAGGGAATCAAAGGAGACCAGTTCAAGAGACCACTGGATAATGGGCCGTCACTGTGGTGTAGATTTCTGTTAGTGTCAACCTGATGCTCTTGCAGTGATGCTGTTCCCCAGTACCGTGAATCAACTTCTTTTTGTTGCTCCTTTTGGATCAAACAGACATCTGAGGTGAGCACACTTGATCAAAATTGAAACTCTGATTTCCACTCAGCCTTAACAAACACTAACTCGAGTACACATCAGTGTTAGTGCCGAGGATACAGACTTTCAAGGCTATTGTTTACAAGGCCACTCAAATTAGCTTCATAATGACGTACACTGATATTACTTTAACTTTCTTTGTGCCGCCGTGTCGTCAGAGTGAAAGAAAACAGACACACACATACACACAAAAAAAGAAATTTGCAGCACTGACAACCAGACAGACCCAGAAGGATCTGGACCAGACCTTCGGATGGGGTGTTCACACCAAACTAGAGTAAAATCCTCTACTCGACAACTCCTCGTGTATCTAGATCCCTGAATGAAAAGTATTTACTTGCTTCATTTGTGCAAATGATTCACTCTAGTGGCGACAATCATTTGCACGATTCGCCAATAGAATGTTTAAAAGGCACAGAGAGCCTTTTATGCTTCTTTCAGTCAGGAAAACTTTGTCAAAATTCAGCTTCATTGAGCAAAGTTAAGTTTGGCAGCATGTTGCTGTTCCAGGTCCCTGCCCTTCCACGTGCTTGTGTGGAAGCCAAAGGCAGGAAGAACCCTAGCAGGCAGTGCACGCAAGGTTCTGTTCGGGGCCCCCCGTTCTTTACGCTGGCATACGTGAAAGGCACCTTCGTGCCCTTCACGAGCCATCATGAAGGCAGAAATGACCCGGGGTAGAGCAGCGATGAACAGAACCTCCTCGGAACAGGAGTGATTCAAGAGTCGTGGAGCAATTTTCCGGCACGAGGGTGGAGCTTTATAAGTTTTAAAAGGGCGCTCTAAAGGCATAGGACCAATAGGAGCTAGGAGTAAATCAGCTGGCTATTGTCTGGTTGAGGTTGCTACTAGCCATTGGCTGCGGATCAGCGCTTGACGTCATGACCTGAAAGAACTAACGTTGTGCGCCATTTCAACAGTGATCCTTGACAAGTCAACTGACCGGATCAAGTGATAGACAACGGTTTTCAAAACTTACCAGATAATCCGACCTTCTCACTCACTCTCCTCCTTTTTATTCCTGTTTTTATTAAAAAAGCTGTAAATACAAGAGAGAAGTATGGCAGGAGTGAACCATTTTCAGCGGATCGCTGTTTTGTTTTTGTTGCGGAAGGACTGCAACCGTTGGAGATGTAGGCGTCGCCGTGTCTGAGTCTCCACCAATGGCGGCCATTTCCAGATGACGTCCATTTCCAGCGGTATTGTCGAGTTACCCAAACCCAACTTGATGACCTGTTGGTGAGGGTCGGTGCCAGGACGTCCCTCCAGGACACCGATTACAGACACTCTATTCCTGTGTTTATATTTTCACACCAGTGAACAGCTTCTGGTCTGTTTTTCATACGTCACCCGGGAACCTTCATGCTGATTGGTTGTTTCGACACGAATATCCGCTTGAGTTGAGATATTTTCAACTTTCGCAAATTCATGTCATTCGTGCAAATCACGTGAATTACCCTCATCACTGCCAGAGTAGTACGAGCGTCTCATCGCGTCTTTGCATTGACTCAGCATATAATTTATTTGCGCGAATGATTTTGCCCCTTGAGACTGCCTTTTGTTTCATCATAACACGCCGCAGTGTTGAGGTGAAGTTTGTCGGTATGCAGCTGAAACACTCAAGGTACGAGAGGCATCACGTCACACATCCTCCTGGAGAGGTGAGCGTTTCTCCATCTGTGTTTTTCGGGTTTGCAGAAATCTTAAGTCCTTTCTTCACGCCTGGATGTTCGACCAGCTGACTGGCTGTCACTCACAGCCTTTTCTTCCTGCTGCTGTATATCATTTGTTACCCGTCTGTCAACAGCTGATGTATGAATAAAGATTTAATCACAGCAGATGACATGTAAAGTGATGATTGTGATTCTGTTTACAAAATGAATGAGGGAACCATCGAGCAGGAGGCTGCCAAACACAGGCCGCTCCATCGCCAACAGTTTAATATACAGGAGCTTAATTTATGAAGCTGCACTCGACGTGATTTATCGACACTGTTGTTTTGGATCTAATCTCAGGTAATAAATGTTGATCAGTCACTCAGCTGACAGCTCGGCTCTCTCAGAGGTCACGTACTTTCCAACAGAGGAGCTGCTCCTCACTTTTACCAACAGTGAATCTGCACACTTCAGGAACGGAGGGTCTTCTGAGGGCTCGGCCAATCATACGGAGGGTTACTATACTCTTCTCACCTTTATTATATGATCTCTGAAGGACTGGTGATTCGGTGTAGTCGGCTGTGATTGGCCCACCTTGAATCAGATCAGGTGGAAGTTTGTGTGAGCGGGAGGCTGATGAGATGGATCAGCCGGAAAAGTAAAAAAATCGTAGCGTGCAGAATCATCCGTTACCCAGGAAAGGTCCTCATAAGTATAGATCACGTGTGTTAGAGAGTGTTTGAAGGATGAGTGTTTGCAGCTTTGATGATTTTATTTATGACGTTTAGAGTCGAGGAGAAACTGTGGAAATCAATAGATCAAAGGTTTCTGCGTGTGTGTGTGTGTGTGCGTGTGTGTAACAGTTTTTTTATAATTCATACTTTTAGAGACTGTTTCCAGCTCTGAACACATCACACACTCCCCCACCCTCGAGTTTATCGACCTCAGTGTGGAGAAATCACTGATTCATCAATACCATCGAACTCGTCTTCGTCCTCTTCTCCTTTTTTTTCCATCTCTTCTTCATTTCTTTTCCTCACCTCCTCCTCCTCCTTCTTCTTTTTCTTCTTCTTCTTCTTCTTGCAGTAAATCACAGATTTTTAAGCGTCACATGGGATAGATGGGAAATATGTACATACTTAATGTTCATTTTAAAAACAAATCCTCCCAACAGACCACAGCTGAAAAAATGTCGGCAAAACGAAATAACCGGGGGCAGGGAAAGCAACGCTCCCCTCTGAAAGTTGAGGCAGGATGAGCAGCAGCAAAGACTACAGAGCAAGGATCAGATGAAGAAAGAGCAAATTTCCTCTCTGTGGATGCATGAAAAGTTGATGCGAGCAGAGCAGGAGCAAAAACCCAGGACGACGAATCAGAGCAGAGCGAACAGGAAGAGTGGAGGCAGGAGGAGCAGCAGCAGACCAGCACAAGAGAAGACCGTTCACGAAGGAGCTTTTCTTCAATCTAATGATATCAGGTTATGGTCGTGTACGGGCTGATATCTTACCTGTTCACAAAGGTGTGCCACAGGGCTCTGCATTAGGTCCTCTTTAGTTTACTGTCATATTTTCTCCACTCTGACAATAAACTGAGGGAAACATCTAGAATGGAAAAGTCCCTTTAAAAGCAGACCTGGCAGAGCTAAAGGTCCAACCTGAGGAAGTTTTTTTTCATTCCTACTTTTCTCCTAAAAATATCCGTCTGTTTGGTTTGGGGGTCCAGAACCCCGGATGGTTCTGTTTCCGAGAACTCCCCGCGTTAAAAATGAATCGCTCATCAAACATAGAAGAGCTGAGCAGAGCGGGCGTGTGTGAGTGAGTGTTTGTGAGCTGGTTAGTCTCTGTTACTGCTGCTCGGATTGATTCGGATGCGGCGTCCCGATCGAAGTTGTTGTCGGAGAATTGAATTTTACTTGAACCTGATGAAACTACAACATCAGGAAATAATGGATTTCAGTCACCGAGGGCGCAGACACCTTCACATCTCCTTCCTCAGACCGGCCTCTGTTATCTCGCCTGGTGTAAGAGCTCAAGATGTTTGCACACTCCTGACAGCGCTGGAGAAACAGAGTGAGAAATATTATATTCACCAGGAACTTAAACTCTAATATCCGAGTATTTTCATTTTGACACCCTTTTACACTCGAGCTCTGTCGAAGGTGTGAAGAAATAAGAACAAAAAACGATATAAAAGTGATCGATTAGAGCTGCCTCTCTAACAACAGTATGGTATTAAAAATAACAGACTGTTGCTATGGAATGTTGCTATGGAATGACCAATCAGGATGAAGTATTTAACACAGCCCTGTAATAACGGCCTCTTACACATTAAACTGCAGCAGTGAAGTGGAACTGTGGCTGACTAGCTCAAGTGCGGTGTGTTTTTACTATCTGATGACCTGAGAGTTTAAACTGCGCTCCAGCTCGGCGTGTGCAGATTCAACCCGGAGCTGAGAGTGTTCGGAGCGCGGTGAACAGTCATTACGGTGAATAATGACTCGCTGGAGGCGCTCTTGGCCTTCGCCTTATTAGAGCGCTGATGATGACACCTCCAGCAGAGAGAACAGAGAGGAGCGGCGGGGGGACAGAGGAAGACCGGCATCCAATTACCACCAGCGCTGAAAGCTCTCTGCAGGCGAGCGCCGGCCTTTACTCCAGGCGACGGCGGCGGAAGGTTTTTGTCCTCAAGGTCAGGCGGTGGTAAAGAGCTCGGAGACGGTTTTCCAGGTCAGGGAGGGAGAGAAAGAGCGTATGTTTCATCTCTGCTGGAGGTCACAAATGACATCCTGGCACTGAAAACATACATGTAATCCTTTTTAAAAGCACTGCGGCTGCCGCGACCTCTGACCCCGCCTGTCTGTGTGAAATGTACCACAAGAAGAAGAGGAAAGGGACTACAAGCAGAGGTGTGAGCCTAAAAACCCTGACATATGAACCGGTCTTTCTAAACCTCTACCTGCTTCCACTCAAAGGAAGTTTGATTATTTTTAAACGTTTGACACTTTTACACACTCGAACAAACTCAACACGCCGTTTTAAGATCCTGACGCTGTATGATTCAGGTGATAACAGGAAAACATACAGCTGAGAGTTTTCTGAAGGACCGGAGCTCTTCTACCACCGACATCTGATCACAGATCCACATTCAGTCTCTCCTGAATGTGAGGTCATGTGTTTGTGATACCAATAAAGAAATGATGTTGAACTAAATAAAAAGAGGCGGTTGTGCTGCGTTCCTGTTGTACTCGGAAGTCAGGATTTTCAAGGTCCAGGTTAGAAATTCATCTGGAACGCCCTCCCTGAAGTTGGATTTCCAACTTGGAAAGTCGGACGATCCTCGCCAACCCGACTTGGTAACAACATCCTAATTCAAGATGGCAGCGCCGTGCATCAACAGTTAAGAGTAACAGTAAAAGCTCTTGTTATATGTTATTTATCAGCTCTTCTGTTTTGTTTTTAAGGAAATTAAATAAGTGGTTTATGTTTCACTGCCCAACGTCTAACTGTGAACACATGCCATGGTGTTTGTTCAACACTAACAACTAACAACCGCTGACAACAGCTGACAATTGTACACAGCAGCTAACATCGGGTAACAACGGGTAACTGTTTGCTGCCGACTTGTTAACTGGAACGCTGTCAACTTAGGTGTAGCGTCCTTCCCAGCTCCGCCATCCAACTACTGAGGTAACCGGAACGCAACATTATTACAGGGCTGTGTTAAATACTTGATCCTGATTGGTCATTCCATAGCAACATTGCATAGCAACAGTCTGTTATTTTTTAACAGCGCACCGTTGCTAGAGAGGCAGCTCTAATCACTAACTTGTTATATTGTTATATAATCTTATTTCTTCACACCTTCGACTGTAAAAGGGTTTAAAATGGAAAAATCTACGGTGTCCATCTTTATGACACAGTAGCAGGGGAAAAACGGGGAAGACGGCATCAGCTGTGGAGAAGGTTGTGATGTGAGTGTGCTTTTGTTATGGGGACAACACAGAACACGTAAACAAGTCTCAAGTCTACGGACTGTGAGGAGGGACTCCATTGTGTTTCGCTGCCCCTTATATTTCAAACCTTCGAACCGGATCCTGAATCAGTCACCTGGTACGGCCGGCTCACTAGGCTTTAAACATCATCAACAAAAGCTTCGATACGCACTTCACCGAAATTTTCAAGGATTACTCGACACTCTCCGAAGTCTCGACACTAAAGGACACATCACTGGTTGCTACAGCGTCTCTGTCGTCGTGGTCATCTCTGTCGTAATCGTGTTGACGTTTCCTGTTGGCGTCCTCCAGCCTGCTGTGTTGTTATTTGCCGGATCTCTGACTCACAAACAAAAGTGTATTTAAACATCCTGAACGCAGCTCAGGTGTGGCATCCTCCCTGAGTCAAAGTGTCTCGTACCAACTCTAACTCGGTAATTCTCTTTTATAAGCAGCTTTTAAACGTCTCCATCAGCTGAATAACCTCTCTAGTGCGTCTGTAAGGAAACACTGATGCCCGCTGACATCCTCGGGTTCTTGATCGCTGTTGTTTTACGCCTCTGCGCAGTTTTTCTAAGCTCCCCTTCAGCCTCTCTGTCACTGCAGTAAATTCATAAAATCCTCATTTATTTTTAAACTTTCTGACTGCGGTAGCTTTCCGTGTGTGATCCTCGTGATTCTCCGAGCAGCCGATATAAATCTGATGATTATGTGTCCTCAGAAAAACCAAACACATGTTTTATTCATGGCTCCATCAGTTTCTTTTCCTCTGAAGAATTCGATTTCTTCAGTTACAGGACAAAAGCTGCACGCTAACAGGGGGAGAAAAAAGGACGGATTCAGCGCCGTGTCCTTCAAAATGTCTTTTTTTTTATTTAGATGTTTTCATCTCTCTTCATCTGTTAAAGGAAAGAGGTGATTTAAAGTCTAATCACTGCTCCAGAGATGAGACGGGGTCAGAGGAATGAAACTATTGATCATCAAAGATGACCCTGACTTAGCTTTAACATCGGAAACCTCTTCAGTCTAAGATCGGGAAGATTTTAGACTGAATTATGATCCAAACATAAAAATAAAACGTTAAACTATATTTTCTAATTAAAGGTTTTTGAAACTGAGTTGTAACATATATGATGTCCAGACTTTTAAAGTTTGGTTCATTCACATGTTGGCTTTGATAGAACATTAAAATAGTGCAAACAGCTCTTCTCAATCAGGCGCAAATCAAGAACAAACTGTACAGAGCTACAAAAACCCTCATTAGTGCAATATGCTTCTAAGTCCATAAGAGGGCGCTGACTGGACATTCCCACAGCATCCTGATCGTCTCCTAAAAAGTCGTATCCTCCGATTGTAGCTGATCGTAACCATTCAAGTTAACGTGTCAATTTACACCGACTTCTTTCCGTTCCTCTGCGGATCGCCGGACTCCTCAGCTGATCACAAGAGTTCTAGTTTTTCTGGACGCCGGAGCATGGCGGATAAATTCAGCACAGATTAACCCGTGCTGGAAAGGAAGTCGGGCACAGACACAAAATAAAACATCCGGCTTCTTTTCAAAATAAAACACTCCGTGATTCAGGAGGATCGTATTTCACTACTGCTTATACGGTTAGCTTCTGTGGCTAAAGACAACTTGTTTATCACGCGATCGCACGTGAATCCGCAGGTTCTTGTTGGTTCTTACGATTCCTGCTGTCTGTAATCCGCCACGAAATTCACCTCAGAAACGGATCCAGTAGGAATTGGCGTACAGCGAAAATCGACTACATGTGCTATGCTTGTTGGCTAGCTGGCTAGCCCGCTCCATGTTGCTAGTTGATAGAGGTGGTGCTGTATGACACAAGTGTAGCAGAGGGAGCAGCAGACAGGAAATCTCCATCAGACTACGTCATGTCAGTCTGGTCCAGACTACAAAGACCAGATCCTTCAAAGGAACTGAACCTGGGTTGGCACACAGCTACAGGCTTGTTAGCTTACCCCGTCTTTGTAGTCTTTAAAGCTAATTTTAGCTCGGCGGCTCATCCTATCACTCTGTGAAGCTTAGCTTGGCTTGATAGCTAGCGTGTTAGCTTATCCTGTCAGACTGATGTGAGAAAGTTGCCCATTAGATTAGCTCATTAGATCGTCCTGCAGTCCGCGGGGCTCTCGCAGCTTGTTAGCTCGCCCTGTCAGCATGAGATATCAGATAATGAACTCGTCACCTCACAATTCTGACTGTCGGATGGGAGGATATCTTGTTAGCGTGTCTTGTGAGCATGTTAATATTAGCACCATCACTAGCCACTGCTATTAGCAACAACAAAAACCATATTTTTGTGTTAGACTGTATGTCGGAGGTGGTTTTAGAAGTTAACCCTGTTTTTGTCGACTCATTTTGACTGATTCCATCTCGATTGTCTGTACCCTACGTCTGCGTCATTTATTTGGGAGGACTCGAGTTCATTCTTGTATCTTGACTCTGCACAGTTGTTTATTTTATGTTCGCCACACATCACCTGAGTCTGGGTTGGATGCTGTGAACCAGAATCCATCAGCATGCTGTCACGGCGGCTCGAAACAAACCGCTCTCCTTTGTGATCCCTGCACCTCAGCATGAATATGGAGTGGAGGAAAAGAGGGCTCACTGATGTCTAAAAGAGCCGTTTTCTGTCAGAGAAGAAGAAGTAGCAGAAGCTCAGCGGGAGGCAGGCGGCTCTGGAGACTGAAAAATATCTGCACTTCAGACACAAAGAGACGAACTCGGCTTGTAAAGCTCAGGTTCCCAACATGTCACTGCGACGGAGCGATCCGAGGTCGTCTGAGGCGGAGAAGCTTGAGAAAAAAAAATCATTTCTCTCCAGGCGAAAATGAAAACAGACTCTTATTGGACAGGGAACACTGAGCCGGGATTGAGCCTTAAACTAGGAGAGCCTGTCTGAGAGTCAGCTAACAAAGCTGGCTGTATCCACCTGAGACTTTCTGCCGTTTTATCACCTTTAATTCTTTCTTCAGAGAAATTCCCATGCTGACATCACAGAGGTGTCCAGTTTTCTCTGAATTAATCCACATTTAAGGTCACAGATTTTGTCTTTCTGCTCGTTTCTCACGTTTGTTTCTCACGTATTCCCACGGCGGCCGTCTTCCTGTGATGTTACACTCAGGAAAGGAAACATGGAACATCATTATCAGGTATCATAACAGGTCATAAATCCTAAAATAATCCCCTTCCTCTCAGTAAAGCTACAGTTATTGACTACTGCCCCTGTCCTGGTTCACAAGCTCTGGATCAGCAAGACTGGATTGTCTCCCGGTGACCAACAACGTCATAAAACAAAAGTGTTATTGTTAAAGGAAACGCTGAAAACGCCACTTTTACGGAGACTTGTCTTTTGTACAAAACAGCCTCGTTTTTTAAAGTCCTCTCTTGGTCTGTGGAGGTTTCGTAAACCATCCCAGTTCTTAAGAACCCATTTATGCTGCTTAAAGGGATATTCCAGATTAATTTAAGATTAATTTATGGTCAAATACACCTTAACACCGAGTTAGACCCCCCCTCCAGAGATGAATGTTGTCGACCGCTTGTTTCTCTAGTTATACCAACTTTAGTAACGACCGCAGGATAGTAATACAGAGAGCCACGCCCCCAACCAAAACGCCACTCTATAGCCACAAATAATGCTCAGAACAGCACCTAACTTCATCAACAGGACATATAGGGTCACAGACATAGTACTAGACACCAAACATCTTTTTAACTTTGACTCATTTCTTTAGCAAAGAGACTAAACACAACTCACCTACTCTTTTCCAGCAGACGCTTGTTTGTAGCGACACCTCAGGCCAGTCCATTTCAGACTACAGCGGGGTGCCGCAGCTCAAGGAAGAACATTTATGATCATTTCTTCATGGAAATACAATCAGACCGAGATGCTAAGACAGAAGAACGACCGCCAACATTCATCTCTGGAGGGGGTGTCTAACTCGGTGTTACAGTGGGTTTGACCCTAAATTAATTTTACGCTGGAATATCCCTTTCTCTTCCAGGTCCAAACCTGACGTGGGAAGTCTGGCGTAGGAACAGATCATTCAGACCAGTTTTAGTCCAATCAATGAGTTTACATTAAAGAGAAAATAGATCCTCAATCCATTGATCGGAGTGTTAGCCTGTCGACGATAAGTCAGATTTGCGTGATTTCAGTCAGACTAACATGTTTACATGGATTAAATCCAGATCCAGGTTTTTCTGAATCATATGATGGTAAATTGAGTTGGTTTTACCTGCAGATGACTCAGATTCATCATTTCTGTGTTTTCCTGTTCAGTTGAAAACCTGAAGTCGTCCCTATAAGACTCCCTGCAGACCTGAGTCAACAATGGTATACTCCATTCAAGCGGACCCCCATGGGGGTTTTGGTCTATCCTCTCGTGTGTTGGCTGTCTTCCTCCTGATTTTCTTCTCTTCCCTTCAAACACAAAACCTCCTGCTCCTCTTCATCAGCTGATCGATATCCTCCCCCATGATGCTCCTCTTCTTAACCCTTCTTCATTTGTGGCACTTGACCTTTGACCTCGGTATGGATCCAAACCTCCTCAGCTGATCAGAGAGCCCACCCCCCTCTTTCTCTGGCACCAGAAACCATCACAGCTGCAGCTCAGACAGTCCGAGGTCAAAGGTTAACGTTCTGCGGAGCTGATCTGGACTCTGAGTTTGTCAGATTAACTTTGGGGATATTGATTAAAGCTCCTCTGATGTCGGCCCGTCGTCTCCAGAGGCAGATTCACCCAAAAATGTCAATAACGACTCGTTCTGCCCTGGATTATCTCTCCCAGTCGCTCTGATCAATATTTTAAAATGCGGCTCTGCGTCTGAGAGTTGACTTTTCATTCGGGAGAACATTAACTCCATCGAAGAGATCGGAATTTGTACTTTTCAGAGAAGAGACGCCGCTCCGATCCCAGCTTTGACATTTGTCTCTTTACTGTTGAAGACGTCTTTCGTGCCTCAGTTTGAGTTTTTGACTCTTCGCTCTGTGTGACGGTTTCTCTCTCCCCGCGCTGGCTTTGTA